ACTCCAATCCATGTCAAGAGTGTCCTGCATTTCTTGTATTAGTTTTGATCCAAAGTGGTCCTCTTTTGGGACTACTCACCATGCTGCTCTCTTCTTCGCTGTAGAGGTTGGATGTCTCGCTGGAGCGGCCAACGATGATCACGTTGCCCTTGTATGCCAGAGCTTCGACCTTACCATCAACCTGCTTCTGGCTGAAAGCGATCGACTGCTGAACGAACTCGCGCTCAGGCGTAAAGTACATTCCCTAAAAAGATGTCAGCAACGTCTCATCCGACAGAGCTTGAAGAGAAGGGGCTACGCACGTTGTAGATACATTGTGCCCAGTCTTCCGAGAGACGGTCGCGAATGATGCGAACCTTGCTATCCATCACGAGACCCTGAGCAATCGTTAATTGGAGTCCTATACTTATCAGAGATGGAGAGTGTTTGGATTGGCGCATGCTCAGGTGACTCTGGACTCCCTGGAATCGCATCAAGGGATATCAAACACCGCAGCATGAGCCAATACAATGCTCAAGGAGGTGACAATTTACCTCCAGGTTCAGATGCAGCTTGCGCAAAATAGTCAGGCCGGGGGTATCTGCATACAAGGTTAGAACATCCTGTCAAAGTCCATGGGGGAGAGTGGAACAGGTGTCGCCTGCGACTGACCGTAGCAACCACGGGATTTCAATCCTGAATTAAAAAATTAGCAATCGCGTGCTCAAGTTCAAGTCCCCTAGAAGTGGCTTACCGATGAACCTCGACTCGACGATATCCTCGCGTCCAATACCTGGGACTACGTCAGTACTCGCTTGAAAGCCCTTCGGTTAGAAGTCCTACCGTTGGCGCGGCCCAACTCGTTGGCCTCCTTGAAGATCTCCAAGGAGCCAGTAACGGCCTTGCCCCCAACTTCAAGCTTGACGGGAACACCCTCGGCAAAGTGTACGGTGAAGCGAGTGGGCTCATTGGGAGCGTCCAGGGGATCTTCGGAGAGGCATTAGCGCAAAATCTAAAAGTGTGTAGGCTGAGTCGTCTCACCAACTGTGCGCTTCCACATGTCCTTCGGGGGCTCCATGTCTGTTTGCTCGAGAATCTAGCAAGTTCAGGGTTAACAGGAAGGGTTAACAGGACGCAAAGAGGGGTGTTCCCGTAGGAGGACTTACACCGGCCTCGTATGAGCAGTGCTGTCGGATCGATAGTCAGTATCACGAAGAAGCAATGGGACCTTTTCAAACATACGATGATGTTGTCGTCCATAGACCAGGGGGCCTTGGGAGTGGAGCTGACGGGGATGTTCTGCTCCTCGGCGAACTTGAGGAGATCGGCACGTCCCCTGCGCAATGATTAGCTTGAATATACAGTAGTGTACACAGAAGGAGGCTTACTGGAATCGGTTGAAGAACGCAGGGATGCGCCAGGGGGCCAGAATCTTCAGCTTGGGGTCACATGCCTTCCACGCCAGCTCGAAGCGGACCTGGCTAAAAGAAGGGAGTTAGTACGGTGCAAGAACGACAGAGGGCGACAAGATATGTATCGGGATCATGATCAGGACTTACTCGTTGCCCTTGCCGGTGCCTAGTGTTACGTGTCAGCGACTGGATTGAATAGTAATGAGACCAGTTGAACCACGACAACTTACATCCATGGCTGAGGATCGTGCAGTTGTTATCCTTCGCAACTTGCACCATGGCCCTAGCCAATACCGGGCGGGCAAGACTTGTGCCGAGAAGGTCTTCAGGCATTAGCGATGTTATCGAAGAGCGTCCGAGGTGGACCATCTTACATTGTCCTTCATAGATAGCGTTGCCTGGTGGCTTCCGTTAGTACACCCGCTACATTACCATAAACAGCCTGTGAAGACTTACACTGGATGGCGGGCCACACCAAGTCGTCAATCAGCTCCTGCTGGACGTTCTCGATAACCATCTTCTCAGCGCCGAGCTTCAGCGCCTTTTCCTTGACGGCATCGAAGTCTTCCTCCTGGCCGCAGTCGCCGAGGAAACAGACGACCTCATATCCTTGAAGGACAAGCCACCTAAGAGTCATTGGTCAGCTCTTGTTGAACAATCCCACATCTTCGATCATTGTCGTCTCCACGTCGAGCTCGAAGACTTGTCGAAGTCTTCTCCTTGCCACAATCCGTCAGAAAGGAAGACACGGGGGCGCAGTACTTGAGAATAGTGGAAGTATCCAGGCCTGTCCATTGGTCAGAATATCTGATGTTGATGTTGATGAGATTGCTTCTGGAGCTCTCAACTCACCGCCAGAGTAGGCACTATACAAGGGTTAGTTAGTTATCTTGCTCGAACCAAAACAAGCAATTGAGTGGCAAATGACTTACAGGCAAACACGTTCGGGAGCCATGATGAATGTTGTTCGAAGTTTCTTGGACAACACAAGACGTTAATGCTGGAAGTGACTGATAGATATCTCTCGACAAAATGTTGTTGTCGCGCGCGAGTGTCCCTCAATGCTGGCGAGGTTTTTTGGACGCAGCTCCGAAGACGGCCGAAGCGAGTCACAGCCCGCCAATGTTTGGTGGGGCAATGCCCTCTTTTGTTGGGCGTGTATGGTCTGGATTGGCCCACATCTTTGGTTGCTCACCTTATCTCTTATCTTTAATGCAATGCTCAGTGAGTGACAAGCGCACGTGATCCATTCTGATCACCCCGCTTGAATTATTAGGTACTTAAGGTAATATTGTCAGGTAAAAGCAGCGCCAGCTCATGTCAGGCTTTGTGCTAAAAGGATTTAGAAGGCACGAATTGTCGGGGGTGACTATTGGGGTACCGTATTCGGCTGGTCGTGTTGAGCCTTGGCATAGGGGATAAAGGGGCTGATTTGAGCCTTGCCCTCAGGGGACTGGACTGGAGCTGCGCTGCGATGACGGTCCAGTTCGGTAGTCGCCGAATAGCGCACAGGTATACTGTCTCGTACTGGCAGGGCAGTATATCGCCCTCGAGTCCATCAGCGAAGTCGTCATCAGCAAATAAGCTCATTAATATACAAATCTCTGTGTACGTGTACGGGGAAACATGGCAACAATCGATCATGAACCTCCCGTCATTGTGGGGGACATACGGGACCGCCCCCCACTGTCCGACAGGACATGCAGGCGGCTGCCAGGGCCCAGCCTCCACTGTCGCAGCCTGATGCCTCCCAGCGAAGCGGTGATGGCAGCGCCTCACGGTCCTCCCGGCCGCATGAAACAGCACGTTCAAATCCATCACTGGGCGTTAGGGCTTAGCGTGGAAGCAAGTTGAGCGGCTTGAGCCTCGAAATTACGACCGACCTTGACCCCCTCGATCCTTCGCGTCCAGTCACGTCCCCCTCCACTCATTTGGAGGACAGTGCTACAACGCTGACAGTCCATCTCGCGGAGATGGGTCTCCTCGCTTGTTATCACATCGCCTGGTAATAACCGGACTTGACCCTTTCAGTCCTTGAAGCACCCAGGGGCCAGGACCTGCCTGCCTCCTGTCTCGCCTATTCACCGCATCTGCCATCCATCGCACATGCGCGCATCCAACTACGCGCTGATGGAAGACGTCCAACGCACGCATGCACCATGATACCCAACAGCACGCTTTTCATCCTTGGCTTCCTCTTTCTGGTACGTATTGGCGACAGCCATGGACCGCTGCGCACTCGCTAATCCGACGGACATGATAGTATGCGGGACTAGTAAAGTACGCGCGCTTCACGTGCTGGCGAGATCCGACATCGAGATTCTACGCGCCCAAGCTCGCGCACACCCCCGCCTACTCGCGCCACAGGATCTACGAAGCCAAGAAATACGCAGCCCAACTTGCGGAGGAGAAGCCAGAGAAGCCCGTCAAGACGGGCACCCCAGACTTGTGCGTGGGGATCACGTCCGTCAGCAGAGACGGCGTGGCCTATCTCAAGACCGTCCTCGCCTCTCTCAACCACGGCCTCAGCCCCGAAGAGCAGTCGCGCGTGCGCATCGTCGTGCTCCTCGCGCACACCAACAAGACGCAGCACCCGGACCACGATGCGCCATGGCTCCCCCTCATGACCGACAAGGTCGTCTACTACGACGACAATGCCGACTGGCTGGACCTTGCGACGCGCATAGAGCACGAAAACAGCCACCCCGTCAAACACAAGCTTGACTACTCCATCGTCCTGGAGGAGTGTCAAAAGACGGGCGCAGCGTACACCATCATGGCCGAGGACGACGTGATTTTCCTCGACGGCTGGCGACACCGCGTCATGGAGGCACTAGACATCGCGACGGAAAAGGCGTGGTCATCTTCCCACAGAGAGTTCCTGTACCTGCGGCTCTTCTGGTATGACCAGCTTCGCGGCTGGAACGCTGAAGACTGGCCCACATATCTTTTCTGGTCGAGCCTGGTGGCAGGCTGCGTCGCAGGCGCACTGCACTTCACGCGGAAAGCGGTCCCCACCGCGCGACGCACTCTGACGCGCCCCGTCTGCGGACTGGTTATCTTTGTCTTCACCCCGATGCTGATACTGCTGTACTTTGCGGCAGGACGCAACTGCATGCAGCCGCAGCCCGAGGGTGTGACCCTCATGGAGAGGAACGCATGCTGTGGGCAGGGCCTCGCGTTTCCGCGCAGCGTGATCGAGAACGAGCTCCTGCCGTCCTTCCACAACAATCGCTGGTCCGAGACGCCGGCCGACAGCTTCATCGAGGACTATGCGCAGGCGACGGGTGGCTTGCGCTACGCAGTGACGCCGGTGATTGTGCAGCATGTGGGCGGCAAGAGCAGCTACGGCGCCAAGAGGGGCAAGCTGGGCATCATGACGCCCGGCAAGATATGGAATTTTGGATTCGAGAGGCATGATCCCGACGAGTTGGCGCGCGAGCACGAACGGGTCCTGGAGGTGGAGAGTATGGCACACGATGCTCGTGAGCGGGATGATGTCTTATGATGGAATGAAATCGATACCCTGATGCGATTATATTGATACCATGTATATAGTTTGGATGATGTCGACTTCTCTAGATATAATTTTCTTGAGGCTCCTCCGCATCACGTCCCACGTACCAAATCACCAATCCTCACCGTCCCATCCTCCTCGCCAACCCCCAAGAGGGGCTCCAAATCGCCATCCCTCCTCGTCAGACCATACCGTATCCTTCTCTGCTTCATCTCGACCGTCAATTCCAGTCCGTCCCTGGCTCCCGCACCCACGGGCATATCCACCAACTTGGAGTCGCGCACCACGGTCGACGCAAAGCCCAGAATCTCCGGTCCCACGGAAACGTGTGCGTAGACCACGCCCGCGACACCCGCCGCGAGCAAGACGCAGCACGCCAAGATACACAGGGCGGCCCATTCCTTGCGGACGTGGTACTCCAGCACGAGGGTCTCAACCTTGGCGGGCGCGGTGACATTGCTGCTCAGTCGTCTGCCATCTGGGTCCTCGTTGCCCAGGGCGTTGGTGAACATTTGCGTGACGTGCAGATACGAGTTGAGCACCTCTGTGAAGCGCTGCGAAAAGTCCGCCCGCTGCGTGTCCTGCAGCCTGACGGCGTCGCCCGGCCCGGGGAGGGTGAGGTTGCGGAGGGCGGGATCGGCCATGTACTGCAGTGTGATGTCGGCGTTGGATATGTCGCCCGCGTTCGGCCCCGTGGCGAGGGGCATGTTCTTGGAAAAAGCCTGCAGGATTTGCGGGAACGACAGCGGCGTGATGGTCGACGGCGGATGGGCCTTTTGGGAGTCCCGCTGGGCATTGACCCGACACGAGGGACGGTTATTGGATGGCGGCCGTTCGCAGATGACGCGGGACTCGACGTAGCGTTGCTCGATATCGCAGTAGGAAAACACGGCGTCTTCGTGGAGGAGTGCCTGGTTAGAGAGCGCGGCTTGAAAGTAGAGTCTTACTGGCCCAAAGTCAACGTCCTCGTCGTGCTCGAACATGAAGGCGGGAGAATCCTGAACTCGCTCCATATACGCCCACTCTTCGTCCTCTGGGACAGTGTCTCTGCGAATCCACGATCCGTTGGCCCAACCAGAGTCGACGAACCGATCGACCGACAGTGACCACGGCGCCGACTCGAGTTTGCCGGAGATGTTGCGACTCGTGGGGTACCCCTGGAAAGTGCCGTTCGGGATGGTGTTGTACGGATAGTACACCCACATTTGGATCACGGTGGAGTTGACCTCTTCCAGGGTCTCGTTTTCCGTATGGGTTCTCAAGTCCTCGCAGTCGAGAGATATGTAGCTCGACTCGAGGGTGAAAGACGTGTTGCCCTCGCTGACGTTTAACAGCGGGATACCCACCATCGCGGAGTACCGTGGAATGTCGCCCTGTTTCAGTTCCCGCCAGGAAGAAGAAGCCGACGACGATGACGCAGGGAGCAGGGGAATCTTGACGTTGCCCCAGAGATCCATCGTGTCGTTTTTGACAACGCTTGGCGCAAGTAGCAGGGAGGTGTAGATGGTGCCAAACAGGTCAATGGCAACCTGCGAGCTGATGGCCGAGCCTGCGGACGACGCTGTGTAATCGCTGAGAAGACTCTTGGCCCGCGTGTCAAAGTACTGCACGCCACTGTCCTGGACGCGTGAGCTCAGCTGGGGGAGCAGCATGCGGAGGATGGACTGCGCCCCCAGCGGCGAAAAGACCCAGAGCAGCAGCAGTCCTACGGCCAGCAGGTTGACGCCCTTCAGATGAAAGGGCGACAAGACGGCGCCGCCTACGGTGCGACTGCCGAGGAGCTGCTCCAGGGTGCCCAGGGTGCTGCCCTGCTCGAGGCGATAGCGAGCGACCTGGACCATCAGTCTGCCCACGATGGCCGCGAACATGACTGGGAAAAGGGTCGACAGCTGATCTTGTTAGCAACGCTGAGGGAGCTCAAGCGATTTAACGAGATGACGTACAATGGAAGCTACGTTGACCCATTTCGCAATGGCTTCTGGCGTTGCCTCTCGTCCATCATGGCACAGCACCGCAATGGCGAATCCGAGTAGGCCCAAAGGCACCGCCAGGCACGAGACGTCCGCGGCCAAGGTCTCCACGCCAGGCGTGACTTTACGGATCACGGGCGCACGGATCTCGTCCTTGGAGCGCTCGTCGTCGCTCTCTGAACGTGTATGCGTGTCCACCCGTCGATGGGAGAACTGCGGCTGGCGTTTGTCGTGCACGGCATCATCGCGCAGGGGCAGGCTGTGGTAGACGTCTGGTTCTGGCACGTAGGGATCTGGCATGGCGCTGTAGTTCTGCCATGGTGACGAGCGATGGGAGGGCATCGTGGCTCATGTAAATGATGGGGATGCGTAGTCAGGGTTCTCCAGCGCATTGAATTGAAGCAGGATTGTGTTCTAGCATAGCCATCGTTCCTCTTGGGCATTGTGAAACGATGAATGGCCAGAGACTAGGATTAAGCGCCCGCGCCGCATGCCTGCGGCAAAGGGCACAGCTAACGTTAGGCATTCTGGGGGCGAGGGGCGAGTGGAATGACGGTGACGGCTGAGAAGAAGGTGAGAGCCAATTGTTTGGTGAAATTGGCCGTCGTCATGGCCTCTTAGGGCTGACTGATGGCGATCTGGGGTCTGCTGATCAGCTACCTTGTTTCGTGGAAAGTTTGGTCTCCGGAGGGTACATTCGAGAGCCTTTATCAAGTCTGGGGAGCCCAGCCGTGGGCGTAGTCGACCTTACTTACCCTGGACTTAGCCACGGTACGAGTCAACGGGCCTGATTCGCCAAGGTAATAAGTTTTTAGTTATTAACTAAATAATATATAGAGCACGCTCTCTCTTTTTAGTGTATATTATGCTTATAAATCCGAGATTTCTAGCTTAGCACGCTTTCGAAAGTATCTTCATAACGAGACCCAGTCTTCGGCACACTACCTTGATTAGGCTCTAAGACATGCTTGATAAATATAATAAGACCTTTTGAATTAAAAACTTCTTCGCGCTGCATTTTGCGCCCTCAGCATGCTTACATTCCAATCAATTTCACCGCTCTTGCTTCATGCCCGCCCCCATTGCGCCCATCGCCATTCAAGTCCGATTCATGGAGAGCTCGGGATCTGATTTTGAATCTGAGTCGAACGCTCCAACATCTGAGATTAACTTCTCGGCCGAGGAGGCTGTAGAAGACGACCCGTTCATCCCCTCGGATTCCGAAATACGTCGTATATTTAACAGTGGTCGGATAACATGGAGTAAGCTCGCCGCCACGGCTGATCAGTTCGGTGACGACCTTTGGCCCCTAGATCTTATGCGACTATACGTTAGCCTCGACAATGTGCCTAGTCTTCCAGCTCGACTTCCGCGTAAGTAATTCTTATACGGCAGACCTCTTTGGCGTGTACCTCGACTTGAAGCCTACCGCAGCGATTGCCAAAGTATCGACCACGGGCTAGATTACCTTTACGAAAACGGATACGAGAGGAGTCCGAACGATGGTACACAAATCATCAGTGGAGGCTATATAACTATAGATATCATGGCCAAAGACCCACTGCAATGCGACGTAGACCACGACGGTTTGTCAAACTTTGTCGGTGTACCTGAGGTTGCTGAAACGCTTCTGGTTATGATATTGTGTTGGGCATATGTTTTAAGTGCAAGACTTTGCGAATCTTAGGATCGCAGGATTATCTACTCCAAGCATCATCTCCAACCGGTGGCTATAGGCACTTTCGACGATCCTAAAGCAATCAAACTGTGTGGAGCGTCCAAGGGCCTCGTTCGATGGCTTTGCGCTTTGTTAAGTCTAAGGCTCGGCTAGGGTGTTAATAACGACGGAGGGCTCCCGCCGTGGGCATTATGCCTGACGACCCGTCTTAGTATTGTGACGGACGATGGTACCCTTGACACCTTATCGGCTCCCGACTCAACAGAAGCAATGCATTTTATGATGGAGCTGTGTCGGCCTCCTGGCGTGGAAGTCCATAGTCAACATAATGACGGCATGCAGGGTGGAAGCTTAGCGCCATTTCACGCCGGGCTTTGCGCCGCCTTGATGCTGCCCTTTTATCGTTACACAGGCTTGCGTCCCCGACTGCCTTTTCCACGGCTCGCGTTTGAGAAGAAGAAAATGCCGAGGCACACGGATTTGCCCACGACCATTTAGACACTGTTGCTCGACCTTGGTTACTTTATGACTCTTAGCTTATATCCCTCTGGGGTTGGCTCTGTTCTTTGGAGTATCTTCTGGCAACCCGACGTGGACTGTAATCTTGTGAGCCCTTGGCTATTAGCCATTATGGTCGTTTTGGAACCAATGCTTTAATGCAAGTAAATTGGAAAACTGCTGAAACTCTTTGGCCTGCGGAGGCCTCGCGTCGCCTTCTGGTGGCTGGGCCTTTTCCTACTAGGAGATCTAAACACGATAAATTGGATCAGGCGCTATGCAAGGTCGCTCAATGAGCAGTACGGGCAAGCTACCTTATTAGCACCTAACCTAGCTGTCTCTACATGGACGGGCTTATAGCAGTCTTTCCTGGATGGCCATGACACTCAAGAGCGAGAGCGCTTTGTAGATACTGGTATGAAAACTGACGATCTGATATCCAACAGGAAGGTGCTTTGTTGCCGCTTCCACTTGCGGACATAGGATACCGGATCTAGAACTCTTGCATGGCGTCCATTTGGTCGCATGCCAAAGAGTATGGTTGAAGTCGACCTTTGGCCATACCTTGAAACTACTGTGTCACATAGCTACCATGCCTTTGTTTGGTATTCCGATGGTAGTCAGTACCCCCTTAGCTTAGGCTTTCGACGAGAGACCTCGAGGTATCTCCCGAATGTTCGCGATGATCTTGATCGATTCGAGGCTTCCGAATCCGTGTCTGAGGGCACACGCTCGTCAGAATGTAGTCTTGGGCCATCGAAAAGATCAACTTTGCAAATGATTGCCCATCTTGTCAAGGAATCGTGCGGGGATCGCAACTGGGCCAACTCTGGACTCGATGCAAGATGGCAACGGCCAAGTGGCTTGCAGGTTGGCGAGGCCTCGATTGAATCGAGCAACTAAAGCCACGTCAGAATGGCGCCGGATGCGATACAATCTTGACAATGGTCGAAATAAGTTTTCATGTTATTCTGTGGGCGCTACAAAGAATTCTCACCAGACTCATCAATGAATTCTGACGAATTCCCAGAGGGCACCTCCATGCCTCTCAATATAGCGTACTTCCGTCAGGCCTGACCGAAAATTGCCATTGTGTCCACCAGTCCAAGCTCTAGATCTAGTAGTAACTACTCCTTTGCTTGTATGTGAGATTCTCCCATCCATCCCACCTGGTGATGAACTTGAGCATGAAAATTCCACCACGAGTCATGGCCTGCTCTTGAATCCTTTAAAACAGGAATCACGCCGAGCAGACAAAGACGTTTGAGATACAGTGTCCAAGGGCTGGCCTGGGCTTGCGCGCGATGAACTGAACCATGCACGTATCTCTGAACCATCCCCTACGAACTCAGTGTCGCTGGGCGTAGGCGCGCCCAATAAGTGCGCACTACCTAGGCTGAATGGCACTTGGTGTTCGTCCAAAGTGTAATCAATGCCTCTTGGCCCCAAAGCCAGTCCTCAGGTCGACATCACAGACGTTGAGGAGGCGGGACAGACGCTTGTCCTCGAGCCTGGCGAGACAAAGCCCGTGGCCGTCATGCGCTGCCCAGCACGCCTGCCTGGCTCCAGCCGTGTCCAAGCTCGCCCGTCCAGATCATTGGCGTTGCGTAGCACAGCTTCAGTACGAGGAATGCCATGGGATTCCACGGACGTCCTCGTCGTCGCCGAATGACGGGGAGCTTGCGCGGCAGACGTGACCTCGATGCAAGCTCTGAGCATTGCAGTCTCAGGATACGATGCGGCCATTGCTGGTTTCGATGACTCGAGGGACACTGCACGACGTGAGCTGTTCTTCTCAGGATGAAGAGGCCTTGCCCATGACCGCTCGATTGCCGCTGAGGTGATCCCAGCGTCGTATTAGAGCTTGAGCCTACTTCTGTGAGCTTGGTGAAGGCTCACACTGGCAAGTCACGACATGGAGCATCTGGCCTTGCGCTCCACATCGCATCGCTCGGAGCGCATTGAACGATTGAACGTGCAGCAGAGCTGCGTCATTCAAGAACTCAAGTGAGATTTCCAAGGAGTGAGATCAATCGAAGCGACACGAAGACGTAACATGACCAGCGGTACTCTGTAGAACATGGAGTAATGAATTGGAGACTCGAGTCTAGTCCCGCCGGGTTTCATGGGTCGCATTGGCGCAATGAGACCCGAAAGCCGAAGGTCACGGCGCACGCTGGCCCTGCCTACCCCCAACGACGTTGCCAAAGTTGCCGTGTTCTAGAAAGTGGCAATCTTACAAGATTGTTCCAGAGTACCACACATTAATAGTTACTCTTATTTCTCTTCTCGACGAAGCGCATCAGGCTTCATGTTGACAGTCTCGATCCAAGCCATGACGCAGCTCTTATCGCCAGACCCGACGCTCACTATCGGAAGCCGCCCATTGGCCAACCTGACGTACAACTGGGTCCCCCAAGCTCCAGGCTCCAGCCCCTCCTCCACGTCTCTCCATCGTGACCCTCCTCCTCAAACCCTCTGCGGCACCAGCAATTGTCATAATGTAAACATACCGGCCGTTCCGCGTGACCGCGAGCATTCCGCAGTCCCCGCAAAGCACCCTTCTCAGTCGTCATGTGGCCTCTCATTCGTGGCTGGCCAACTTTGACGGCCAACACCATGCAATCGCCCCGAGCGTAGCCGCGCCCAGCCTATTCTTGCCAGTCCCACGCAAAGCGTCACTCTCGTGCAGACTGACTGGTCACAGCAAATGTGCCGCGCTGAACCGAGCGTCTGCCAGACTGGTATTGTATGATTGACTGGCTCTGGTGAGCAAGCGTCATGCTCTGCTTTAAGAGAGGTCTGGCGCCCTCGAGTGATGGGTGCTTGTCTTCCACTGCTCATTCATTGTCAGTGTCTTGTCTTTGATTGATCACTCACGTGTGTCCATGGTTCGGTAACAACACCAAGATGCTCAACGCCGTGACATTGACCGCCGGCCTCCTTGGCCTGGGCGTCTTCTACGTCCTGACCCTCGCTGTCTACCGGCTCTACTTCCACCCCCTCGCCAAGTATCCCGGCCCTCGCGTCGCCGCCCTCACCAACGCCTACCAGCTGTACCACGCATACCGCGGCGACCGCCATCTCGAGTTCTGGCGCCTGCACCAAAAGTACGGCCCCGTCGTGCGCTTCGGCCCCAACCACATCAGCTTCAACTCGCGCGCCGCCCTCAAGGACATTTACGGCTTCAAGAGCAACGTCCGCAAGAGCGAGTTCTACAATGCCTTTGCCCACCCCGTCGCCAACACGCACAACACTCGGGACAAGCAGGTCCACGCCCGCAAGAGGCGCGTCCTCAGCCAGGCCTTCTCGGACAGCGCCATGCGGGGCATTGAGCGCTACATCCTGCAGAACGTGCGCGCCTTCACCGAGCAGATCGGCGTGGGCGCCTCGGACGAGCGCAAGGGGTGGACGACGCCCAAGCTCATGAGCGACTGGTGTAACTACCTCGCCATGGACATTCTCGGTGACCTCTCGTACGGCAAGGCCTTCCACATGCTCGAGAAGCCTGACAACCGCTTTGCCCTCGGCCTCGTCGAGGCCGCCACCACCCGCCACCTCATCTGCGGCACCATGCCCGTCGTCGACAAGCTCAAGGTCGACAAGTTGCTCTTCCCCAAGCTCGCCGCCGGCCGCGCCCGCTACATGGCCTACAGCAAGGGCCAGCTCACCGAGCGCACCAAGCTGGGCGAGGACACGGACCGCCGCGACTTCTTCTACTACCTCCTCAAGGCGCGCGACCCGGAAACCGGCCAGGGCTTCAGTATCCCCGAGCTGTGGGCCGAGTCCAACCTGCTCATCATCGCCGGCTCCGACACCACCTCGACCGCCATGGCCGCCACCCTCTTCTACCTCGTCCGCAGCGAGCACGCCCTGCGCAAGGTCACCGACGAGGTCCGTCGCGCCTTTTCCGACGTCGAGGAGATTGTCCAGGGCCCCGCCCTCGCCTCCTGCACCTACCTCCGCGCCTGCATCGACGAGGCCATGCGCCTCTCCCCCTCGGTCGGCGGCATCCTCCCCCGCGAGGTCCTCCCCGGCGGCGCCCGGGTCGACGGTCACGATATACCCGCCGGCACCGTCGTCGGTGTCCCCCACTACACCATCCACCACAACGAGGAGTACTACCCGGACCCCTTCAGCTACAACCCGGAGCGCTGGCAGCCGGGCGCCAAGTCGATCCAGAACGGCGCCCTCGTCACCGAAGACGCCGTCGCCGTCGCCCAGAGCGCCTTCTGCCCCTTTAGTGTCGGACCACGCGGCTGCATCGGCAAGGGTCTTGCTTATGTCGAGATGAGCACCACCCTGGCCAGGACCATCTACCTGTATGATATGCGTCGCGCGGTGGGCGCGCGGGATCCGGGTGAGGGCCAGGTGGGTGCTGAGTTTGGCAGACACAGGCCAAGCGAATTCCAGCTCGTGGATACGTTTACGAGTGCCAAGCAGGGGCCTCTGATTGAGTTTAGAAAGGCGCAGCAGGACTAAAAAAAGGTGAAAGAGTAGGGAAGCGCGTGGCGAGCCAGTTATGGCTGCGCGATTATGAATGATGAAGCACATGCATGCATGGTGTCTTGTTCTGATCTTGTGTATCTTGGGCAACGGCCACCCAGGGAGGGTGTTTCAATCTCGGCATTCGCCAGTCTAGCAAGTAATTAGCTGAATATCTCATGATGATGGGTCAGTTCACGTGCCAATCAGTCTGAGGTTCTCTTCGTCATGTCCTGGGCCCTTGATTCGTGACCATGTGATCGTCGGCACTTGTACTGGCGCGCCAGTCAGATGCCGGCGCATCTCCTCCAAACAAGCACCCGGCCACAAGCGAGCCAGTGAGTGCGACGAGAGAGCGTATCGACCCCATAAATCAACGTCCTGCTCGGCAAGCCCCGGTGCGGGGGGTCCGGGGTATGGGGATGTATGTGCCTGAAGCTCGGCATTGAGTATCTTCGTCTGGAGCGGGAGATGAGGAGATCCAACAGCCCATCGCGGTTCTTCTTCTATTGTCGTTTCGCATGGAAGCCATCATGGGCAGATCACAATGGATTGTATGATACAAGCAAGTGTAAATTTTATTCTCTCTGTCTCAAGGGGAATATCGAGCGGTTATACTTACTGGACTAGATGCCTCCAGTCTCCCCAACTCGACAGCACGCTGCAAGGGGCACTGCTACCCTCCATACTCGCACATTCTCCCGATGCCCGATGTGGATTCGAGCGATGATACTCTGATCCTCCTTCCCCTCGGGGTAGCGCACCGAAGAACGGGGTCGTCATCGCACATTACTGCGTCGGCGAGGACCCTTCTTTGGGAGGGCCGCGCAAATATAAAAATGTCCCAACGACGCACGAGCCAGAGACGAGCTCTTCAGCTCCCCAGACTACTCCCATCCAACTCCCCATCATGCTGTCCCAGTCTCTCCCCCTTCTGGCCCTGGCCGCCACAGCCTTGGGCTTCCCCGATCTCCCCTTCAAGACATCCGGCTCTGAGATCATCACCTCCAAGAACACCCCCATCAAGGTCGCCGGGACTAACTGGCCGGGCCACAACGATGTCATGGTCCCCGAGGGTCTGCAGTACCGCTCCATCAAGGGCATTGTCTCGGACCTCAAGTCGACGGGCATGAACGTGATCCGCCTCACCTACGCCATCGAGATGATCGATCAGCTGCTGGACGAGAACAAGTCCGACCTGCAGTCCGCCTTTGTCGACGCCCTCGGCGAGACGGAGGGCATGGCCGTCCTCCAACAGGTCCTCGCGAACAACCCCGAGTTCAGCGCGACGAGCTCCCGGCTGGACGTCTACGACGCCATCGTCGAGGAGCTGAACGCCCAGGGGATCTACGTCAACCTCGACAACCACATCTCCAGCGGCGAGTGGTGCTGCAGCTCCAGCGACGGCAACACCTGGTGGGGAGACGAGTACTTTGACGCGGACAAGTGGCTTCGCGGTCTGGCCTACATGGCTGATCACGTAGGTTCTCACCTTTTCTAAACCTTCCACCCCGATCGACTAACACGCACCAGGGCAAGGCATGGCCAAACCTCATGTCCATGTCGCTGCGCAACGAGCTGCGCGAGCCAAGCAACAACGCGACCCTCCTCGAGACGTACAACTGGCAGACGTGGTACAAGTACGTACGCGAGGGCGCCCAGGCCATCGGCGACGCCAACCCAGACCCGCTCATCATCCTCTCCGGGCTCAACTACGACACGACCCTGCAGCCCGTCGTGCGCGGGAAGCCCCTGACGCCAGGCGACGAGGTCTTCTCGTTCGACGACTTCCCCGCCGACAAGATCGTTTTTGAGCTGCACAACTACAACACCGAGGCCACCAACTGCGGCGACATCACCGGGGCGCTGTACAATGGCGGCGCGCAGGCCATGGTGCCGGACGACGAGACCACGGTCAACGCAGCGCCCGTTCTCATCACCGAGTTTGGCTTTGACCAGACCGAGTACCAGGGCGTGTACGCGACCTGCCTCGCCGACTGGATGCCCGACAACACGGCCGGCTGGATGCAGTGGGTCGTCGCCGGCAGCTACTATATCCGCAGCGGCACACCTGACTACGAGGAGACGTGGGCGCTGTACGACCATGAGTGGCAGAGCTGGAGGGTGCCCGAGTATGTGGAGGGCATCTTTAGCGACTCGATTGCGGCGACGCTGGCGGACAATGCGTGAAGGCGTGTCTGGGCGTGAACACGTAGAGTACTTGTGGTGTCAGTTATAGAGCAAGCTACCGTACATTTACTCCGTACTCACTCGACAAGATTAGTGCTATCTTAGCTACCTTGACGGTGTCGATTGATGGGCCAGTCGTGCTCTTTGGTTACAACCATGGCTGAAAGCTATCTCTGAATGCGAATGCAAATTGTGACACTCTCAAAGATGCAATGCTTGAGATGCGCGTCAAAGCAAAACGACGAGCTCTGCCGTCTTTGCGCCGTCTCCTCCAGAAGCCAAGCTTCAACCCTGGGACTTAACATCGCTGAAGAGGAACTCTCCACCCGCCTCGACAATCTGCTCAATGGCCTGCTCCTGGACCTCCTCCATCACCTCGACGTTTTCTCACGTCCCAACGACAACTGAATGGCAGACCCTTCCGTCACCAAAAATGAGCCAATGATACAATTCCTTTCCATTCTCCTGCTTAGACTCTCAGACGAACAAACCAACATTCTGTCTTCCGCAATGCCCCTGAAATCGATCGCGTCCTTGAGCGCTCTTCGTTTGTTTGGATCATCGAGCAGACCAGCCTTGATGAGCGATTCGCGCACGCTTTGGTGGTACGCTTCGTACTGACTTCAGCGAGATCTCGAATGCTCAGCCGGAAAGGCCTCTTGATAGCTTCTCTTGTTTGAAGTGAACCGCTGGTTGAATTCGGAAACGGCCATTATAGCTGGTGGCGAGATAGCTTGAACCGATTGTACTTTGGAGATGGCAGCAACGCGCAGCTGAACGATGAGAGGCGGCGTGAAAAGATGAGCGGCCTACGTAAGTTATGTGCTATGGACGAGTCCCTGTGCCAATAATAAAGTCGCCAGCGCTGGTCTGTCTTGGTAGGAAATATCCTTATCGAGGGTAGTGCTAATGCCGTACTCTCTTAGTCTGCGGCATTGACGCCTCTCTTTTCAGTGGCAGGTTTGAAATCTTGCGCGACAGCCTTGGAGGACCGGTCAATGACAGCATCGACACCGAAGGTCTTCATTACCGGCTTCAGCAACATCCAACCCCGAGACCGTTCCCAATCCATCGCAACCGGCCATCATCTTCTTACACTCCCAGGCCCGGTATTGACTTCTACGCTCGAACAAAAGGATGCTTCTGCGCTCGAAAAAAAGGACTCCTCCAACCGGATTTTCTCCCTCCCTCTGGCTCCCACCAAGGTCACGCGAGAAATCGTGCGACGTCCCTAACGGTCACCATGACTGAAGTTTCGGCCACCCGCCTGTATCTAGGCAATCTCCCACGCGAAGAAGCTACCAAGACTGATATCCAAAGCGTTGTGTTGTATGAAAGCGGATCGGGTTACTGACATTGCGTTGATCGCACAATGAATCTGGTCACGCTCGTAATGGTGTTCCCGGATGAGTGTGAAATTAATGCCGATGTCTCGTCCGTGGCAAACGAAAGACCAACGGGATCGCGGTGTCGGGACACGTGGACAGACGTAGAGTACTTGTAGTGTTAGTCATAGAGAAAGCTACCGTACATGTACTCCGTACATATACTCACTCGAAAAAATCAGTGCTATGGATGAGTGCTTGTGCTAATAATGTCGCCAGTGCTGGTCTGTCTTGGACCGAAGGTGCTCTCCTTCGTGACCCAACCGGGCGTAAGGAAGGTGGCAAGGCCACACTGGTCCTACCGGGCAATCAAGGGCCACTGGGCACTGCAAGAGCTCTGGTGGGTGTCAATTTAGCTTACCTGAGAGGAGGGCATCCTCTTCTCGAATCCATCATCATCACAGCCTCCAAAATGAACTACATTGGCCCCAACACTTTCTCCCTCCACGCCCCTTACTTTTGTTTTCAAAGACCCAGTCTCTCCCGGGTTTCTCGACCTCGGATCTAGTGGCCCGTTCATAATACCGAAGCGACGTCGACGAAGTCCACTTGTTGCACCGTCTATCACCAAAAAGAGGCGACAATATCGCAGTGAAGCTTTCGACACAGGGTCACAGACCCGCCTGCCTTCAATCTCATGGCAGCTTCAAATGCCAACATGAACGAGCCTCCTCCTCCCAGACAGCCAACTGGGCAAGAAGCGAGGAGATACTATTGGGGCCTTCCTTCGGATATCAGGGGCTCTTCTCATCACACGATCCTCCACGACTCCCTGGGACATTCCCCATCAAGATTGGAGATTTCGAAGATCAGCATACGCAGTCACTTGTACTGCTGTCAGCTTGATCAGTGCTGATCGAGAGCACATGCCACAGTAGAACGCGGCCCAAGGGGTCGTTGATCAATGCCTGGATACCCTCCGGGACCGGGAGTTTGGGGTCAACAACGTGGAATGCGAGATGATGGCAACATCTTGGTTTACTCTAACCGACGCGAGTATATTGAGAGTACCATAGAGGATCACAGCAAATTCATATCCTTCCCTGGTGCCGTAATCGATTCGGCCGACAACACCAGGAATGAACAGCGGGAAGGTCTTTTGCTAGCGGATCGTGGATTCGGAATATCAATCGTCAATTAGATCGCCGATTCAGTCAAAATACTTGTCATCTTGCTGAGCCGTTCAATTCTCGGTGAATTTCTCCATTTCTCTCCTAGTGAGGTACACCCGGGTCCACAGACACTTGTCCTAAAGTCCGCATAGGGCTGTAGAGTTATTATCGAGTGAGCATGGATACGGTATTGGCACTACCCTTAATAAAGATATTGCCTACTGAGACAGATTAAGTGAGTATAGTATTAGCATACCTCTTAATAGGATATTACCTACTAAGATAGACTCTCTAAGTACGGTATTGGCACTATCCTTGATTAAGATATTGCCCACTAAGACAGACACTCTAAGTATAGTATTGGCACTATCCTTAATCAAGATATTGCCTCCTAAGACAGACACTCTAAGTATAGTATTGGCACTATCCTTAATCAAGATATTGCCTACTAAGACAGACACTCTAAGTATAGTATTGGCACTACCCTTGATAAGGATATTGCCTACCAAGACAGACCAGCTCTGAGTACGGTATCCGGGAATTAAACGGCTTAGCAAGGTAACAAGTAAGTATTGCAACTATTCCGGCGATCTAATCAACGATTGAGATTTCGAAACCACGATCCGCCATCATACCAAAAACACCCTCCAGATGAGTCATATAAGTGATATCGCTCACCCCATCATATCCTTCACCGCTGGTCAGCATACCCACAGGTCTGCCATCCAGATTCCACACCACAGCACCAGAGTCGCCACGCTTAGAGAACCGAGTAGCCTTGTCGCTATTCAACTGATCATCCGGAAGGCCGACAATAAAATACTCTTCAGAAATGTGCTCTGGCCCGACTGGCCTGCGGGTTACCGCCTTGAAGTCGTTGCAGTAGCCGAAGGTCAATCCTGTGGCAGCACCATATTTCCCGAGGACGTATTGCCTCGATTCTGGGTTGCGGGACAATAGGGAGTCATGCTCAGCCATAATACCCCGGCGAAGCTCGGACTTTGGGAGTATTGAGCTTTGGAGTTGCATGGAACTCTTCTTGTGCAGGGTTGGGTCGACAGCTTTGAGAGTTGCCATGCCCACCACATTGTCCCAGAACAGTGGAATAAGATTCCACTGATGGCCAGCCTCAACCTTGTCCTCAAAGATTTCGAGAAGAGCCCAATCGCTGATTGTTTTTCTGCCCTCGTCGAGGCCGATTGGAGGTGTGTAAAGGACACGGCCCAGAGTTCTAACGGATCGAGGCTCGAAGGGTCTGGTGTAATCCCTTAGTATACTGTTGATGCTCAGAGCGGCCTTCGCAATCTGTGTCTGAAACTTGAAACGTCTGATGCGAGGCTCCATTGGTACACAAGCTTGGTGCTCCTCGCTATCCGACCATCCCGCCTTACGAAGGCCATCTTCGAGTCTAACAATCCGATCGGACTGTTCCGCGATAGAGTGGTCAATCTTCTCAATCCACTCGTGGAGGTACTTGGCCGAGGGCAGATGGACATCGTACCGCATTGTGACCGGATCGAACTCGGACTTCGATCTAGATTGCACGCAATGGTTGCAGGTTAATGCAGCAATAAAGCTGACATCCTCTGTCTCGATCAATCCGGGGGAGACAACTTCTCTCTCCTGCTTCGTCATAAATTGCCACTTTGACAGCCACAGCTCGGTTGGCCTCTTTGTGATCCGGACAGTGAGCCCTAACGTGTCAGTGCTATTCCTAGTGTTGTCGGCCGAGTCGATTGCGGCACCAGGGAAGGGTATGAATTTGCTGAAATCTACTGTGGTACGCTCAGCATGCTTTGCATTCAGCGCCTCAAGTTTGGCAGGTGCCTCAGGGTTGGTTAGAGGAAACCAAGATGTTGCCATCATCTCGCATTCCACGTTATTGATCCCAAACTCCCAGTCCCGGAGTGTATCGAGGCATTGATCAACGACCCCTCGCCGCTTGGGCCACGTTCCACTGTGGCATGTGTTCTTCATCAACACTGATCAGCAATACAAGTGACTGCGTATGCTGATCTTCAAAGTCTCCAATCTTGATTGGGAAAAACGACAGCCATCGGATCGCTTTCCCGTCTAGGCACGAGATGATTCGAGACTTTAGCGGGCATTGCCATGCTGCGGCCAAAGCATCGTGCCGCCCCGCTGGAATCAACGACTTGTAGTAGCGGGGCATGTCCCAGGGAGTCGTGGAGGATCGTGCGATGAGAAGAGGCTGCGAAGGAAGGCCCCAGTAGTATCTCCTCACTTCTTGTCTAGTTGGCTGTCTGGGTCCTGTAGGAGGACGAAGTTCGGTCATGTTGGCATCTGAAGCTGCCATGTTGAAGGGAGGCGGGTCTTTGTCGGAAACTACACTGCGATATTGTGTCGAAACTTCAATGCGATATTGCCACCCTTTTTATAGAAGAAGAAAGAGCCAGGCGACGGGGCGCTTCCCCATTGTTTTGTCCATGAAGCTGCCTAAGGTACTAGTTGAATTCAACTGGCCGAAGGTTGTGTGCCTCCGGTATGACTCAAATTAAGCTCTCTCTTATGATCAAGAGAGTAACTCCCGGTCCCGGAGGGTATCGAGGCATTGATCAACGACCCCTTGGCCCACATTCCAGTGGCATGTGCTCTCGATCAACACTGATCAGCTGATAGTAATACAAGTGACTGCGTATGGTATTAGCACTACCCTTGACAAGGATATTGCCTGCTAAGACAGACCAGTGAGTACGGTATCATGATGCTCGTGAATATGACGGTTAGCTATAGACGGTGAGAGTCACGTCAGTCTCGATAACATAGCTCACATCCTTCGATTTTTGACTCGGGACCATAAGTAAGTTAGCAAATTATGCCTGCGCATGACGACGTTGCCAGAGTGGCCTTTGCTTTGTCTTTGAGGAGGACTATTCTGGTGCGAAGTCAAAGGCGCTCAGCTCTACCCGGCCTTAGCAGAGGCGGGCCGGTTCTCCACTAAAAAGTGTTAGCGCCAACCGCGTCCAGCTCAGGCGTCGCGAGGCTGAGCTTTTTGTGACCGACCTTCGTCGCATCAGCACTCAATAACCTCACCTCTGCATCAACCAACCTTTTATAACCTGGCTCTCTCAAACATCAATCTCCACGCGAACGACATAAGAGCGGCGACATGACGTAGCGAGTTATCGACCCATACCTTCGGCGCGCCGCATACGAGTACCAGTCCCAGTTCCTCGACCCCAGCGACACAATGAAATGCACGTTCTTTCAGCAAGGGAGGTGCAGATTTGGCAGTATGTCTGGCCAACTGGTGCTTGCTGGGATAGGGGGCCTGACTGACGGTCGCTAGACCAGTGCAAGAACGAGCATGATCAAGACTCGAGCCGCCAGACGCAGAACCGAGGAAATCCATTCAGCCCCCTCGGAAACGATGCCAACCAAGACAAGTACGGTATGTCGAATCCGATTGCCTAAATGCAATTGAAGAAACAAGAAAGAGCCTAACGCAGCAGCAGCCAAGTACAGAATCAATCACGAAAACGTACGCGTAGACCTCCAACAAGAATCGCCGTCATGGATTCTCTCCGCGTACGGTCCCGGCCGCGATGCGCCAGAACAATTATTCGGAGGATACCCGCGCGAGCAGAGCTTCGAGGAGCTGAGGCTTCATTACTACGTCTCGGAGGCCAATGGGCAGGGCCAGGCTGCGGTTCGTTCTCCCTATACATGCTAGACCAGACCAGTGCTGACAGTCCCGCGCCTCCAGATCCAACAAGCTCAGGAGCTTTATAAGAATGCTGAGGAACAGATGAAGACGGCAGCAACCAATATCACCGAAGCCTGCAACTTTATTGTCGCGGCAGAGGACAAACACCCCAATCGACACGACATCTGCCAGCAATTCTCCACGGGCGCCCCATTCGGCGTCTTTGAGGTCGGCAAACAAAGGGCCGCCAATGCAGGGGGCCAAGCTCCCGTCAACCCCTTTGCGACTGGAAATGCGCCGCCTTCTAGTTTCGGCGCAGCAGGCGCACAAGCAGGGGCCTCTCCCTTTGCAACCACAGGCAATGCACCCGCCGGATCGTCAGGCAGTGGCTTTGGGCAGACATCGTCACTAGGTCAGCAGGCGAATCCGTTTGGGTCTGCTTCTGGAGGGAGCACCTTTGGACAGCCAAGTCAATCCACATCGACATTCGGACAGCCGTCCCAGCTGGGTGCTAAGGTCAACCCTTTTGCTGGCGCAGCTCCAGCCAGTAGGTTTGGGCAGGCATCTGCGCCTCCAGCGACGGGCGCCTCAGGATTCGGACAGCCGAGTCAACTTGGCGCACAGCCTAGTCCTTTCGCTGCTGCGTCGGGAAGTACCTTCGGCCAGCCATCACAGCAGGCGAACCAAGCGTCGCCTTTTGGTCAAGCGTCCGCGCCACCAGCAGCACAAGCGTCACCCTTTGGACAGGCGTCCACGACACCGGCCTCGTCGCCGTTTGGGCAAACAAATCAAGCAAATGCCGGCGGCTCCGGGTTTGGCCAAGTTGGTCAACTCGGCGCCAAGGTGAACCCCTTTGCGCCCACGTCAACGGCGCCCGCCACAAATACAGCGCCTAGCCCATTTGCGACAACGACGAGTCAGCAGCCTCAGGACCAGAACAGGGTGAATCCCTTTGGTCAAGCATCAAGCCAGCAGACCGCTGCGAATCCGTTCGCCGCTACTTCGAGCAATCAGGCCAGCAATACCCCCTTTGGCCAGCCTTCACAACTGGGTGCCAAGCCCAGCCCCTTTGCCGCTACAACCACCCAGACCAATACCAACAATAATGCCATCAACCCGTTCAGCTCACAAGCTTCAACCGGAGCCTCAGCTGCCGCTCAACCCGCCACGACCACTGCTCCAGCAAACCCCTATCCACCCGGTAGTGCCAGGCAACATCCACCGCTGGAGAGCTACACCACCAAGACAGCCACCGGCCGTCTCAACACATTCCGCAACAACCAGGTCACGTACAATGAGCAGAACCAGCCAGGCTATGTGACGCCCAGTGGTGCGTGGACGAAGATCTGGTTTCCCGACGGTCCGCCTGGCTTCAACAAGGATACGATGCTTGACATGGAGGCGTACGACGAGGACAGCAAGAAGCAGTGGAAGGCATTTGCGGAAACGGGCGAGTTCGAGGGAGGCGTTATGCCCGAGCTGCCGCCACCGCGTGATTGCGTACTGTGGAATTTCTAGATTAGGATGCGACTGGCGTTACGTGCGGAACCATTCATGAACATTGCAGGAAAGGCATGTATATCACAATTGAACAAGAACACACAAATCGCACCAAATGCGTCTTTGAATTTTTTATTTTCTACCAATCAAGGCATAGCCGAGCCTCGTATCCGTAGCTCCGACCATTCCTTGTCCGGGGTTGTGCGACCAGCCACGCTGCACTTAAGCAGCAATGGTGACCTCGACCTCGACACCAGCATCAATGTTGACAATGATCTGCTTGACGACCTCGGTGGGGGCGGTCAAGTCGATGAGGCGCTTGTGGATGCGCATCTCGAAGCAGTCCCAGGTCTTGGAGCCCTCACCGCAGGGGGTCTTGCGGGTGGTGACCTTGAGGGTCTTGGTGGGCAGGCGGACGGGGCCCTTGAAGCGGAGGTCCTTGCTCTTGGCGCGGTCGAGGATCTCCTGCGAGACCTTCTCGAGGGTCTGCACCTTGCGGGAGGAGAGGGTGATGCGGATCTTGTGGGACTTCTGTTGACGGGAGGTTAGAATAGTGTCACGACAAGAGTGAGATAGGAAGAAACGTACGGGGGCATCACCGCCCTGGTCCTTCTCGCCCTTCTGGTAGGAAGACATGATGTGTGATTCGGTGGTGGTGATTGGAAATATCTCTTCACGACTCGAACGTGGTGTTGCGGCAAAGTGATGAAGAGTGGGTTGGTAGAGGCAAAGGGGAAAAGTTTCGCGATGCGAGAATGAATTTCGTGGGATGCCCGATTGTGTGCGCTTGACGCTAAGCCTATCATGGGCTAGCGGGGCTGTCCTGCTTCTTGAGGTACGTACCTTTTGACGTCGGATCTTTGGCGGGGCAGATTCATGAGGCGACGCTCATGATGATTCATCCGGCGACGAGCTTGACATCGTTCTTAAGTGTCCTTTGGATATGGAAGGCCCTTGAGTTCCCGAGTCTCTCGATTTTGTGTTCTTGAATCAATTCTAGGCGGCATCATGGCCAGTCTACCCTCGTTTGCGCCCTTTCCCAAGGTTCAATGGCGGCAGCATCTCAACGCGCAGGAATGGGAATCGCTGCTCGAGGCATGGGAGCTTCTGGCGCGAGCATGCCTGCAGCTTTCGGACGTTGAGCTACAGAAGAAGGCAAAACAAGATGACTCTCTAGCCGAGTTCCTCGTCTCATTCGTCGAAGAGACAGCCGACTCGGGTCCTGCAGCACTGGGATCTCAATCTCACGCGACGTCATTGCGCAAGCTCGCATTTCAGCTCACGTCACGCCTATTCGCCCTCTCGCCGCCAGCGCAACTCTTGAGCTTCGAACATTTGAGTGCTTTCGCGCGTCTCTATCCCCGGAAACTCACAGCACCGGTGCTTGCTGAGCTTTTCGGCAAGCATGGTCCTGTTGCCGAGGCTTCTCTGACCGCGCTCAAGAAGCAGCTCATACCGCAGCTCGAGGCTGGTATCAAAGGCGATCTCAAGCTGGTGGAATCACAATTGATACGACTGAACCCATTGCTGCATACATCGCCCCATGCTTGTGCGCAGTGCTTGGCCGGGTCGGATTTTTTCGATGGACTGGTCATCTGTTTCAGGGTGATGAACCCTCCGCTTCGAAAAGCCATCATCACGACGGTGTATCTGTGTCTGGTGGGCCTGACCGACTTGGAGCGATGGGCCATGTTGAACGATCAGCTGTACGAGCTGAAAGCTGCGGCAGATTCACACAAGGCTGGCCCTCTCAATGTCAACGACTCGCTGGTCCCCGAGCTTGTGACGTCGACGCCCATCCTCAAGGTCCTATCGAAGAGAGCAGAGGATGCAGGGGCAGCAACGGCCAACTTCAGTAAACGCATCACTGCCCTGTATGAATTCAAAAAAGGCCCCATGCTACGACCAAAGCGCAAGAGGAAGGTCGACAAGGGCAAAGGGAGGCAGTTGGAAACCGACATGGATGCAGACATGCACGTACACAAAATGAGCCAGATCACACAAGTACAAGACTTGTTTCCGGATTTGGGCGCAGGATTTGTGGCAAGGTGCTTGGACGAGTACGGCGACGATGTGGAGCAGGTCGTTGCCAATCTGCTTGGTGAGAGTCTGCCGGCTCATCTGGCCACGGCAAATCGAAGCGAGCCTCTGTGCGTTGATCCCGCACGTCAGAATGGCCCCAGCGCTAACAGAGACAGCACTTCGTCACATCCGCCGCCGCAGCCTGATCTGGCGCCGCACCCGACGCCGCCTCAACTACCCACGCGTCGCAACATACATGATAATGATGAGTTTGACAACCTCTCTGCCGACATGTCAAAGATCACATTTGGTAAGGATCATGAAAAGACCGAAAAGGAGGTGTCTTCCACCGCGCCCAACAAGGCTGCCATTCTCTCCGCGCTCGCCGCGCTGGATCCCGACGACGACGAGCGCGACGACACGTACGACGCCGCTGATGTCGGCGGTACCGTCGACCAGAGCAACCAGGAAGCAGACGGCGCCAATGACGGTAATGAGGAAATCCTGTACCGCGCGTGGAACATGGACCAGAAGGCCTTTGGAAGGGATGCAGCGACTAGGAGAGGAGCAGGCAGAGCCAAGCTGAGAGAGGAGACGGGTATGACGGATGAGGCGATCGAGGGATGGGCTGTCATGCTCACACGGAACCCGGCGCTGAGACGGAGGCTGGAAGCCAAGTACGCCTTCAGCGGGGAGCAGAACGCCATCGAGAGCACGTCGTGGCGCGCCAACGAAGACAATTCGGATGCTCCTGGCCCATCGCGAGGCAGAGGTCGCGGCCGTGGCAGGGGAGGACCGGGTCGAGGACGCGGAAATGTCTCCGGGCCCACGGGTGAGAAGGATACGACGAACGCGAGGAAGAACAAGGAGGCAAACAAAGGATCGAGAGCGAACCACAATCGTCGAGAAGGACGTGTGAGGAAAATGGCACGTGGTGGATTTGCCGGATAGACCGTTGCTGGCATTCATCATCTATAATGTCACCACCAGTTTCTCACCACTAACCCCTTTCCCGATGAGTTCGATGCCAGCCTCTATGCCCTCGAGTCCTTTCCCGACTACGCGCACAGGTAGTGGTAGCTTGTATCTACCCTCTTCCAGAAGCCTTTCAAGGGCAGACATGATGCTGTGTCCGCCCTGCAGGGTCCCCACGTCGCGACTCCTGAACGTGATGGAGTTGACACCATCAGGCACGCCAATCTCCTCATCGCCCGTCCACACCTGTGCGTACCTTCTAGGACCATTGAGGTTGAACGCGTCAAAGATGTCACGTTGCGATGCGCCCGCGCCTACAGCGTCAAGAATGGCATCGACGCCTCTCCCTTCTGTGGCGGATTTGACGTCTTGCGCGATAGTCGTGGACGACCGGTTAATGACAGCGTCAACACCGAGGCCCTCCACCAGTGGCTTGTGCCTCGGAGAGACAGTTGTGAGGATGCGGCACTCTGGTAGCGATAGCTTGAGTAGCTGAATGGACGCAGCTCCTAACGCTGAGCTTCCGCCCAGAACTAGTACACTCCCCGATCTCAATATTCCCGTTGGTCCATGGTGTAGGAATGGCACTGGTGCGGTGAGTCCAATGCTAAGTCCCATGACGGCAGTCATATACGACACCCTACTCATGGTCATTCCAGATGATCGATCACTCAAGAAGAGGACTTACTTACCCCAGAGACGCAGCCTCCTCGAAGGATAGAGCGACTGGCTTCCTCCCGACTCTCCAGCTGTCGACAAAAGCGTACGCCTGAAAGCTCGCACCCACGTCACCTGTCACGAAGCAGCCCATGACTTCGTCACCGACTTGTACATTCTCAACTTCGTCCCCGACCTGCTGTACGACGCCAGACCCATCCAGCCCAGGGGTCATGGGATACGAAGCCACGCGATGGCCTGCAGTGATCATTTTATGATCCGCTGGATTGAGTCCTACGGCTCGTATGTTGATGAGAACTTGAGTGGGTGATGTAAGGCGTGGGAGGGGAGCAGTGGCTGCTTCAAGGGGGCCGCCTAGGGCACGAATGAGAAATTTGGTGTTCTGCGCTGCCATGGCTGGCGGTTTCTCCGACATTGTCTCTCACTTTCTCATTATCAGGAGTAAGAGATCCGAGGAGGCAGAGATCTGTTATGTATTGAGTCAAATGCATTGAGATGTCTTATCGTGGCGATGGACACGGATGACCGGCACGGAGATATCGTCGGCTCCGGGACACCAACATTGCAGGATTCGTGGTTGAAGGGCTAATGCCGTTCTGAGCCATAAGCCTGCATGGTCCATAGGCGAGACTCGGCTGCGAAAATGCAAATACACTTGTTGAACATCATTCAAACTGCCCGCGGGACCTGAGTCTACAATGGAAACCAAGAGGGCCCCGGACGACAAGAATAAGGCACTACTCTTAAGACTATCACCTACAACAGTTAGACTTCAAAGTCAATGATAGTTAGGCTTGAGAGTTAATCGCAGTTAGGCTTCAGAGTCAATGATAGTTAGGCTTGAGAGTTGCTGATAGCTGTTAGGCTCCAGAGTCAAAAGCAGTTAAGCTTCAATGTTCAGAGTCAACAGCAATTAGGCTTCAGAGTCAGTGACAGTTGGGCTTGAGAGTCAATAGTGGTATCGCATAAGCATCGCTACAGCGTAATAAATCCCAATAAACAACGTCGGCACACCAAGTCCGACTCATAACGCCTGTGCCATGCGCCTCGTATAATCCCCAAATCCAAACAGCTCCTCATATACTCCCGGCCAGACCCTCCACCACGTCTGCCAGCATGCGCAGCTCGTAGTACTTGGCAACCCTTCTGACAACACCAAGCTTCTTGCCAATCTCCTCCCTACTGACGACGCACTTCCAAGCACCACTGCAGGTACAATGCTCCATGAGGTCGTTCACGCGAAGCGCGCCGCACCGCTCGCACTTGGCGTCCTGGATGGTCCACTCCACAGTCCATGACTCCACCATCGACAAGAGTCTCTCTTCCAGGGCAATACGATCGTACTCGACTGAGCAAAAGGTGCATCGCCACACCTGTTGACCCGAGAAAAGGTCCTCGTCACGGCAAAAGTCCATATCGCGCGTCATCGTGCAACTGTCGCACGAGACCTGCGATATCTTGAGTGACTCGCTCGGGTTGACAAAGGTGCCCTCCTTGGAGAATTCGCGGACATCAAACAGCGCGAGCAGCTCCTTGCGTAGGAGACGCGCCTCCATTGTGATATTCTTGTCGAGCGAGAGAACCTGCATAATGGTCTTGACCAGCTCGAGAATGGAATTCCGCGATGAGGTCGGGAGATGAGAACCCGGCAGCGTTGGGAAGCTGTAGTCCTCTGCAAGCTCAGGGTGGAGCAGCTCACGCTTTTGCTGCGCAATCAGCCCAGCAATAGCCCTCTTAAACGGTTTCTCAAAGGCCTTGCCCGAGATGATCTGGCCTTCTTGGTTCTCGATGTTATTCTGAGGAATCTGCGTGAGGCGAGGAGTCGAGTCAGGATCGTTGACGCTCTTGTGCTTCAGCGCATGCATCAGCTGCACAAACTCAACAACCCAGTCTTGGAACGTAGACTGTAGTCGTGTCGGTAGGAATGTTGCCATTTGCCAGTGCATAATCGTCTCGAGGTTCTGCTCCTCTGCCTCCACAACTTCCTGGCAGGCTCGGCCGCCATAGTTGAACTCGTCGTACCAGACCAGGTAGTCCCAGTACTCCTTGATTTCAAGGTCGATAAAGTGGAAAAGGGGCTTGCTCTTGATACTCTTGATCACATATTGAGCATACGCAAACGCAGTGCCCACCTCTGCCTTTGTTGTCTGCAGGATGAGCCTGTTTGCGTTCGCAAAGACAACCTGCGAGCCCACACGTCGAAAGTCGCCCATGAGCTGCTGGAACGCCTTGCGCGACATCATCTGCATGTAGTAGTGCAATGCACGGTCGTACATGAAACTGTCTGGACATTCAACCCAGCGGACGAGGTGTTGGACAAGGACATCTGCCATGGTGCTACCACGACAGGCCTCGCCCCACCACGACTTAACCATCTCACGGAGAACGACAACACCAGCGTTGGAAAACGCGCTCTCTGATGCGAGGACCTCGGAGCCATCAGATGTGGGGTTGAACGAGTCAGCACCCTCGAGATCATTGATGAGAGATGATGTGAGAATCGTGTTGATTGCCAGGTTGCGCACGTCGAGATCGATACACACTGAGGAGAAGGTGCCTGGGTTGTTGACGTTGGGGAGCTTGACGGCGTCCAACGGACCGAGCAGGTCGTCTTTCTCATACCCAGCATGATCAGGCCGAGGGCCCGGTGACCACCAGAGCACGACTCCATTGGCCTGCAGTCGCCTGGCGTACGCGACATCAATCAAGAAGCGAGGATCTTCTCTCTCCAGGTTGCAGAGTGGAACGTCGCCGTACCTTGCCAGCGCCGTCAGGTGCAGGATCCACGATCCGAGCCCGAGGTAATGGCCAACCAACCTTCTCGCAACAACAGACTGCCAGCCCAGGGGCGGCAGAGAGCTGTCCGACGCATCGTACTTGAGAGACAGCACTGGAAATTCACCCAGGATCGGCACGTCGTGGACCAGCTGGTTGGACTGCGATGACTGAATCGCCAGCATCTGAGGTCGCGCCTCGACCTTTCGTATCTTCTTGACAATGTCGCCAATCTCGAGATGGGCCTTTCGTCGCGTGGTGACTTGCTTGATCTGGAACGACACGCGCTGCTGGTAGGGGAAGCAGTCCTGCCAGTTGGTGCCTGCCGCTTCCTCAGCCCTCTTGGCCATCATCTCCGAGTAGATGCGTGTGACGTTGGGCAGATCTTGCCCAGAATCTCGGCTCCTCTGCAAGATGACAATGTGTGCTTCATCCCGGGTCGTGGAGAAGATGCCAAAGATTTGTCTTTCTCCGGCTGTGATGTGAGAAATGTAGATGTAGGCCATGGGCGATGACTCGAGGTATGTCCGCGCCTTGAGAGGTCTCTTTAGGCCATCAAGATCAAATCCCTGTTCCAGACCTTTGCCAAGCACACCTCGCTGTTGTTCATCGACGGTACAAATGTTGCCCAGCTGGAGAACAGCGCGCATATTGAGAGGCAGTTGCTTTTCGTAGACACCCTCCACGCTGGGATGATTGAACAACAGCGAGAACTTCTCCGTCTCGTTGAAGTAGACTTCCTCCGGGACAGTCAACTTGAAGAGGTGACTCGATGGGTGACCGTTGGGCAGTGTGTAATTGACTTGCTCAACTTCACAGCCGTCAATCTCAATATCTGGCAGCTCTTTGCCTTTCAGGTTCAGGAAGACTTGGCGAGGCACCTTGATCTTGAGGGCGTGGACCCTCGCGTCGATCAAGACATAGGCAGTGACGATGCCAGGTCTGTCAGTCGACCAGAGCTGGAGCATTTGCCAAGTATTCATAAAGGTGGCGTGTGCTTGCTTCATGAAGGTCTGCTGGATATTGCTACCAGTAAGCCCTCGGCGGTCGCCGAAGAGCTGGCGCCTGCGCACCCGAGCCTGCTTCTGGATACGCCATTTCTGCTTCTGATACTCCAAGAAGGCTGGGTAGTCCTCGGACGGGTCAGGCATGACTTTGGGCAGGGCCGTCATCGGGTCCACGTTCTCAACTGGTTCCGGCGACTTGCGTTTCGTCGCCACCGCCGGCTGAGAAGCCGCAATGGCGGCATTCGTGTTCTTCGGTTTGAGGAGCTTCGCGCCAAAGTCCTCCAAATCTTCCATGCGGGGGTTGTTGAGGTTTGTTATGTCCTCCAGCGGTCCCTTGACATTGACAAGATCGGTGATCTTCTTCTGCTTCATCTTGTCGTCTTTGATGTTGATCCTCCTCTGTAGCCAGTCGGGGTGAGGCACGCGCGGAACCGGGTTGCGTACTTTCTGCAACGCGGCAGGAATGGTGATGAGCTTTTGGATCACGGAGCCAAGACGCTCAAGGTAGTAGTCCCAGTCAAGAAGAGCACGAGGGTCGGTGTCGGCAGGCTCCTCCTTGAGCCACTTCTTGAGATATGTCCGCTTCACAGACTCCTCGGCTGAGAAGATGGCTACGGGAACAGCTCGTTCGGTGACGGGGGCGTTCCTCGGGCGCGAGCAAATGATAAACTTGCAGTTCAAGCCTTTGTCTTTGACCATCTGTTCACCCAAGAAATCTGCAAGTCGCTTCGCTGTCGTGATGCTGGTCGACTTTTGCGACCCGTACTCCTCGAGCGTTTTGCTCATGCTCCTGTTCTCTGAAATGAGCTCCATGAGCTCCTCGTACGCCAACGTCGAGCCCTTGCTGTGAAGAACGTCGAGCCACTGATTGGCAACCTTGGCAACGGCAGTGTAACACTGCGTCAAATCGGACCCTTGGAGGAAGAATTTGAAGATCTGCTGCTGGAAGATCTTGATGAGCTTGAGCTCACCACGGCGCTTTACCTCGAACCCCTTCAGCTCGGCTAGACTACCATCGTCGTTGAAGACGGCATATCGCTTCTTCAAATTCTTGTCTTCTTCTTTTGACGTGGGTAGGATCATGGCTTTGTACGGACCGTCGACCTCGAAAAAGATGGTGTTGTCGCTGTGTGTCTCGTACTTGTGTGTTCTTTCGTCGACAAGGGTCTGATACTGGTGGTTGGTGAACTTGCCGTGGACGAGATGATTCAACATGACGCAGGGGTATGAGATGTTGAGCTTCTTGCCGCCCTTCATTTTGAAGGCAAAGTTCTCTGGGAATGTCGCCGGCAACATACACCAGATACCGTCGGTATCCAGCTCGAGCGGCCGTCCCAGGCGCTCCACGAGCTGCCTTGCGAGCTGGATAATTCGGGCACCAGTCAAGCAAGTAACACCAGCCATCTCCAACGAGTACCATCGCGAGCCCTTTCGCATGACATAACCGTAGAATGAGTTCAGGATACACTTGTGCGCAAGCTGCAGGGAGTCGTACACGACCACCATCTTCTTGGCTGCCTCGACCTCGTTGGGTGGCGCCCCAGAGGACTGCAATGCTGCCGCTTTGCCCTTCCAGACCTTGGTCTTGCCCTTGTAATCGTATCGACGGTCTCGGAAATCACGGACGGTATGTACGTAGAACGGGTTCTCTCGCTGGCAGATGATTGCTTCTTTGGTGATTGTCGTTGAGTCGTGAATTTTGTGGTAGATCTTTTGCGAATACAACTGCAAGCGCTTGCGAGTAAGTGCGGCTTGTTCGTCCAGGCTCAACTCTTGAAAGCTGCGCATGGGCGAGTTGGGCCACTTTCCGGGAAATTTCTCGTTCTCCAGGGCGTTCCGAATCATCTTGTACTCGTCTCGTTTCGCGGGGATGTACTCTCCACGCCATGACCACGGAAGCCTCCTGTCACAAGTCTTTCCAGGCCTGTTGAAGTCACATGCCGCACAGTCTGACTCGTCGACCATGGAGTCGGGCTGTAGTCGATTTGTGGTCATGATGTTTGGGTACATGGATGCGACGTCCAAATGGTAGATCAAGGGTCTCTCATGTCGATTCGGTGTCTCTTTGAGGTTTAGCAGCCGGCTCGTGATCTGCTCCTTCACTTCGTCGTAGTTTTCCACATCTTCGAGTTTCTTCTTCTCTTCCACTTCCACAACGAACTTCAACGCGGCATCCAGATCTTTCAAGAGCTCGTCAATGGCTGTCGGATCCACCGAGAAGTCGACGGGAATGTCGGCGCGGAAGACACCTGCCTCGATACTCTCGACGTGGCCACCGACATATGTCTCAGAGTCCAACAAATGTCCGTCCCAGAATGCTTCTCGTGGCGCAACATGCTTATTTGGCAAAACAATGTTTTTCGAGTATGCTTGCACCATGAGAAGCATTTCGCAAAGTGTACCGGTTCCCTTTCGCAGCACCTCGTCGCCGCTGAGGGGCAGGACGGTACAAAGCGAGAAGATGAAGGGGTGCACGTACTTCATGTAGAGGTAGTACGTGGCAACCGCGTCTGAGACGGAGTATTCCGCCAAGGTTTGAGGCCTCTCACTTGCGTACGGCGTCATGAGCTCAGGGTCGAGTTCGTCGGGGTCGTATCCAAGCTTGGCAACTGTTACAGCTTTCAAGCCTCGCGAACCCTGGGGAAGGTAGGAATCTCGATTCACCCAGTGAAAGCAATCCATGTGTACACCGTAGCTGCATTTGTAAGTGTCCTCGTTGTCCTTCTTCCACCCAATCTCCTGGTACATGTCGAGACCGTTGACAGCAGCTCGGGCATCCACAAACGGCCAATCGAAGAAATCACCGTTGTACGTGGCGATGACGGTCGGTCGTGCTTCCTTGATATGCTCGAAGAATCGCTCAATCACCGCCTTCTCGTTCGGCTCGTTGAAAATCATAAACGGACCTGGATACTGTGGTGTAGGAGTGTAGTCGAAATCTGAAATATCCTCGGCCACGATCTCCCGGTTCGTGATGAGGAACCCTTGCCCGTCGATCATGTACGATATCATCATGATCTCGTCAATGGCTGCGTCTGGGAATTTGAGTGGCGCCTTGGTAGTCTCTATGTCGTATGCCATCACCACCGGATCGGCTGGTAGTGAGCGCTCTGGGTTCCGGACAATGCTGACCACGCCATGCATTGCTTCCACAAAATACCACAAGCCCACTCGGATATCTATGCTGTTAGACGTAATCTTGCCAATAGACGCCTCAACATACCTAAGTCGATCATTACTCGCACATGATATGGCACATCGTATTCGCGAATGTCTATTATATAGTCGCTCGCATCCGTCGTAGTGTTCATTAGTCGTTCGTCGTCTCGTGAATCATCAAAAAGGTCAAAATTGCCGTTCGCCCTGATGCCTAGGTTAGTCTTGTCTTATGCGTAGGGGAAGACCACTCACGTAGCCACCTCGGCGTATGCGTCCATCGCATCCATGTTCTTCTTGTTCTTCTCCGCCACAGGCATAATGTCCCTCCTCGCACTCATCAAGTCGTTGACATTGGCGAACTTGAGCTCGAGAAATGTTCTTTTGTAGCCGAGTAGGTGGTTCGGCATGTCGAGGTCATCCTTTTCTATCCTTCGAACCGCTTTGACCACACCGTCGCCCGGTACACGTTTGACCCATTCCTCCACTTCAGACTCGTGGCCTCTCTTGACGCCTATGAGGAAGTACGGCTCGTACTCGACTGTGGCTTTGAAGTAGGAACCACTATCATCAATGAAGTAGCAGTCGAGTGCGGCGCGGCCGTGCGGTAACCTCTCGTCCTCGATCGATGTCGGCTGAACACCTACGAGCCACCCGTCTCGGCGCTTCCCGCTCTCGTAGCGCGCGAATCCCATGTTCTCGTCGATCAAGTTTGCTAGTCTTGTGCGTTCCCATTTTTCGTCTGCGGATGTACCCTCTTGTCGTGACGAGGCAGCGAATGTGCGATTTCTCGGGCCATGATATGACTTCTTGCTGTTGCCGCCGCGGCGGAAGCCTTTCTGGGGCTGCCGCAAGCTGGTGTTCGGCATGGTGAAGACAGTCGACGCCGTCTGAGGCGGGAAAGGCAATTAGAGAGAAAATGCAGCCGTCATCAATTATGTGCTGCTATAGAGGCAACGAGGATCGTAGCCGAGTCTGTCGCATCAGGTATTGTTTTGCTGAGTGACCATGGGGAACGTGGTGGATATCAATGGCTGGCCCTTGTCTGGGATAATTCAGGGAAGACGCGTTTCGTCGCGCCAGAGCGCGTCTTGACGCGATGCTGCCCCACAACCAATTAAGCACTTCAGCCACAGTACGCTGGGATCTCAGCCACAGTATCCTGCTCAGCCACATCTCGAATTCCTGGCATCATGACGCTTGACGATCCATTTTCGAACACCCGATATACCCAGTGACTTTCTTCACTCGCCCATTGCGCAAGCAGGAAGCCGAGAATGGCCTCACCCGTCCCCCCGAATCCGAACAGTCCGTCGACACCTCCGAACCAAAAGACGCTGAACGTATGGAATAAACCAATCGACGAGCAGGACGCCAAGAACCATGCTGGTCCCGTCACGTTCACCGAGGCAGTCGAGACAGTCAAAATAGGCGAGCTGTCAGAAGTTGCGAAATACCCTTGTGTGCGAAATGCACTCCTTCAAGGCATCGGGGCTGGGTTTGGCGCGGGTGGATTGCGATTTGTCGCTGGAGGTAAGGTCCTGGGATAGCTTGCGCCAGAGCAGAGGGTTAATCCTGGCAGGTCATGTGTTCCGATGCGTAAATTGGGCCTGTGGAACTTTCCTCGCGGCGAGCATGGCCTCGTATGAGTGGTGTCAGTACGGTCGACGGTGCGAGCGGCGCGAGATGAAGCGGAATATCGAGATTGTCACAGAAGGCCGGAAAGACCAGGCACGGAAGAAGATGGAGCAGCAAAGGGAGGAGGCGGAGGCGCGGAAGTTGCAAGAATCACAGAAACCGTGGTATTCGCGATTCTGGTAGGGGCCTTGCGGGCTGTGTACCATTTTGTACATATATGTATAGATTTGCAACGCATGCCCTTGGTAAAGGGCCGGTATCATGGGATTATCATTAGTAGTTATGTTGCCCAGAGGCAGTTTCAAGCGTTTCGTCCGCAATCCTGACGATACAAAACCACACAACCGAACGCCAGCAAGAGAAGTTGAGCGACAGGCTGCCGTTAGCTGGGCTGGACCATGTCGTAAGACCGATTGCTTTCCTCCATGAACTGTACTCTTCTTGCGATGTCCTTGGATGCTTCCTCTTCGCCCTTGACCTGTTCTCTTCGCCTCTGCATTCGCCGGGCTCTGGCTTCGTTCTCCTCGCGTTTGCGGTAGTCTGCCATTTGCTGCCTGCGCTTCTGGATTCGAGCCTGGGCCAGCGCTGGCGTCGGCCTGAAGCCCACGCCGTTGATCCCCGTGCCATCATCATCGTCGTCCTCTGGGTCGTAGATTGTGATTTCATCTTCCCGCCACGTCAATGCCGCTCGTATGGGTTCGACGACTTCCATTTCATCCTCATCGCCAGTGCCCTCCCCCTTCTTCGCCGCCAGCTTCTTGCGCAAACTTGGAGGCGGGGTCCCGGTCCTTCTCTGCCGGGGTTTTGACCGCGATTGTGAATCTGAAAGTCGGTTGATGGAAGGGTATGCTCGCTGCAGGCTTCCGTCAGGCACGTCAAGGCCGACGGACCTGGGCGGTTCAAGAGGAAGGTCCGGTTCTGGTATTGTCTGCTCCCCTGAGCTGACTTCTTCTGCTGGAACAGCTCCTTCATCTGCCATCTCATCATCCCCTCGCTGTCGTTTGCGCGCATCCGCGTCATCCTTGTTGTCCCCGACACTGGCTGCGCCTACCCCGCCCCCACTCTCTCCTTGAAGATCGAGGCCACGGAACTTATGGGCGACTTTAGATCGCGGGCTGTTGCCATCTCCATCCTCTGCTCGGTTGACGTCAAATGTGAACTTGATGGGCGTGATGGCAGTTTCGACCCCACGCTTGCGCTTGGGTGTTGGGGTGATAGGTGGTGATGAGTCGGCCATGGCGGCGGGTCATGAAGATTTTGGAAGTGTAGTTCCCAAACAAAGGGAGTATAGCGACGCAGTGATCAGGAAATGAAGGCTCTTGGTATTGTTCTGGTCAGGTATGAAGCAATGTCGCGAGAGGGATAGCTGTGAAGTTGAGTCTAATGGCGAAGATGAACGAAGCAAGGGCGGCGTTATGAGTGTCGCTGACGGCAAATTGCGGAAACCGCGCCCAGAGCTGGACTAGTAACTCTGCTCATCTGGCTCCTGGTCACAACAAAAACTCGCCCAAATCACCTCAATCGCTGGAACTTTTTCCTGAGTATCACGGCAAATCGATGCTGCGACTGGGCAATCACGTTGCCCGCCTGTACACGCGGCACCACCAGCAGGTCGCACTAGCGAAACACAGCGCCTGCGGTCAAACCTCATGACTGGGCTCACATTACACACATTGGCGGTCATCATGAATGACCTTTGCCCGCGGTGCATAATGTATCACGAGTCTCGAAAAGGCTCAGGAATCAGGGATGATGATGGATTCTGCTGTGCACAGCGACGTAACGCCCACTGTCCATCGGTTGAACAAAACAGGCAAGTCGAGACCTGCACTCTCTATGCAGCCCGTGGATTTGAAGAACCGATAACCTCAGCTGAGGTAGGGAAAGCACCCGATTGATGAAGTAGGAAGCGCAAGTCCATGTACTGTTATGATACAGGAAGAAACCTGCCGACTGGACTCTAGAGGCACACGGATTTGACCCAAATGTCCGGTATTAGTGACTTGTTGGATCTTGGGATGTTAGCAAGGTAGGTTCGGTACAAACACAGCGCCTTGTCACGCAGTTCACGTGCGAATATCACCAATCTGATTCACAAAAAAATATTGGTCGTCTCGAACTCATCACGCAGCAAACCACTCTGAGAGTCTGGCTATCTGATGCAACACTGCCAAAGAAAGACAGCAGCTTGAGTGAAGACGCCCGGCTGAAGCGAGGCACCTCATGCTTCGTCAGACGAAGGCCAATATCAATATCCACATGCTTGGAGATCGCGGCAGCTATATCTGCTGTGGCAGACTGAGACTGCCACTTTACTCGCTGAGTGAGGCTATGTGAATGGCCAGACTCCCGGTTGGCACGATGGCTCGCCGCAGAGCAAATCGAAAAAGAAAAAGGATCATCAACAGATGCGCTTGGACCAGGCACATTCCCTTGTCGCTTAAGAACTCGCAAGTGGCTGTTGGATGGCGTATCATCCTCCCGAGAATCCGAGATGATTACCCCGCCACCACTGTACACGCCCCGCATCATCACCACCGTGACGACGAAGTCGCGAAACTTGAATCCAACCAAGTGGAACCTTCCGTGCATAACGCCATAATAGCCTGTCGCATGCTGCGTGAGGTATTAGTCCATTCAGCCTGAATTGTACATCCTGCCAACTAATAACATCGATAATACCCTTCCTTCGCCTCGCCTGCTCACCACGACCCCTCCCTAACATCCCTCTCCAACACACACACATACCATCAAGATGGCTGACGCATCATTCAGCTTCGTCCCGTTGGGCGCGACTATCCAGACCTTTGTTGTCAACAAGACCAACATTGTCCAGGGATTCGACACTCAGGATCAGTACGCCTCGCACAACTCGCCTTACTTTGGCGAAACCATTGGGCGCGTCGCAAACCGTCTTAAGGGCGCCCAGCTCGCCTCCATCAACGGTGGCAAGTCATACCCTCTCGCTGCCAACGATCGCGGCAACTCTCTCCACGGAGGTATCAAGGGCTGGGGCAAGCGCGTTTGGGATGGTCCCAGGCCCATTGGTACCCGCTCGATTCCTGGCGTCGACGGACTCGAGGGTGGCGAGACGGTCGAGTTCACCCTCACAAGCCAGGATGGCGACGAGGGTTATCCCGGCACCGTTCTTGCCAAGGTGATCTACACCACTGGCACGCAGTCGCTCAATGGCAAGACCGTCAGCGTCCTGGGTATCGAGTACGAGGCCACTCTCACCGACGGCGCAGAGGAGACCGCCATCAACCTGACCAACCACTCCTACTTCAACCCCGCCGGCGCGCCGGATGCCAAGACGTATGCTGGTACCACAGTGAAGCTGGCCACGAACAAGCATCTGCCCGTCGACAAAAGCGCCATCCCCACAGGAAAGGTTGAGCCCTTCCCTGGACTAGACACCAGCAAGGAGTTCACCATGACGGAGAAAGGCCCCGACGTCGACCACTGCTTCGTCACTGTCGACGACCCCAGCTCGGTGCCCATCGACACCAGGAACGAGCCCCTGAGAAACAACCTCACCGCATACCACTCCGGTACCGGCGTGCATCTCGAGGTTCTCAGCACAGAGCCCAGCTTCCAGTTCTACACCGGCATCGGCATCAACGTCCCTGCCGTGGGCAACGTGCCCGCCCGTGGACCCAGGTCGGGCTTCTGCTGTGAACCTGGGAGGTGGGTGAACGCCGCCAACGTGGATGGATGGAAGAACCAATGCATCGTCAAGAAGGGGCAAACATATGGTTCCCGAGTCGTATACAAGGGCTGGTCGGATTAGATAAGTAGCCATTCATTGCGAGCGGAGTACAAATAGACTGCCTTGGAAGCGCCCCATGAGTCAAGGCTCAATCCGAATCACTGTCGTCCCCCAGGAACGCCAGGTCGGCCTGTGCCCTCCTTTTTCTGGCCGCAAAGCTTTGCTCTTCGTCTTCTTCTTCTTCTTCCTCCTCCTCTCCTGTTTCTTCTGCATCATCACCATCGCCCTTTTCGTCGTGACTTTTGCCTTGCTCCTCAGTATCACTGTCTTTGTTCTCTCTCAAGCTTTTCGCCTTGGCCCTCGAGGTCCTCGCGCCTCGGGAGCTTCCCCAGAGCTTGTTCATCTCCTGCGCACTCTCGAGGTCAGCCAGCAGCTCCCGCCTCTCCTTGATTTCTCTAGCCTTGGCTTCCGAGAAACGACCCGTCATGCCGACATCGTTCAACATGCCTCTGAGGTGCTTGATCTTGGCGCGTGAGTTGTCCCCATAGGACTTGAGCTCGTTATGCCAAAGCTTCCGGACACCGCACTTGACCAGGTGACCCTGCAGTTTCTTGATCTCCGCCGTGTCCGGGTCGTCAGCGGTGTCGCTGGCTTTCGGTGCGCTCTTCTTTGCTTCTTTCTTGGGTTTCTTCTCTTTCGGGGCAGATTGAGACTTGGAACCGCGACGTTTGGCTGTGGCGGGCTCTTCGTCAATAAGCACCGACATTTCGGACTCGTTGTCGCTGTCAGCAGCCCCCTTGGCCTCATTTTCCTCATTCGCGGTGTCTTTGTCTTCGGCTGCCGGGGAGTGCTGCTCGATGTCATCTTCGCTGTCCTCAACGTGCGAGGCAGTTTTTGCTTTTGATTGACGAGGCGCAGGCTTGGGTTTTGGACGGGGCTCGTCCGCCTCTTCTTCATCGTCATCCACGACCTTCTTCCGTCTGGCGATCTTCTTCTGTGGCTTGACGACTTCCTCTTCCTCCTCGTCGTCGTCCACATCCATGTCGCTCCCATCGTCCTCGCTGTCCACAATTTTCTTTTGCGGTCGGCTAGCCTTCTTCTTCGACTTTGCATCTTCTTTTCCGTCCTTGCTTTTTGAGGTCTTCTTCGGCGCACTCTGCTTCCTTCTCTTTGGCTCTGGACTTGCGGCATCATCGCTCGGCCGTTTTGAGGCCTTGCTGTCCGGCTTCCAGCCATTCATCAACTTATCCTAGTGAAGCCGTTAGCTCTGTGTCTTCACCCCTACGAGATTCACACGTACCACATATTCTGTGATCAGTTCTTTGCTTCGTCCTTTCCATTGCTCATCCCGGAAAAAGCCATCCTCGAGATCATTGTCTTGCTCAGCTTGTTTCCGTACTTTGTTGACAGTCGTGGTCTCTGGGTCCGCAGCGAAGACACTGCAGGTCGCAGCGATGAGGGTTTCTTCCAGTTCCTTCTTCGAGGGCGCCATTGTGAAATATAAGCTGAATTTTCCCCGGTATCAGTCCTACAGCATCGCCGAAGAAACGTAGATAATGGATGTCAATGCGTGGGGGTTACGCGCTCGTCATCAAGAAAGACGCGTCGGACAAGGACGCGAGGATGCACGAACGTCACGATCGACGGTTCAAGCTCGAAATGAGTGGGGTTCAGTTGTGCGTGACTTTTGCGCTACCCTATAGCTTCACCTCCGAACCAGCTCCAATGGATCAAATTCAATCTGCCGCCTAGAGGGTTGTCCAGAGAGCTCGAGTAGATTTTCTTCTTTTAGTCTTTCCGTATCATGGTTTAATTCATTTGCGCGCTGGCCTTTTAACACCAAGGTATACTAGTGCACATCATGGTCAAACTCAACACTACGTAGTACACAGTTCATATGCTTGGACAGACCAAATTCTTGCCTTTGTCACGCCTGAGCTCTTGACGCAGCCCAGAAAAATGTCCTTATTTAAATCCTTTTGAACGAACAGCAAATAAGATCTGTATTGTCGTGAGTACATGTACCGAGATCCGGATGTATGCTCCGGGCGAAGATCTGGCCGGCTGTGGCTGGTGGGTCCAGATGGGCATCGCATCGTGGCTAAAGCCTCTGCTGACGCCACGCTTCTCACCTCCAGTCTTATCATCCGTCATGAAACCAGAGCTTCCCAGCTGTTAAACTCTACACATCGCCAAAATGTCTGCATCACTTGCGCCAGAGTGCAACGACGTCAAGGAGTGAGTGCACTGCCGAGGGAGCCTGGCGTTGTTGCTGACATTGCAGGCGCTATGACACATGCTTCTTGAAGTGGTACAGTGAGAGTGAGTCCTTCCGACGGTTCATTCAACTCCAACTGGGGCTTCGACTGACGCTGGGCAGAATACCTCAGAGGCTCTGATCGCGAGAATCAAGATTGCGCCGAGCTTTTCAAAAACTACCAGAGCTGCCTCAAGGTAGTGGAAGCCATGCTGTCGCACTCTGCACACTTTTACTGACACTTGCCAGGTGGCTCTCAACGAGAGAGGTATCAACAAACTTGTCGAAGAAGCTCGAGAGGACAATAAAGACAATGATGTCCGCTTACTGAGCCCTCCGAAAAGTACGTCATTCGGTTTCTTATTGTGACCGGGATTGCTGACTTGGGGCCCAGAGTAATTGTGCTTATTTTGTCCGGCGTTGGCGCCAAGCTTGGAGTTGGGTCACTTGGGTGATATTATTATTCAGTGAGGCTGAGTTTCTCACTGACAGGCATGTTAGCATCGTATTCAGACCCCCATAGATATTCTCTCCTCATATAAACTTTCTTGTGTTTCCGACGATCATGGAACTGGTTTTTGACGCAAGACATGAGCCTCGCTGAGTTCCAGGTCAGTCGCGCCACCACGTGACTGGGCACGTCAGTGGCAGTGGTGGAATGAATGCGACGACATGGACCCGCGGGGCGACCACCAGACGCGCGACGCCAGCTGGCAGCTTGCATCTAGACTATCACCAAGACGCTCCGACGCTTCAACGCATCCACGAGTCCCATTGATCTCCGAGTGAGCAATCATTTGCATCTCTAACTCATATCCTCTCATTCGACGCCTTTTGACCTTCGACGACTCTCGATAGCCCTGTCTAGACCGACGAAACGTCATTGCGAGCCTGCGACAACAAGCACCCCACGATAGCGACGTAACGACAATTACAAACGGTCGACGACCAGTAGACGCTGCTCGAGGCCGTATTGTTGGGGCGATCCGTGTCTGATGACAGGATTCTATGGGCCCCTTCTCCTTCGTCACCCTCTTTATCTTTATTGCTGGCTACACCACTGCGCGCTGGCATCTTGGCACCCGTCTTTATGAACTGGCCATCTTCGCTTGGGACAACGGAGTAGTCGCACGCACCGCCCGCGGGTTTCTCGGTCTCTCGCTTCTTTTTGCGTTTATTGCGATTCCGGTTGTGCTGCTTGCTAGGACAGAAGGGTCGCTGCACCCCAGGGCGTCGGGTGTGGGTGTTTCAGCACGAGAGCAGCTCCGACGTCGAGGTTCATTCTGAGGGCGCTATTTGACATGGTAGAACATGATGGGCTTATGAGAGTATTCTGGCCGACGGACGTGGTTAAGTTCGACCGTCCGGGAGTGGTCGTTGGCTGGCGCAACTCAAATCTGGACGTCTTTGTTGTAGCGGTGTTAGACGACGTTGATGTAAGGGTCCATGTGCTTCAATTTACAGTATAGGCTGACCTTTAGGCTCGCGATGTCGAATTCCATATCAAGCACGGCACCTTCTTCAGGTCGTCGCCGCACACGCCTTCTCATGCATTCGAATTATGCGGCCATTCGTCGATGCACGTCCTCGGAATCTCGAATCCAACCGACCCGAGTGCGATGAACCCTTCTTGGCTATGTGCAGTGCCATCTTCGTCTCGACGATCCCCTAGGATCACTTGCGCGAAAGCGTCCAGTGTGCAACTGATCATGTACAATCGACCGCGACCAAAAGGAATGCAATACATCTCTCTTGACCCGATTGCGCTGGCTCTCGACTACGAGGGCTCGGATACTCGCCACCCGAAGACTGTCGGCCCAGATAGTGCGGAGGAAAAGCAAGAAAAGCAGGCGCACGAGCAGCGACAAAAACTTGTCGAGAAGCTGAAACAACACACGATCGTCAAGAGGGTGCCCTCAGCGCGGGACAAGGCGCTCGCCAAGATCGTCAACCAGGTTAATTGGTCTTGGGAGTTGGAGCAGACTTTGCAGAAGAACGTAGGCCGACTTGGGCCAAGACCGAAGCGCAGCTTGAGCGTTTCCCAGCAGGTTGTGGAATCGGCCGCGACAATGCGCAATTATGTGTTGCAGCAACTTCTCGAGATTTTCACTCTCTATCTGTTCCCCACGATTCGGCAGATCTTTGTCAGTCTCCTGACGCTGCACCGTCTGGTTGCCGAGGCATTTCTCGTTCTCCTGGAGTTCCGCATCAAGCCTGGACGTCCAGCACTCAAGGATGTGTCCGCGACAGCCCAGCAGATTGAGATTCGACTGCAACAGTTTTGCTACTGGCCAATGCAGTACGTCAAGCTCCGAGAACGGAAAAGTAATTGGGCGAGCATCAACACGAGCCATCCTGACTACATTCGCTTCTACAATAGCTTGTGGCTCGTGGCCAACGATGTCATCATAGGACTTGCGCTCGGATCCTACATTATCGATCATGCGGATTTTGTGGCGTCGGCTGTGGAGGGTCTGCTCAAGACCTACACGGTCGATGCTTTGCAAAGCAGCATATTGTGGCTGACAGGCTGGCCTGCTGGTTTGAAGTTGAACGACGAGTTGGCTGCCTTCCTTGGCGATCTGTTTCTTTGGGTCATTGACTATTGGGCTAGTAAGTATCTAACCCGGCTGCGTGACAAGCTTCTAACAATGGCCATAGACTGCGTTGAAACTCTGGGTCCCTTTCTGCCCAAGATCGTCTGGTTCATCGGCTTCTCTTCGTTCGCCGGCGCCAGCATGCCGATTGCCATGGTGTCTGACATGCTCTCCGCCTTGACAGTTCACATCTATTCCTTCTACCTCGCGTCCGCTCGCATCTACCATTGGCAGCTTGTCATACTGCAATCGCTCTTCCACCTCTTCCGCGGTAAGAAGCACAACGTCTTACGCAACCGCATTGATTCTTGCGACTACGACTTAGACCAACTCCTTGTCGGCACCATCTTGTTCACGTTGCTCTTCTTCCTGCTGCCGACCGTGGTTGTTTTCTACCTAAATTTCGCGGTTGCTCGAATGATCATTATATCATTGAAGGCTGTGTTCGACACGATGCTATCTTGCTTGAATCATTTTCCCCTGTTTGCACTCATGCTTCGCCTCAAAGACCCGCGTCGTCTACCGGGGGGCATTCGCTTCGAACTTCGAGATACCCTTGTCGCGACTTCCGCGACCGGGACGGTGACTGAACCCCCGACGTCGGTCATATATCTCAAGGTAAAGAATGTCCGCACTTGTCTAGTCGTTAGCTCATCGTTGTACAGTCCGTCCCGTTGTCCTTCACAGCCATGTTCAACCAGTACTTCCAGATGGCGCACCGCATTCGAAAGCATTATTTGTCGCCTAGTGTTCTGCTTTGTCTTTTGACAGGGCGATTTGTTCCACCAATCGACCGGCGCAACCTGTACAGCCTTCAGTATAGCATGCTGCCCGCGAAGAGGGCTACCGTGGGCGAGATGTGGAAAGCCCTCAAGGTGGAGAAGAAGACACCTAACGCAACACAGTATCCAGTGCTTCCAAAGCTGCCGACCTTACCTGGCAGGAGGATGGGTAGGACGAGAAGTGGGCTGTGATGATAGACATTATGAATAATTGAAAAGCTCACGTTCAGATACGTCTGGTGTTCCAATGGCAACGAGTGCTTGAGCGAGACTCTGTCCAAACACTTCAAACTGCTGGCCGAGGCCAGGGTGTCCGGAAGCAATCTCGACGCGACCATGTTGATGAGCGCAAGCGTTCATCGCGAAGAAAGCCACACGAAGGTGAGCAACTTGACTCGAATCTATCTACTGGCTGATGTCCGCTTCACCAAGGCTCACTGAGCTCTTGGCTACTGACCTGGTACACCACGAGAAGGTCTCAGCCAATCGTACCAGATGCCACAAGCACTTGCTCATGTCACCCTCCACCAAAAGCCACTTGGCCGATGGCTTCATCGGTCTATCTACACCAAATCCAACGCTGCCGCTAGGTACACACATGTCCGCTCCCACCAATCCAACCGACAACGCTGTCGCTAGATACAAGTACCAAATCGCCCCGCCCGACGATCTTCAGCAACGCTCTCAACCTCGCTCACAAGCTCCCCATCAATCCTCCTCTCCTCACCCTCACTGGACCCCTCTGTTCTTCCCCTCGCCGGGACTCCGTGACGAGAGCCGGCCGGGGAGAACTCACCTGCTGGGTCATCTGGCGGCACTTGGGTGGCGCTGGCGTCGCCAGAGCCCAGCAGGCTGCCTCAGCCAGCCCTCGCCACCGTGTACACCAGTCTCCAGTACACTTCTCAACCGGAAGTGCCTACGTGTAGTCAGTGCACGTTACCGTCCAAGAATGGCTGTACTTACCTAAGGAATCCTCCCTCGTTCTTATTCCGGTCTGACGTGTGTATCTAGGTGTAGTCAGCTGTATATTGGCACTCAGGGGCGACTATACTTGCTAAGGACATCATCTCCGGCCCCCCTTGTGGGCTGATATTCAGCTCTAGGTGTAGTCAGCTGGGCATTGGTACTCGAGGGTGACTAGACTTGCCAAGGATGTCTTCCCTCTTCCTGTTGCAAGCTGAGGTTCATTTCTCGGTGTAGTCAGGTGTGCACTGCCGCTCAAGGGGACTGTGCTTACCAAGGATATCCTCTCTGGATCCCGAGGTCCATATCTGGGTGTAGTCAGCTGTGTACAGTCACTCAAGGGGACTGTACTTGCTAAGGATATCCTTCCTGGACCCCGAGGTCAATTTCTAGGCGTAGTCAGCCTGTGCATTGGCACTCAAGAGGACTGTACTTGCCAAGGATGTCCTCTCATGATCCTGAGGTCCATCCCTGGGTGTAGTCAGCTGTGAATAGGCACCGGGAAGTGGCTATACTTGCTAAGGATATTTTCCCAAAGGTCGAGGGACATCTTGCGTGTAGTCAGCTGTGTGTTGCCACCGAAAAGAGGCTGTACTTTCCAAGGATGTTCCCTCTGAATGTCGAGAGATATCCCTGCGTGTATTCAGCTGTGCATTATCACTGGAGGGCAGTTGTTTTTTCCAGAGATAGCATCCAACGTTCTGGTTCCAGACGGAAGGACGGGCATCTCTGTGTGTAGTCAGCTGTGCGTTGTCACCAAAGGACATCTGTTCTTGCCAAAGACATCACCCGCCGTTCTGGTTCCGGACGGAGGACATCTCTGTGTGTCGTCAGCTGTGAATAAATTGAAGTCCAGCTGAACTTGCCAGAGATATCACCCGCCGTTCGTGGTTGAAATAGAGGGACAACTCTGCGTGTTTCCAGCTGGGCATTGTTATAAAGACGACCTAGACTTGGCAGAGATATCATCCGCCGTACTATTTTCGGACGGAGAGAGATCTCTGAGTGCAGTCAGCTGTGCATTTTTATGAAGACCAGCTGGACTTGCCAGAGATATGACCCGCCGTCCGTGGTTGGAACGGAGAGACAATTCTACGTGTAGTCAGCTGGGCATTGTTATGAAGACCAGCTGGACTTGCCAGGGGTGTCATCTGCCTTACTGTTCTCGGACGGAGGGATGTCTCTGCGTGTAGTCAGCTGTGTATTATAGTGAAAGCCAGCTATACTTTCAAGGGAGGTCCCTATTCATCCTTATTGCGGTGTGAGGCCCGTCACTGTGTGTATTCAGCTGTGCATGGATATGAGGTCCTGCTTCACTTGCCAGGGAGATTCTTCTTTTCTGCCATGAGAGATCCATCCCTTGATGTAGTCAGCTGTGCGTTGTAATGAAGGCTAAATGTACACCCCAGGGAGTCCAGCCTCTGCCCTTGTTGTGGTGAGAGGTCCAATCCTGCGTGTAGTCAGGTGTGTGTTGTTATGAAGACTCGCTTCACTTGCCGGGGAGATTCTAGTTTGCTGCAAGGCTGCAATAAGAGATCAATCCCTGAGAGTAGTCAGCTGTACGTTGTTATGAAGCCTTGTGACACTTGCCAGAAAGGTCCTTATCTGCTGCAATGAGCGATCCGTCTCTGAGTGTAGTCAGCTGTGATTGTCACGAAAACACTCTGTACTTGCCAGGGATGTTTTTCTCTGCTCTTTCAGTAAGAGATTCATTTCTGGGTGTAGTCAGCTGTGTTTGTCACAAATGCCTTTTGTACGTGCCAGGGAGGTCTTCCTCTGTTCTTTCAGTAAGAGATTCGTCCCTGGGTGAAGTCAGCTGTGCATTGCTATGAAGACCTGCTGTGCTTCCAAGGATGCCCTCCTCTACCACTACCGCGGTGAGAAGTCTATCCCTAGGTGCAGTCAGCTGTACATCACTACTGAAGACAAGTTCACTTGAAAAGCACATCTCTTTCATTCATTGTTCGGTGCGATGGTCCGCCCTGCGTGTAGTCAGATGTGCATTGCCACTCAAGGACAGATGTACTCTCCCGGGACGTCCTCATTCATGTGACAGCGGAGGCTCGTCCCTGGGTGAAGTCAGCTGTCTGTTACTACTGAAGAACAGAATCACTTTCAAAGTACATCTCCTTCATCCCTTGCGCGGTGCAATGAATCTCTCTGCGTGCAGTCAGATCTTTTGCCACCCAAGGACAGCTGTACTTGCCCGGGCCATCCTCAACCATGTTACAACGGAGGCTCGTCCCTGGTGCAGTCAGATGTGCATTGCACTCTAGGATATCTATACTTCCCCGGGACATCCTCTGCACTCATGCTGCAACAGAGGCTCATCCCTGCGTGTAGTCAGGTGTGCATTGTCACTTGGGGACAGCTGTCACGTACTTGCCCGGGACATCCTTTGCATTCATGTTGCAGCGGAAACTCGTCCCTGGTGTAGTCAGATTTGCATTGTCACTCAAAAATAACTATACTTGCCCGGAACGATCCCTGCGTTCATATTGCAGCGGAGGCTTATTCCTGCGTGTAGTCAGATGTGCATTGTCACTCAAGAATAGCTGTACTTGCCCGGGACATCCTCTCCACTCATGCTGAAGCGGAGGCTCGTCCTGGGTGTAGTCAGATGTGCATTGTCACTCAAGAACAGCTATACTTGCCCGGGACATCCTCTCAACACATGTTGCTGCGGAGCCTCGCCCCTGGGTGTAGTTAGCCGTGCAACTGCAACCACTCGAGGACAACTTTCCTTGCAAGAACAATGAGACTTCATCAGAATTGCGATATGACCATAATGTGATCAAGCGCGCTTCTGGCCCGACTCACTTGAGCGAGGCTTGGGTGCGGCGACGGTTTCTTTGACCGACAAGAGTCGAGAGGAGGCGCTGTACGAGTAGATGCCACATTAGAAGTGATGTGTATGGTTGATGGATCAAGGAATAAGAACAAGGGTTAGAGGGGGGCCGGTTTTTCTTATATACAATTTGGAGCCACCGCACGATCACTCCCCAGTGACTGAGCTCCCTTTGACCTCGGGCATGGAAGCCTGACAATGACTCCCAGGCATATGGACAAGGATAGCTCAGAGCAATGTCGAATGAGCCTCGCACTAGCACGAAATAAGCTGCTTAGACTTTCCCAGAACCAGAGCGTGGTCACCACGTGCACCACAATGAATACATACACTTTCCACGTGGCGGTTCAAGGGTCCAAATTAAGCTCAGAGCTTAGATATTGACAAAGTTTATTGAGGATTGACTCATAACACATGTCAATGTAGACCATGCGAGCCTCCTCAACCATCGTGGCTGTGGGTTGTCGCTGGCTCGCGACCGTCAGCCATCCAGATCAGTGGGAGGACATTGCTGTGTCGGGCTCACTCACTGCTGTCCATTGATCGATTTCTTCCAATTTCTATGGAGGTTTGTTGAACAATGTGAATTGTGCCAACCCGTGCTGTGTTGGGATTGGGTCGTTTTGGTCTATCGAAAAGGGGCTCGGAGTTCATGGACAGCATTGAAGTCAAAGTGGGACTAACTCGAAGCTTTGTCGCAGGCTTTGCGCTAGACAACTGGTCAAAGAAGGGTCGCACATTAAGCATAAAGTTAATTCAGAAGCTCTGAAAAGTGAAGTGAGAAGCTCCGAGAGACCCGAAAGCTTTGCTCGAGACCCCGAATCACTCCGCTGGTCCCGATACTGTACCATGGGACCAGCGCGTGCTACTCTAGACGACCATGGTTGTCTTGATGGCGAGCAGCATTTGGCCTGCAATCGTGTGAGAAACATGATTAAATTAATTGCTGTCAATCTGCAGTATATGCACGAGGTTTCGAGTCATGTCTGCCTTGGTAGAGCAGGCTGGGGATGGAACAATCGTGGTGGTTCGGGAATCTCAGTTTAATAGGGCCGGTAATGTTCGAGAATCACCCAACGACATTATCTCAAAGTCTAATGCTTTGTGTACATTCGAAAACATTCCTGTCTACCATATTGAAATTGACCGACTCACCAGAAGTCATCATGCAAGACATCCCTCAATGCACTATCGTGCAGGATTATCTCCCAAGGATACATGTATTATATGCTGCTGAACCATTTGGTAGATATTGCAACTTGCATCTTGTCTAGCGTCCTTGCCCGGGCATTAATGACCAATGACAATTCACAATACTATAACTTGCATTGCTTTCAATCGGTCCCTTCAACCTATTGGTTGATGTCTAGGTCACCACAGGCTGTGTGAGCTGGCCATGTCTTTCGTCACTCATTGTCAACATGAAATCTACGTCAAGGTCGTCCAATCATAAATCGCAACATGAAGTCCTTAACGGCCGTCCAATCATAAAATCAACACGGGAAACCCAACATCTAGTACGCAAACACATGCGCTAGGCCTGCCATCAGCATCCCGTACAACCCGGCGCAACCCACACATTCGACAAATCCTTGCTCTGCCACAAGACCAGACTGGTACACTGCAGTTGCAACGCCGGAGAACACCAGCAGCACAATCACCATGCGCTCTCCCAAGCCATGCACCACCGTGAACGCGGCAATGGGGATAGCCACGGCAAGGAAAGCCGCATATACCAAATGCAACGGTGACTTGCTCCTGGGCTCATGTACCTGCGCTGCGGAGTCCTTTGCGTCGCCAGCAAGCGCAGGATCCAGCCTTGGTGAGAGCTGTACTGGGGGCGCAGGCGTGGGTGGCATGATTTGCTTAAAAGGCTGATCCCTCCAATCAAAGTCATTGGGCGACCCGGGTCGCCCAGTCTCTTCCCATTCCTGCCGTGGCAGCGAGATCAGATCATTCTCTACCTGTAGGAACCTTGTTTCCGGCTCACAGATGGCCATGGTTCGGGCTAAGAAAGCCTTGTATTCCCCAACCTCGAGGGCGGAAGGGGTTGGCAGAGACTGCATGGTTCGGAACGACTCGATTAGTTTGCCTTTGAGATTAAGGTTAGCCTTTGGCGCCCTTGACAACCTAATTGTTGAGGCCACGTGGTGGACTCACTATACTGCGCTAGCTTCAAGCCAATGTCCATGTAGAGCGCATGCTTTCGCCAGCCCAAATCACCCTGCGCCATGCTTTCGGCGCGTCGCGACGCAGGCGCACAGCCCATGGGTCCGTATCGGGACATGGTGTCCTCTGCATCGAGACTCTCGAGCTCTTGTTCAAGTTGCACAATCTCGTCTTGGACTTGGAGGAGAAGTCGGTGGTTGAGAGCCTCGAACCGGCGGTAGACAGGGGTCAGACTCGATCTTCCCGGCATAGGAGTACAAAGCGCATGTGACACGTGCTGGTATCCTGATATTGGTGGTCGCCAGGGCGGTGGATGACCTGGCTGATGGTGCGCTGCGTAATGGACGGATTGAAGTGAGACCGGCGGGGGAGGTAGGTTTGAATGCCTGTGTCCCATTGAAACGGCGTTGCTTGGTTGTTCTCTCCCATACCGGACCACGGTCGTGTCAGGATGTGGATGGCCCATGCTGACCACAGAACTGGCGGCTGGGTAAGCATGCGGCTGCTGGCTAGGCATGGACCATTGACTGGGTGTTGGCGATGCCCATTGACCAGCATCGTGCTGGCGTTGCTGAGGTACGCCGAACCGTCGTCGTGGCAGAGGCGCATGACCTGGTACCAATTCAGGCTGGGGTGGTCGGCCCGTAGATGAGACAGCACTCTGGCGGCTGCCAGGTACGGTCCCGATGGTAGAGGCAGCGGTAGACGAAGGTTTCCGCGCTTCGACGTTCACAGGAAACGTTGGCCAGTCAATCATTTCTGAAGTCACGGATGGTGGGCGCTCGTCAAGGAACTGTAGAGCGTCTGGTTCTACTTCTGAATCAACTGTCGGTTGTTGTAGTATGCCTTCGCTCGATGGGGCAGCAACATCTGGCTGAGCAGTCGTGACGGCAACCTCTCTCTCTGGTGTGATGGGAGGTGTGCTGAGCATCGTTTGAACTGGAGAGCTTGGTAAGAGGTCGCCTACATGTGCGACCTCATCATCTGAGCAGTCCTCCACTGTTGCTTGATATGCCGAGGGCCGCTTTGGTCGGGGGGTCAATTCCCTGTGATCGTTGGGGTTCCATAGCTCATTGCGCCATGGTTGGCTCTCGTCGAGCGCATTCTTTTGAGGTGAAGTGTCCATGAAAGATCGAATCGCTGCAAACGAGGTAATCTAGTGCTATTCAGTGTTGTTGCTCACCTAGAATGAACAGCAGTGATCTGGCGGGAGACTATGAAGCCAGCGTTAGACAGTGAGTCAGTAACACTAGACATCCGTACTCTGACAGACTGATTCTGTGTGCGCCCTGGGACTTCCGCAGACGTCAGCTGGCCTGCCTTGAATCAAACACAATCATGCCCGATGTAATAAGAATGTTGCCACGCAATGCATCATACGGTTACCCGAATGGCCGTAGGCACGTCTCGGGTAGGACAACCACGTCGATTGAAACGCGATAATTGAAGCCCAACGGGAGGCGGCAGAGGGAGCACGAGGCGACGAAACAACGGCACCACCATCACAATCTTCAACGAGAGGTGCAGAGGTGCGGCACCCATCTCGTCCGCTGCGACACGGTCTCATTTCAGCAGTGAGGAGAGTGGCTGAAGCTGAGATGGTGGTGCCAACGGATGCTCCTGATAGAGGTGGACGTTTGTACTGTGCGAAAGAGTGCAGCCGTGGGAGCAGCTGCAGGCTGCTGTAAGTGGCCAGCCTCACTTTCGACAGAGCGTGCAGGCCAGTCAATACTGCTGCGGAATTTGATATAGTACGAAGCACACCTACATGTATGATATTCAAATGGGCAATCGTATTACTAGGGCGCTTCGAAAGTCATTCGGCGAGCTGTGCACATGTAGCCCAGTGTCTATCCAAGCTTGCTGTGGGAAGCCAGATACACTGTGCGGACACTGTCGTGCTCTCTTAAGACCCACCGCGACACTTCTATCGACAATTCTCAATCTCCAGCTCTAGGCTCGGTAGACGCGCATTTCCTTTCCCATCCCAGACAAACGCCTCTGGAGGATCTGCCCACAACGCCAAGCGCTCTATGCCACGATGCATGCGTGATACAGTACTGTTTGCATCACTCACTGCTTGTTGCTTGTCAAGCTGCAGGACTAGCGCACGCGCAGTGGCATCATTGCCTGCAGCCTCCCAAGTTGACCCGTTGCGACAAGACCAGCTCCAGTCTGCGCGAGATTGCAAAGCAGAGCACACAACGGACTCTGACTCTCTACCATGAAACGAATTGCCACGGCCGAACTCGGCCGTTACCTGCTTCAAGGCAGGCTTTCGACGCGAGGCTGCCTCAAAACCTCGCAACGTGCCGTATGTCGACAGTCCTCCTTACAAACCAGCCTCGCCTGCGCTAGCCGCTCCCTCCAGACCGCGTCGACATCGCAACACGCTGGGCCTCCCATTGCGCCACTTCGAAAACAATGGCGCGACGAAGCGAAGCAAGCAAAGAAGCAGGGAAAGGGCAAAGCAAAGAAAGACTCGCAAACGGTGGACGGGTGGGAGCTGACGGTGGGCATTGAGATACACGCGCAACTCAACACGTCCAAGAAGCTCTTTTCACCCGCTGTCACGTCCTTCAATGACGATCCGAATAGCCATGTCGCACTCTTCGATGTGGCCATGCCAGGGAGCCAGCCTCTCTTCCAGAACGAGGTGCTGATACCCGCCTTGCGCGCTGCTCTGGCATTGAATTGCGACATTCAGAAGACCAGTCGCTTCGATCGCAAACACTACTTCTGGTGGGATCAGCCGTCGGGGTACCAGATCACCCAATACTACGAATCGTTTGCGAAGAACGGGCAGATTACGCTTCTTGCGCGCGACGGCATTGCGCCTCAGGATGGAGACAGCGTCACTATTGGCATACAAAAGGTGCAACTGGAGCAGGACACAGCCAAGACACTGGCTCAGAGTGACGATACCCAGCTATTGGACTTCAATCGCGTCGGTGTACCCCTGATTGAAATTATCACCGAGCCGCAGATGCACTATCCTCGCACGGCTGCGGTCCTGGTTCGCAAGATCCAGATGTTGCTCAACACAGTGGACGCATGTGTCTCGGGCATGGAGACTGGCGGTCTTCGTGCAGACGTCAACGTTTCTGTTCGCAGAACAGGCGACCCGAATACCCCCTTGGGCGCCCGTACGGAGATCAAGAACTTGAGCACCATCAAAGCGGTGGAGGACGCCATCATCGCCGAACGCGACCGTCAGATTCGCGAGCTCGAGGCCGGCGGGACGATTGCGGGAGAAACAAGGGGCTGGGCTGTCGGGTCGACGGAAACACGCCGCCTGCGTGGCAAGGAAGGCGAAGTGGACTATCGCTACATGCCGGATCCTGACCTTGCGCCTGTCGTCATTGGAGAGGACCTGGTGCAGCATCTTCGACAAACATTGGCCGTGTCGCCAGACATGGAGCTGGACAAGCTGATCGCTGAGTTTGGGTTGACGGCAAAGGACGCCGTTTCCCTACTCAATTTGGACAACGGCGCACGTGTGCAGTACTTTTACAGGGTTCTCGACGGCCTCGAGACCATGCTTCAAGCCAACGCTGGCGGGGATGATATGCCTGCTCTGAAAAGCTACGCAGGTCTGGTGGGCAATTGGACGATCCACGAACTGGGGCGGTTGACGACATCCAAGGCTGGACCGTTCAGTCAAGTGGAGCTCGACTTCACCCCGGAAGGCGAGTGCGCGCAGGTCCCGGACGCTGAGCTCTCACAACTGTTGTACCAGCTATACACCAAACGCATCACCGGCAAAGTGGCAAAGGAGCTCCTCATGGGCCTCTACCTAGGCGATCTCGACACCGGCATACTGGAGACCATTGAATCGCGTGACCTCTGGTTCAAAGAGCTCAGCACGGAAGAGTACAACCTGCAGATTGACGCTGTGTTGGAGGGCGAGGAAAGGGTATTGCATGAGCTTGTCACGGCCGGCGAGGTTCCGCAGGGGAAGGTCATGTTCTTGATTGGCAAGATGATGCGGTCCGGGCCGACGGAGAGGATTGACCCAGCGACGGCCGAGCAGCTTCTGAGGACGCGTGTTTCTGAGCTCCGCGCTGGGGCGTGATAGCCGTAGGCGGCTTGCGCGAGGTGCCCAGAATTGTACGCGCTGAGCTACCATCCACAGACAATACAGAGCAGAGACCCCTTTGAAGAGTGAAGCAGTGAGCGTCGCTGGCGGTTGTTGCCGTTATTTGAGGCTGCTGGCTGTTTCTGCCTACCTCCGAACAATTGAGCAACTAATTAGACTGGCTATCGCTTTTTAGCGGTACCGCGAGTACACTTCAATGCAATGAGAGTGCTGAAGGCTGACGCTCGCCCACGACTTCACCGTCTCCTCCGACGTGTATGAGACCATGGCTGACCAGATCTTATCGATAGCATCGAGAGGTCTTGTTTACCACCACGCTTACTTACGCACAAGCAACCAACATCAACCAACACTTCAGTCCGCCTCAATCTACATCGTTCACGAGCTCAAAGTCGACCATCATCATCTTCTTGCGATTTTGGCATCGAAATCGGAACGTTTGCCGCCCAATCCAAAGTTGTTTCGCTCGCTATACAGCGGTCCTGGCTTGGCGAAACATACAACCGCCCTCGTGCTTTGTCTCGTGTTATGACTGCGCTTTCGAGATTGGTTACCTCCGCATTGCAATGAATTGGTCGCCAATGAAAGTTTTATCTCTCTGGCGCCTTGGCTTGCGGTGGCAATCACCTTTTCGCCCCCGAGTTTCGCAACCTTTTCCCTGTACGCGGCGACCCCGTCTGCTTCCATTTTCACTAGCATCCAGCATGTCGGCGTCTGCTTTTCAGTATGAGCTTATTGAGCTTGTAGAGGACCTCGAAAAATACCAGCCAGGAGGTTATCATCCTGTATGCATAGGCGATCGACTACACAACCGCTACTGTATTGTGCACAAACTCGGCCACGGCAACTTCTCAACAGTTTGGCTGGCACACGATCAGCAGATGCAACAGTACGTCGCGGTCAAAGTTGGCATCGCCGACGCGCCCTCCAGGGAGACCGACACCTTGAAGTATCTAACCGAAGTGATTAATGCCTCTAGCCAGCCTTTAACAGGGGCTGCGATGATACCTATGGTCAAAGATTATTTCACGATCACTGGTCCTAACGGCAATCACCCGTGTCTTGTCACGAGTCCAGCACGATGTAGCCTCTCGGACTCCAAGCAGGAGGGGGGTAGGGGACTGTTCCAGCTCGAGGTTTCCCGCTCACTAGCAGCCCAGCTTATCCTAGCTGTGTGCTTCGTTCATTCTCAAGGATATTGCCATGGGGGTATGTCTTCAAACCTCCACACTACATCTCCATTACCTGGCTAGGCACCCTTACAAACAGGGTTAAAATGTACAGCCTTGGGCATCAGCTAACTTGTCACATAGATCTCCATCTTGGTAACTTACTCCTTCAACTGCCTTCGTCCATGAACGACCTCACCGTAGATGAGCTGTACAATAAAGTCGCAGCTCCGATGCCACAACCAGTCGTCCGCATCGATGGTCGACCTTACTCTGTCAAGCCTGGCGTTCCATCCCATGTCAACTTGCCTGTATGGCTTGGCGAGGAAGACGGAGATATCACGCCGAATGAAGCAAAACTACTCCTAAGCGATTTCGGTACTGCTTTCCGTCCAAGTGACAACAGTACATTCAAATCGCAGACCCCTTTGGCAATCCGACCTCCAGAAGTGCTCTTGGAGCCTGGGATGCCTTTGTCTTTCGGCTCAGACATATGGAGTCTCGGCTGTGTTATATTTGAGCTGTTTGCCCACACCTCTCTGTTCGACGGGTTCATGACCCCCGCAGGACGGTATCACGGCGCAGCAAGTGCTCCTACTTGGGCCCATGCCAGATGAATGGTGGCATCGGTGGCAAAGGAACGGGGGTTCTCTTGATGCAGAACATACATTGAACGACCCAGAGAGCTTTGGGTCATGGGAAAAGAGATTCGAGGATTCGGTGCAAGACGCGAGACGGAGCTATGGCTACCCCGTTGTCAGTGACCGGGAGAAGAGTGAGCTCCTTCAGCTGTTGCGGCGTATGCTTACGTGGAAACCTACGGATCGACCAAGCGCTGAGCAGGTCTTGGAGATGGACTGGGTGAGGAACTAGGCGTTGCCTGCGTTTGAAGCTGGATGCAAGGATACAGACCAGCAGTGACCGATGATTTTTGTATTGCTCAGCCAGCACGGGCCACCATCCACGAGCCACTTGCACCATCTCCTCAAAGTTAGGATGTCGAGAGCACCTGGTAGTGGTATCAGTCCGTTCACCTTCCAAGATCCTCTCAAAAGTCTATAATTGATGGCTGCGTCCCAGCTCCATTTCGATACAGGCCCATGTCAAAGTATAATTGCTTGAACCATCGAGTCACGCGTGTCTCGGTTAGCGCTTGTCGTCTAACTCCATGTCGTCGATCATGGCCTGCAAAGCTCCAAAAGGAGACTAGGCGACGAACCCGCGTCATGTCCTCCCCAGAGTCCAGACTTCAAGTCAGGGACCATCTGCATCACGTCACTCCCGCCTCAGTCAATCTCCGATCAGATTTAAGCAGTATTATGCGTCATGATAAAAGACACCGACTTCAGGTGCCACCGCAGGAGGTTCTCCTCCGAGGAGGGTGAGAGCGCGGTCACGCAGAGATGACATCATGAAGCTCCCCAAAGGCGAAGAGCTCTGTGAAGCTCCATTTACCCAGTTTTGCAAGACAACAAAAACCGTTTCATCGAGTTCCTTTGTATTCTGAACCTGCATACACCTGTCTAATTACTTCACGTACAAACCAAATTCAAATCAACCACTCGAAACCATGTCTGCCATCGCTGCTGTTACCGCCCGCCGTGCGGCTGCTCTCCCTCGCGCTGCGATCGCCTTCCACGCTGCGCGTCCCTTTACGACAACCGTCATCCAGCAAAAGAGTGCCACCGAGACTGTCAAAGATGGCCTCAAGTCGGTCGACCGTGCCGTGAGCGACAAGATTGTCGTCGGCCTCGACGCTGCTGGTACGTTTCCCCACAGATTGTCTTGACCTTACCACATCAACTGACACAAACTTCCAGCTGCTGCCAAGGAGAAGGCCAAGGGCGAAGCCGAAAAAGTCTCTGGGAAAGCTGAGGGAACGGCCGAAGAGCTCAAGGGCGATGCGCAACAAGTCAAGAACCAGGCCAAGGGCGAGGCCAAGGAGACCAAGGGTGACCTTGCTGGCAAGGCTCAGGAGCTCAAGGGTGAAGCTAAGGGCAAGGCGGCTGAGCTGAAGGGCAAGGCCAAGGAGACAGCCCAGGACATGAAGAGCAATCCTTAAATCTTTCTTACGCTAGAATGGTTCACCTGTACAGTAGGTAGGCATGCATGCATGGCGGATTACTTCTTTGCTATTAATGGTACATTACATCATCTCTGTCAAATCTGTTGCTTAGGGGTATTGAAAATCTCGCAGTGCAATTACCACATCCACCGTCTCCAACCTCTGAATGCTCCCAATTCCCCGCCTCTACGCGTGTTGCTTCCCGTTCGAGCCATTCTCGGCGGCAGCAGCAGGCGAAGGGTTGCCATAGTTGAACTCACCCAGTGGGAACCTGACCCACGTACTCTCTGGCAGCATGATGCCACTCGCACCCGCGTACAGCGCAGCCAAGGCGCAGAAGATGGAGAAGGCACCACCAGTCTGGTTGACCTTGATGGCGGCCGAAGGGTGAGGAACAGCAATGAACTGTGCCAAGCCCAGGAAGAAGAAGGCCAACGTGAGGCATCCAAGAACAAACAAGATGGTGATATTCGTCTTGAGGGCGCCAATGGTGAAGACGAGCGTCAGCAGACACCAGGCCATGAGGAAGATGCCGACGGCGACTGTGAAAGCGCGCTCATCACCGGCATAGGCGTCGCGGATGCCCAGGCTGGGGACTATGAACATGGCGAACGAGAGCCAGAAGGCGCCGTAGCTGCAGTGCAGAGTGCTACCAAAGGTGTTGCCAACGCGGAACTCCATGATGCCGGCCACGAACTGGGTGCCACCACCGAAGAAGACAGCGAGGCCAAAGATGGCCTGGTAGGGGCCGACACTTCCAAGAGGGTTGGCACCGGGAAGGCTGTTTCACCTGGTCAGCATCTGACATGGGGAAAGGACAAGAAACAAAGCTTACCCAACTCCGCACTGATAGAAGCCGAGACAGAGCGTTGTGATGGCGAAGCTGATCAGGCCGAGGGGACCAGGATTGGCGACCTTGAAGAACTGCGGATCGCGGACCTGCGAGACGGTGCTGCGGTGAGCGGGTGCGACTGGCGGATACATCTGCGAGACCGTGCCGCGATGCTGGGCGCCATGGCCGAGTTCTGGGTCGTGACCGTTGACATAGTCGTGGTGAGCGGCGGCTTCGCCCGCCTGCGGGGGAGGGTAGTTTGACATGATGAGGTTTAGCGACCTGGTTCTTAGATCGGACTGTATCTTGGCGAGAGATGAACTGGAAGAATGGAAGGCGTGGCCAGTCCGAGGATGCCCAGGGAGCTCTCTTATACAAAGTCTATTTGAGCCAGGACCCTCGCTGGGTTTGGACATGAGAGCTCAAAGCTCACATCTCTGTGGAGACCCCGGGCGGACGAAGGGGAGTCCTTGAGCCGCGTGACGTGTGGAATTGGTTCATAGCATGGTAATGTGGTGCGGTCATGAACGATCGGCACTCGGCATGAAACTTGGTGGATGCGTCGGTCTGCTGCGTTCGGTGATGTGGACCACGTACGACCCAGAAAGACGGACTCGCTCGTGTTTCTGCTGGACGGTGGTACGCACTACGTGGGTGGTGCTGAAAGATCATCGGTCCAATGGATGGGTGATTATTGGAGCACAGAACGCCCGGATGGTCCCATCCGTAGGTTGTGGTGTTGTCACGGACTCACGGTAGTGTGACGAGTGGCTGGTTCGTAAGAACCGGGGGCTCATACGCACATGTTTGAATTCGAGAACGATTCAGATCGAGCCGGAGAACCAACGCTCCTTTCCAGAAAGATTTCCGTTTAATGCCCTTTGCCATTTGGCTCAGCAAGTGTCCGATTTTGAGTCGCAAAGTACGTAGTGGTGATGAGGCGTGTAGCAACGAGGCGCTCAGACGACGCCCATCCTCAAACCCGGCATTCCAATAGATTCATGAGGAAATGCGGCACTGGAAAGCTCAATGGAACCCCGCATGGGACTAATAGAAAAGAATTCTAGCTTCTGACTTCCCCGCGAACCAGACGCGCCTGACTGCTGGCTAGTCCAAGGTCAATCCGGCTGCCCCGGAACGGCAGATGAACTCGGGCCAGTCGCTCATGCAGCCGTACACCCGGCCGTGTACAGACCCGAAGACGCGGTGGAACAACTCACGGGAAGCGTGACAGCTCTTTTGTGAAGTATGACGATGATGTGTCCTTGATCGACGTTGAGATGCGCCGGCCTCATGCAGGTGGTGCAGACGTGCAGCATGTACGTTGAATGCCGACTTTTGGAGAGCAACATCGTTCTCTCCAACGCTTTCTAGACTAGCTGCGGGTGGATGCACAATGGCGAGGTGGAAACCCTGACTCGAGACATTATTATTATGGCCCGTTATTCCCGGAAGCCGTGGTGAATCTCCCAGGTGAGACATGGCTTGCAATGTAGCTCGATGCGCACCATGTTTCGTTCGGCCGAGCGGCTTGTATTGTGCTGAGAAGCCGCCCCTGGATCTTGGACAGTGATACAGCAGTATAGAAGGCGACCAATACTTCATGGTCAGCTACGAATTGACCATGGAGCAGGAAGTGTCATATTAAACCTGCCGCTCGAATGTGGGTGATATTAGTGTTGTCAACTGTGATCTGAGGAGTGATGTTCGGCTCACATGGTAATTCATAAAGTTGGTGACTTTCTACACGAGCTTCCCTTGCAAAACCCTTTGGCAGACAGGTGCCTCAAGATGAAGATCTTGATCGTCCGTTCAGAGGACGACTATGTTCGGGCGAGCGCACACGACTCCTATGATTTATCAATCCGAGGAACGAAATCAGACTCGCTGGGACTTGATCTTGCAGCCAGTCAACGTGGCAAAGGCCAAATTGATTGAATATGACGACCGGTCTGTCGCGCTTTAATTATTTCGACTTTGATAAAGTTAGGACACCGACTTACTATCATTCAATGGCTTTCAAATGCGACCATGGCTTGAATATTCCCCACGCTCGAGTTTTGACGCTTATAAATATTCCAAGCCTACCACAAACCTGCCCTCTTCCCAATTGGGCAGTCCGGAGGCACACGGGCTTGTATCGACAATAATTTACTTTTGCGACGTAATGCTGCATGGCTTCAAACGAATTTGGTGCGCGGGGAAGTTGACACGGGTTTATAAACATGGTCATATTATGGCTAAAGTGTGGGCTTTATTAGCATAATAGTAAAACACGACAACATACGGAGAAATAGAAATCCGGGTGATTAGGCTCATTTGTGTGTTGGCATTGCATGGAGGGCTATATATCTCGTCAAACGTATAATTCTAATATACTCGATTATACTTCTCTAAATATCACAAGCTTGAACTAGGACGCAGTAGATCCTATGCAATTCTCTGTTATCTGTCGAGTAAAGACAGAAGCCAAACTATCATGAAGGCCGCTCAATCCATCTTTCTGCTATGCGCAGCCATAGGCTCAGTCGTCTCCCGTTGCACCGGGTCTGTAAGTTCCACTACCATGAATCTGGAACATAGCATATACCTAATGCTTGGGCCTAGGACTATAGATTTGTCGGACGGGTCAACCCGGAAACGAATGAGCTCACCTGGCCGAGCACTGGTGTTGCTTTTACTTTTACAGGAACCACCGCCTCCATCAATATCAACAGCGTGAGCGGCGCATCCAGTGTTGCCCTGTTCATTGACGACAATGAGCCTATTATCATCCCCAACGTTGAAGACACCTCCATTTCAACGCCTACGCTTTCGCAAGGCACCCATACCGTTGAGCTGCGCAAACGCTCAGAGGCTTATTTCGGCACGTTCCGCGTCGTCAATGTCACAACCGATGGCACTTTGGTCCCGAGCACTGCGCCAGAGCGGAAGATTGAGATCATTGGGGATTCGATTTCCGTTGGCTATGGTCTCGACGGGGAATACCCTTGTTCCAACTCAGCTATTCTGGAAAACAACCCGGAAACGTACGGTGCTGTAGCGGCGGATGCGGTTGGTGCCGATTACAGCGTCGTCGCATGGAGTGGCAAGGGACTGGTTCGAAACTATGCATCAACACCGCCGGACACATCGCCAACAATGCCCGTCATCTACACGCGGTATGGCGCCAATGATGCGGACGGCAGCTTCACATTCCCGCCGTCGTGGATCCCGGATGCTGTTGTGATCAATCTGGGCACGAATGACTTCAGTTACCTCGGTGTCCGCGACCCTGTCGATCCAGCAGATCTCACGGCTGCCCTTGTTGAATTAATGGAAAAGGTCAACTCGCACTACCCAGCAGCAAAGTTCTTCTTGGTATCTTCACCGCTCCTCAACGATGACTACCCCTCAGGGGACGCGCAGAAAACCACCCAGTTGAGAGTGTACCAAGACGCGGCTGAACAGCTCACCGATATGACAGTCCGCGTGGTGGACTGGCCGGCGCAAGGTTCAGATGTGGGCTGCGACTATCATCCCAACGCGGCTACACAGGCCAAGGGAGCTGCGCTGCTTGAAGAAGCTCTGAGGGACGAGATGGGTTGGTAGAACAATGCACTGCTTGAGCACTTTGCCAGATAGGGTCCGCATCCAGTCCTTTCACAAATAAAGTCAGGCGTCTGCCCTGATGCGATAGCAGTTGAGGGCACATGAGCTGCTTGGCAGGGCGACATACCTGGGACCCTAGTCTATAATTCCACTCCCCTTGCCGAAGTCTGTTCCTACCAACGTCTTAAACCGAGTCTATTGGTAATTTTTTCTATTCTATATAAGTCTATTCCGCCCCCTTCTGTAGGACTTCCTCTCGACCCTCCTGCCCGTACCACAACGTCCGACAACTGCTCATTTCCCCTTGTTCGCCTTCTCAGCCTTCTGCACCTGCGCAAACGCCCTCCCCGTGTGCTTCACACTCGAAATCATCAGCATGCCGGGGATGACGATCCAGAACGCGTTGCAGAGCACGTAGTAGGCCCAGTAGTAAAAGTCCTCGGGGCGGCAGAAGTGGATCTTGTCGACCATGGCGGTAAAGGTGCAAGTGGCGTAGTACAGCACGTCACCGTAGAACTGACCGAGCGAGATGATGAGTTGCAGAGGGTAGCGCATGGGGTGGGACGTGACGATGAAGCCGGCGCAGAGGAAGGACAGGGGTCCCCAGAAGAGGGCCGTGACGGCCTCCATGGTGACGACAAAGGAGTCCTGCGTGAGGTAGCGCGAGTCGGAGAGGGCGTACTCCTTCCACAGCTGGCCGAAAATGTCCATGCGCGACGGCATCTGGTGGTAGTTGTAGGCAAAGTAACCCTCGAAGAAGAAGTGGATGAAGCCGCAGAGGACGAACCACAGGGCCGTCAGGGTCTCGGTCTTGGCCAGCGTGGGACGGACGCGGTTGATGATGAGAAAGGCGGCGCCCAGGATGACGGACGCGCCCGTAGCGAAGACGCCCACGAGTTGAGGCCCATTGAACTCATTGGCGATGTACGCTGGGAGGGGGACGCCCAGGGGGAAGTAGGGGTGAGCAGCCTCCATGGCGATTTCAGGGGCGACAGTCATCGTGATGTTTTGCTTGTCAATGCACTGTCGGTGAGAGAGTGTAGCGAGTGAGGAAGTGAGTGAGCGAATGGATTCAAGTCACGATAAACACCCCTTTTTGAGCAATGGTGGAAATTTCAGATCTGGGGGAAATTAAAACACGCCAGATTCGTCGGCGCCGGCCCGTGGCTGGTGCATCCGCGTCATCGGACTTTCGGAGTTTGCACTCGACAGCACGCATACCCTGCAGTGAGAGGACGGCGTTTGACCGACATGTATGTACGAATGGGTGGCTCAACTGTCCTTGATGCTTGCCGATTAACGCGAATACCCTATGTATCTTCGCCCAGGAGGTCTGTCCGTTTTGAACATAGGTATCCTCTTCCAAAACATAACTGTCTTCAGGCACACAGCCCCATCAAGGAAGCACTCACAGCATTGCACAACGACGGCCAAGTCACGCCCAGTACCGCGGTAGAAGTGCCACGCATAATGTCTATATCTTTCCAATTTCCACTCACGACGGATCACCTACCGGCTTATTGTCGGGCTATGTGTGTCCCTATCAGCCCTCGACGTGCTCGTCCGCTCGCTACTCTCGCACCGACGCCATGGCAGTCTGCCAGCCTGACAAGTTTTGAGGCTCTGGCAGTGAATTTAGGTACGGTAGGTCGTGATACACACCATGCAGACCTGGGATTGGGACAAGCACTGGCGTGATCGGATCTTCTCCGAACAGCAATCTGATCCGGGGCGTTGGCTACCAGAAGCGAGCGAACAACCGCCCAGGCTCGCTTCTTTGGATGTAAAGAACGTTTTTACCCCTGGCAGTCCACATGGCGTAGTATACGAGACCCCTGTCAGATTCTCTACAAGGGCAGTGCGATGCCGTTCCTGAGCAAAGTGCCTCATCCAGAGCATGCCAAATTCTGATCTGCCCTTGTTGCAGCTCGTTGCAGCCCCTGTGAAGGAAGACGTTGAAGACTGTCTGTCGCCCTTTGCACCGTCTCAACCTCGCAGTCCATAGTTCGCATGCGCGGATGGCATCTGTGACCGATCTTCTTTGGGTTACACTTCAGGCAATGTCGACAACGCCATCCAGCTCCTCGTTAAATCAGATATACCACGTCATGTGTGCATCCAAATCAGAGCACGCATTGCTGTGATGTTGCTCATATGGTGTTTTGTCCCTGCTTTGGACAAAGTCCTTGCTACGCCCGCTTTGCCTACGCAGGTTCCGAAGAAAAGCTGTCACTGCGCGCTTTCGCCCGCCGCAGCACTTTGGCATGGCGCCTGTTGTGGTATTTGACGTCTTCGGGGTGCAGTGGGTTCCACACGGTATCGCATGTGCGGCACTCTGAAAAGGCAGCTTTGGTGGATAGGTCGAGTGTCGTCTGCACCTGCGCCTTTTGTTTTCGTGTTGGTGGGGGTTTCTGCGCCGGGTGATGGCCGTTTGGCTTGTTCTCTTCATCGCTGGCGGGATCATCCCAGGTGTATGTGTCGGCTTTTCGGAGTCGTAATTTTCTCCCAGTGCTGCTCCTCTTTCGGCCGACTGATAATGGCGAGGGTTCTGGAGATGCCTCCTCCTGCTCGACCGCGCTTGGCTCTTTTTCTTGTCTCGGTAAGGAATCGGCCACTTTTGTCGGAACCGGCTTGAAGAAGCTCAAGATTGAACCTCTGACCACACTGGTGGGTGTTTTCCCAGAGCTAGTGTTAGCCCTGAGCATGGCTGTCGGCTCTTGGTGTGGTTTGGTCGAATTTGCCAAGCTCTCGGCGCAATCACTACCCTTCGCAGTGTGCGTCTCGTCTGCGTTCAACTCTTGAGACTTTGCAAGTTTTTCCTCCGAGGTGATCGGGGCGGACACTATTTTCCGCTTCTTGATGGCGGGCTCATCTTGGAATACTGGTTGCTTCCGTCGACCGTAGGTTCGGAGGGGTTTGTCGCGCCGCGAGCACCTCGCCCGCTCAGGACTTGATGAGAGTTCCTTGGTCATTGCGAGACCATGGGCAAAAATAGCGCGCCTGGCTGTGACAGGTCAGGCGCAAAGAAGCCGAAGATGTGTTCGTTGTTGTCGCGTTCTGGGTAACGCTACGGATTGGCAGGCGAGCTTTTAGACCAGCGGACATAAAGTGTTCGAGATTCGAAACGCTCAACCTGGGCGCAAGCATCGACTGAGCAGCGCGAGCAAGATTTTGAATGCTATAATATTGAATTAATGTGCACAGTCAGGGCCTCAAGCGTTGAGATACGTGGTGCTGCCCCACCATGTCGACGCGTCGAACGCGACTTTTCGTGATGCAGCGCGCAATCACGTGTCAGCGCAACTATCCCATCAATTCAATTAGCACGTTCACACAAGGTATCCCGATGTGTGAGGCACCATTGTTGAGCTGCTGCCACGGCCAGATGCCAGCCGCCAGGAATATTGTAATCATTCATGGTTGACCTCCCATTTTGGGGGCTTGCCGCCTCCTCACGCCATCGCTGTCCTCACCCTGTATCCCCGACGCCAACTTGGCACCACCTTGTCTGCTTGGCGACGACGCATCACCCTCTGCCACTGCCTCTTCTCTGCTAACATCCCCCCCATCGCCAGCATTCTTCACGTCATCTCCAGACGTCCATGTGCCAATGACCTCCCGCGCCTCCTTGGCGCCATCCTGTCGTCCCTTGGCGTCGCCCATCTTCCACACGTAGATCTGATACACGGCGACTTCGGCAATCGCAACGACAATGGCGCCGCCCAGTGTCAGGAACAGCCGCGCCGGCAGACTCCACCATCGCGCCGCAACCCACAGTGTGCCTGCCACGCCCATGATGGAGACGAGGAAGTTCAGCAATAGTAGCATCTGCCTATGTACGTCCGAGTAGGTGATCTCGTCGTCGTCGCCCGTATCTTTCGGGAGTGCCGCGTTGACCGAAGCGTACGCGTGGGGGAAGCGGTCGCTAAAGGACTCGGGTTTGGGGGCGGTCATGTTCTTGTACTGTTGTGATTCGGCTTCTCGTCGTAGTCTGGCCATCAATGCCTTGTATTCTGGTGTCTGCGGGACGTCAATACCACTCCAAAATTGATCGTGGATGGACTCACTGGCTCGGGTTTGGGCGGTGGCGGCGGCACGTAGACCTTGGCGCCAACCAGCAAGCTCTCCAGCGACGGGCCATTGCTGTTCTTCTTGAGAGCGTTGTAGATGTCGAGAATCTGGCTGTGGGATATCGGGCTGCCGACTGCTGGCTTCTCGAGCGAGGGCGCAGTGGGATGCGACGTCGCAGTGGCAGTCTCTGGATCAGGCCCAGTTGCAGTGTCCTTTTGAGGCGCTGGGGCAGCTTCAGGATTTGGGAGCCTCTCCAGCGCCTCCACGATGGAAGCGGTCATTGTGAGAAGCACCATGCTCTCGATTTGATGATGTGGCAGCATCGAGAAATGGATGATGGCATTCGTGATCAGCTTGCGAGCTCCTGCAGGATCCAGCCAATGGGAACACGTTCCATTCCTGTGGGTGGAGACCCTCGGCTGGCGGGCTAGACCGTTTTATCTACCACTTTGCTAGACTTTTTCCTTGGAGCATCATCACTCTTCATCAGTACCTACCATTGCTCGCATACCGGTCGCGACACCCAATTGATCTCGGAATTATTGAGAGGAGACATGTTTCGATAGCCCTCGAACACACTGCACCCCGACTGTCGCAAGGCTGCAGCACCCAGCTCCTCCGACAGCTCCCGACTCGACCACAGTCACCACGACCACCTTGAAAGCACACGATGGCCCTCCGACCAGGCGCCGCGGCTCTCCGCGACGCAAATCGCCTGACATTGTCAACCTGTCACCTCTGCCACCAATCGTTCCTCGCGCCCTCAATACATCTACGGACAAACAGGCGCGCGCTCCACAACTCGCCTCGTCATGACTCGGCATGGGGCGCCGCCGTCCAGGTCGCGACGAATATGGTCAGCAACGTCGTCAAAACGACGGCTGACAGGCACGGACCCGGGATGCGCGTCGATCCGCTCCGGACAGTTGCCAAGGAGATGCAGCACCTCACGGGCAACATCAGAAAACTCCTGGGCTCTGGCCACCCCAGTCTAGACCGTGTCGCGAAATACTACACACAGGCAGAGGGGAAGCACGTCCGGCCGTTGATTGTGCTCCTGATGAGCCGCGCGACACACCTGTGCCCCAAAGCGCATGAGCACACTGGCCACCGTGGGCCTGGCATCGACAGCTCGATATCGCCCATGGGCATCCTCGCCGACGTCAACCCCAGCGCCCTGCCGCTTTCATCGCCCGACGCGAGGGAAGCACCCGAAGAGGCCAACCCGGATATCCTTCCCTCGCAGCGCCGCCTGGCCGAGATCTCTGAGCTGATCCACACGGCCTCATTACTGCACGACGATGTCATTGACCACTCTGTCTCGCGTCGCGGGTCGCCGAGCGCCAATCTGGAGTTTGGCAACAAGATGGCTGTCCTGGCCGGTGATTTCCTCCTAGGGCGCGCCTCCGTGGCCCTGGCCCGGTTGAGGAACGCAGAGGTGGTGGAGTTGCTGGCCACTGTCATTGCCAACCTGGTGGAGGGCGAGTTCATGCAGCTCAAGAACACGGAGCGCGACGAGCGCTCGCCCAAGTACTCGGAGGAGACCCTGGCGTACTACCTGCAAAAGACGTACCTCAAGACAGCCAGCTTGATCAGCAAGTCGTGCCGCGCGGCGGCGTTGCTGGGAGGTGCCGATGCGCACACGGTGGATGCTGCGTACAGCTACGGCCGTAACCTGGGGCTGGCTTTCCAGCTGGTGGATGATATGCTGGACTACACGCGCAGCGGCAAGGACCTCGGCAAGCCGGCCGGCGCTGATCTCGAGCTGGGGTTGGCCACCGCGCCGCTGCTCTTTGCGTGGAAGCAGAGGCCTGAGCTGGGCGCTCTGGTGGGACGCAAGTTTGAGCGAGAGGGTGACGTTGAGAAGGTGAGTTTCACGCAATGATGCTAGGGGATGGTTTTGGCTAATGATGAGTACAGGCACGCGAACTGGTCCTCCAGAGCGACGGCGTCGAGCAAACGCGTGCGCTGGCACAGGAGTACAGCGAGAAGGCCATGGCTGCGATTGCCGGGTTCCCCGACAGCGATGCCAAGGACGGACTAATGGAGATGGCAGAGCAGACCATCAAGCGACAGAAGTGAGCGGAGCGGAAGGAGACTGTATGTGTACACTGTACGAGTATCTGTATAAGTCGCAGGGCAACCAAGGCAATAGATGGGATCACTTGAGGGCGGGTGGGCGTGTGGGTGAAAGGAATGGTCATCTAGACTATAGACAGCGTGGCATTGGCTGCGTTTATACATGTTGCCATTTGGCGTTGGAGGCCATTGCTCTTTCAGACATCTACAATCACCTTGCGATCAACGACAGGTCACATGCTGCTGCTGGGTGGTGGAGTCCCGTGCAGGAGGTCGAACCCTTGATGCAGCAGCCGGCATCGCCAAGTGCGCCGAGGATGTCCCATGGTCAGCAAGTTGATGATGCATGCATGCAACTTCGGGGGCGAACGGACGCACGACGACACACGCCTCGTGATGAGATTGGGAGGTAGCCTGCGAACCGGTGAGATGGAAGCTGAAGTCCCGAGCACGTACAGGGCGAGGAATGACAAAGCAAATGTATCCATGGTCAGGCGACGCACGACCCCTCGACATCCAGAACTCGGGTCTCAGTTCCCATTACGCGATCGCAGCCTGCTTCACGCGTGTCTGGGCCATTTCTGTGTCAATCGTTACGTACAATGGCCGGAGGCGGCCGACGTCTACACGTACGTAGCGTAGTCTCATCTCTGCGGCAGTACTTCCTTTGACAACCCAAGGTGCAAGGAGGAATTAGGAAGAAAAAAAATTTCTGCGCATGGAGCAGGCGAATGGCAGATTTCCATCGAGTGAGGATTACTCGATGGTATCGAGCAAACGCCTGCGGACGAGTCTTGACCGGTCTTGTCCCATTGGTCCACGTGCCTGGCGGGCGGCGGGCATTGACTTCGGGAGGCTTATCGGGCTGCTTAGCCTATCCTGTGTGCGCTAAGCCTATTGGGGGCAAAGGAGTTCGCCGATAAGAACATTGGATTCATTGGGTGAGTGAATAGGCAAGTTGGAAGAGGCAGAGACAGAGATAGATAAGGAACAATCAACGAATTCGCGGGGGATAGAGGCACGATAATGCACCCCGCAACTCACCAGTGCGATGGAGGCTGTGAGCAGCCTCACCCAAGACTCGATCGTCCAACAAGGTTGGGCTGGCTGGCACCCTGACTAGCAGAGGGTTCCCATCGAGCAATATCGAGTAATAGAAACGGGCACCTCCGGGAGGACTGGAGCAACACGACACAACACCGCCCTCCCGACGAGTCACCCTTATCTGGGAGACCATGACCCACCAGTCCGAGGCCCGGAGGACGGTATCGTGTCCATACCTCGCCAATGTGTACGGATGGGTACATGACTGAGGCGACAAGTGATGCGTGATAAGCAGCCCCCCAAAGGTCCCAAACTCCGAAGGGTCCATCCGTGCCGTGGGGAAAGAATGAAAAAGCGTGTGAGTAGTAAAAGCCGAAGATCCCCTTCTTTTCCTTTTCCTTTTCGAAGGTATTCCCCTTTTTGAACGTATCCCCAGTGAGCGTTTTATTGGCGAAATTTTGCTGTCGGCTGCGACACTACCTACCATCACTCCCAGCATACCCTGTAGCAGCAATCAGCAAGCCCGCGCTCTGGCAGAACGCCAACAATCATGGCAGACCTCACTGTCCTCGTCTCATCGCGCGCCATACTCACCCTTCCCGACGACTCACTACTCCTCACACCAGCCACAATCACCATCTCGCCGTCCACGGGCAAGATCCTCAGCACAACACCCTCCATTCTACCGTCGTCGTCGTTCCCGGCTGGGACAACGTACATTGATCATTCGCCCAAAATCCTGCTTCCTGGTATCGTCGATGCACACGTCCACCTGAACGAGCCCGGGCGGACAGAATGGGAGGGCTTTTGGACCGGCACGAGGGCAGCCGCCAGCGGGGGCGTGACCACCGTCGTCGACATGCCCCTCAACGCCATCCCGCCCACCACCACCGTCGCCAACTTCCGTGAGAAGCTCAAGGCCAGCGAGGGCCAGTGCTGGGTCGACGTCGGCTTCTACGGCGGTGTCATCCCTGGTAACGCCAAGGATCTCGTGCCCCTGGTCGAGGCTGGCGTGCGTGGCTTCAAGGGGTTCCTGATCGAGTCGGGCGTCGACGAGTTCCCCGCCGTGTCGTCCAAGGATATCGCGCTCGCCATGGATACCCTCAGCGGGGAGAAGACGACGCTCATGTTCCATGCCGAGATGATCCCCCCGATTTCCGACTCGGTCGGTGACGACGTCCAGGTGTCCGAGGCGCCGCTGGTGCCCAAAGGCGATCTCAACGCGTATCAGACATTCCTCCAGTCACGCCCGCCCATGTTCGAGGTCTGCGCCGTGGAGGAGATCCTGTCGCTCGCGCCTAGAGCACCTGACCTGCAGCTGCATATCGTGCATTTGTCGGCGACGCAGTGCATCCCCCTCCTCCGTGCGGCGCGACAGGCAGGCATCAAGGTCACGGCGGAAACGTGCTTCCATTATCTCGGTCTCACGGCTGAGGAGATTGAGCAGGGCGACACGCGTCACAAGTGCTGCCCGCCTATTCGCGAGGAGTCGAACAGGAATGGATTGTGGGAGGAGATGATGGCCGAGAACAGCTGCATTCAGACCGTGGTATCGGATCACAGCCCTTGCACACCCGAGCTGAAGCTTCTCCCGGGGCATCTCGACAGGCCCAACATGCTACACTCTGACTCTGGCGTCGATGTCACGCTACCAGAGGGCGGGGACGATGAAGACGGTGTAGAGGTGCCCGTCGAGAAGGCGGCCCGGGGCGACTTCTTCGCCGCGTGGGGTGGCATCTCGAGCGTCGGTCTAGGTCTGCCCATTCTGCACACCAAGTCCCAGCAGCGTCTAAAGAAGGGCCTCGCCGCCCCCAGCATCGTCGACATGGTCCGTCTCTGCAGCCAGGCGACCGCCGCGCAGGTCGGTCTGTCGCATCGCAAGGGCGGGTTGCGCGAGGGCATGGACGCGGATATCTGCGTCTTCGACGAGAGCGAGGCGTGGGTATTTGAGCAGGGCGAGATGCGCTGGAAGAACAAGTGCTCGCCGTGGGAGGGCCACGAGTTTCTAGGCCGCGTGCGGGAGACGTGGGTGCGTGGCCAGAAGGTGTTTGAGATGGGAAGGCCGGAGATGGGCTTTGGGTCGAGTCGACCGGTCGGCGAGAGTATCACGGAGAGGAGAGTGCGCTGAACGATGGATGATGATGATGGGGGCATACATGTCATGAGGGCGTTCCTTGCTTTACATAAGATTGACGCAGGTGGGTTTGTGGGGAAATGTGAAGGCGTCGTTCGTTGGACATGAGGTCCGTGAGGGGAACCAGGGTCCGGAGGAAATACTCCTGGAGGCATGCATACAAGTAAAGGTAGATCAGCATATAGAGAGACACGACTAGCGACTGGAATGGATTGAATTATGATGCCTTGGCAAGCTCGCTGTGATTTCTGGGGCGTGATCAGTCCTCTTCGCGCACATGCAGTGTGGGAGCATTCTCGGTCGCGATGGAATCTGTGCAGTCCTTGCCGATGGACAGAATACTGACACCTCCGCCAATCCAGCAGTCTCCTTCGTTGGCACGCAGTAATCAAATCGACAAGATTGATTTTCGACAGAACAATCGTCTTGTGGCCTGCTGTGTGGATGTGGACATTAGGCCCTAACATGATGCGGTCACGATCAAATAATGGCTCGGCTGGTATTGAGGATGACACACTTTCATACACCACTCTAGCTCGATTTTTTCGTCACTCAGAAGGGTGCGGTCGAGTGAGCGTTACCTTGCCCAGATTTTATGTGCAAGTTCTCCCAAGGAAGCTGCATTCATACTCAGGGGTAAAAGGGGCTCGACGAAAGCACCAGAGCCGACCTTGCACAGCGTCTCCCCCAGAGAGTGCTTCAGAACCTTTGGATGCGCATTAACTTTGGGACCAGATTCTTTGCATTTGTCAACCAGCGGGAATATCTGCTCGACTTCACCGGTCAGGGGACACGGATAGGAAACATGAACCTTCTATTTAGATCTTTCAGCAATGCCGGCGACTTATTGAACCCAGCGAATTTTTTTTCAGGAATAGATTGGCTTGGCTATCATCCTAAGCTATATCTACAAGTTCTCGTGTCCACTGCTGCATGAGTGGTGGTCTTTGCCCAACAATCTGGCCCCCACGACCAGAGTCCTAGCCAAGGGCAGCATGTTGCCACTCCCCGAACCAGCTGTTGAGCAACGCTTTTCCTTTACAAATGGCTTAATCTACATTTCCAATCTCATATTAAATCCTAACAATCACATAGATTTACGTCGACAGCTGGATGCAAGAACGTATTGTGGAGGGTGCAACCGCGGAAATCGGAAGCGGTGCTTACGCGTGCTTCTCCGTCTTGACGGGTCAAAGCAAACAGACTCGGTGTGATTGAGGATGCTGTCATACACACACCCATCAAATACTTATTGGAGCATTGAATCCTCTCTGTACAGTTGGATCAAAGAGAGGGGAAGCTCAACCCGAGCCGACATGCTCAGGGAGTGCTGCTGCGTCAGACGCAGCAGCTTGCACAGGACTGTTGGCTGAAAACCTGCTAACATCGGCTGTGACTTGATCTTCCACCTGCAAGAAACAGAACATGACCAATACACTACCCTAGGCACCATCGAGGATATCAAAGCCACCATCAACATGACCGACAGGAACATTAACGATCAGCGTTTCGACCGCGGTGACAAAACAAGCGACCCAGCCAAGGACCGGATCCAGGCTCTGAACACCATGCTCTCCGCGCTCGAATCCGAGAACTCGAACTTGAAGGAGAGGTTGCAGAAGATCGAGGAAACCGTGGCGGGCCTGGTCAAAGGGGACGTGACGGACCCGAAGATCTGGAGGAAGCTGATCCCAACGAACGTCGGATTTGGACCCCCGGCCAGCGTCTTTGAATAGTCATGGGGAGGGCTCTACCTCTTTTGCACCGCTGAGCTCACCCTCATCCCCATCCGCATCTGAGCACGACACTTATCCGCACAGAGTTGTCGACACGTTCGCATCGGGCTATCTACCCCCCCACGGACCGTCAGGGCTGCATTTTACCATGGCAAATGTTATCTCTGCGACCGGCCACTACAACCCAGCGTCAGTCTGGGGGACCGCAGCGGGTTCTCTACTGATAGGGTCTATGAGGTACTACATCACGAAGAAGCGACAAGGCTTCACCATCAACGAAGCCCAAGTCATGTCAAACTGCAGAACGGTCGTACCCGTGTTGTATCGCATGGGCGGTGACACGTACAAGGACCTCCCAGGTGTAGACACCGAGGCGACAATGTACTTGTTGCAGTTGATGTCGAAGTGGAGCAGCAACGAGGTTCCAATGTCGCTGGCGGAGGACTGGGACGAGATGCAGGAGACAGCGTTGGGGAAGGACGTCATGACCACGCTGAACGACATTACCACGATCGCAAAGAAGGTGCCTGAGGCGTTTGTACATCCATTGTCGCAGATCATCGAATTGCTCTGCCCTCCTGTTGTGAGACACATTGATGGGGAGGTGAAGTTTGTCATTTACTCCGGAGATGCAAACCCGGTTCCCAACATGTGGGAGATGCTCTGCATGACGATGAAGGACGACCTCTTGCCCGTGTACATTACGTACAGGCTGTCTGGTATGCAGGAGCCTGATACCCTTAGCAGGATAGTGAGCGAGATGAATGCCGGCGGCAGGGAAGAATAAAAGGGAAAAGCGCGTTAAGCTGCTTGAACTATAGAACCATTGTGTTCTATGGTTGCCTGCACTTTTGCGCGATCAGTTGATGCCCGAGGAACGTTTTTGGCACACAAAGTACCCCAAGTATTTAATGACTAAAGGGAACGATGCTACAAATATCGTGATCGAGTAGATGTAGCGTGAGCTCGAGTCATATGGCTTGACATCACATAACGATCTGCAGGGTAGGCTGCCACGGATGCTGGCTGGAGGCGGCCGCCCATATTAATTAAAGTTGGGTCTGGCGCCAATGCCAAAAGATAGCCAAGTTCCTCAGCGACAACGACTGAGCAGCCTGAAAACCATGAGAGCAACTTGATTTGATCTGATTGAGTGTCACTCGCCTGTCGGAAAGGCCCAACTACACAGAAGAATTGGGAGGAGCGCGTTGACGCGGTGATTTATCCAAGAAAGGAAGCCAAATGGGAGCGGCAGGATACGCGTATAGGAGCACTGTCACTTCGGATCCCCACTGCTCCGCCTGGGCGCTAGTGCAAGTATTCGGGAGGAGCGCCTGCTGCTAGCCTGCTCGGCTGCTCCTGCATTTATCCTCGACCCTTGAAGATTCCACCTCGCACTCAGCTTCTCCTATCTTCCTCCTGTCCTTGCGTTCGACTTGGCACAAACTGCCCCCTCTCGATATGTTTGAACATTTCTGCCCACACTCTGCCGTCTAGGACCTTGATGCGTACCAAGCAGCAGACGAGCGCCTGTCACATCTCTTACTGGGCGTCATAGACCCCTCGCGATCCATCCCCACGCTTTTGTCTCACCTTGCAGGAACAGAAACCGACCCGCCCAATGCTGCGATAACCGAAACGAGACATGGCGGAAAAGCACGACAAGGTCGATAACCTCGACCGCGCCAGCGACTTGGAGTCGTCCATTGCAGCGGACATTCTGCCCCGACGCCTCTCGCTTTCTGGCGCCGGTACTCTCTCCCTTTCCGACGTCGAACCCGTCTCAGTCACATTGCGAAACCTTGCCGTCTCCGTCGACACGTCGCCGTCGTACATTGAGCCTTCAACCTGGCCCCAGCTCATCTCGTCCAAGTTCAACACGACGCCATGTATGAAGACGCTCCTGCATTCAGTGTCGGCAGACTTCAAGCCGGGCACACTGACGGCCATCATTGGAGGCAGTGGCTCGGGCAAGACAACCATGCTGAACACTATGGCGGACCGAGTCCAGAGTGCGCGATTGCAGAATGACGGGATTCTGCTATACAATGGTACCGACAGCGTGGAGAGTGTCCGACATGCCTATGTCATGCAGCAGGACATTCTGTTACCCACTCTCACGGTACGCGAGACTTTGCGATACTCGGCCAACCTGCGTCTGCCGCCGTCGACGTCATCCGAGGATCGCACGCGAGTTGTGGAGGAGGTCTTACGCGAACTAGGTCTCAAAGAGTGCGCCGATACAAGGATCGGCAACAGCCACCATCGGGGCTGCTCGGGGGGAGAGAAACGACGTGTGAGCATCGGCGTGCAGATGCTTGCCAACCCGTCAGTACTTTTCCTCGACGAGCCCACCACGGGTCTGGACGCCACCAGCGCCTACCAGTTGGTGCGCACGCTCAAGAAACTGGCACAGAGTGGCCGCACAATCGTCACCACAATCCATCAACCGAGGTCGGAGATTTGGGACCTATTCGACAACCTGGTCATTCTCTCCAAGGGCAGCCCCGTATACTCTGGCAGCATCCCCGAGTGTCTGCCCTGGTTCGCAGACTTGGGCTTCCAGATTCCCGCGTTCGTCAACCCGGCCGAGTTCGTCATCGACATCGCCGCCGTCGACAATCGCACGCCGGAGCTAGAGGAGGAAACTACAGCGCGGGTGCAGCGTTTGAAAGAGGCATGGTCGGCCGAAAGTGACAGGCAATACGGTCCCCCAGATGAGCTGGCGCTCCAGAACGTCTCGACGCGCTCAAAGACCCAGTCACAGCATTCTGGCTTCCTCCGCCAGACACTGGTGTTGGCAGACCGTACTTTCAAAGTTACGTACCGAGATCCTCTCGGCATGGGCGCGTGCATCTTTGAGGCCGTGACCATGGGCATCATCTGTGGCTACCTCTTCTTCGACCTCCCACGCGACGCCGCTGGCATCCGATCACGACAGGGTGGCTTGTATACGGCTGCCGGGCTTCAGGGATATCTGATCCTCATCTTCGAAGTGTATCGCATGACCATAGACATCCCCACGTACGACAGGGAAAAGTCGGAGAATTGCGTCTCTGCTCTGCCTTACATCTTCTCACGCCGTTTGGCACGCCTGCCTACGGAGGACATACCCGTGCCCTTCCTCTTTGCCACCATCTTCTACTTCATGGCGGGCTTTGAGAGAGAGGTCTCCAAGTACTTTACCTTTTTCGCCATCACCCTGCTCAATCACTACATTGCTGTCACGTGTGCCATGACCTGCGTCACGGCTATACGCCATTTTGCAGGCGCTAGTCTCATCGCCAACCTGGTCTTCACGCTGCAGAGCATGGCCTGCGGCATGTTCATCCAAGTCGAGACGATTCCTGTCTACGTCCGATGGCTCAAGTGGATCACCTACTCCTTCTACACCTTTGGCGCCTATGCTGGGAATGAGTTCCAGAACAACTTCTACGCTTGCCCCGACGGAGGCGGCCCCAATGACCCGGCTTGTCGTCAATATCGAGGCGACTTCATCATGAATTCGCTAGGGTTCCCGCCCAATTGGGTCTGGAGGCCAATCATCATCATGGTCGCTTTTATCGTCTTCTTTGTGCTACTGTCCGCCATAGGCCTGCAGTGGATCCCGGTCGAGATGACAATTGCCCGGGCTCGCGTCTCGGACGCCGACCTGTCTGCTGGCAAGGAGAAGATGAACGCGCAATCCATATCGGAGGTCAGGGCAATCGACCTCGGCCTAAAGGACTTTTCTCTTGATCTCGACAAAAGGACAGTGCGTGGCAAGAAGTTGCCCCGGAAGACTATCCTGCATCCTGTCAACGCCACGTTCCAGGCCGGCACACTCAACGTGATCATGGGCCCATCAGGGAGTGGCAAAACGTCGCTGCTCAACGCCATGGCTCTTCGTCTGCGAAACTCCATCGGCACCAAGTATCGACCATCCGGCAAGCTGACATTCAATGAAGCTGAGCCTTCCGACTCTGTTATCCGCTCCGTATGCTCCTACGTCTGCCAGGATGACGATGCCCTGTTGCCATCTCTCACGGTCCGAGAGACGCTGCGCTTCTCGGCTGGCTTGCGCTTGCCTTCGTTCATGAGCACGGAGGAGAAGACTCGCCGGGCCGAAGATGTCCTTATGAAGATGGGTCTTAAGGACTGCGCAGATAATCTCATTGGCAGCGACATGATCAAGGGTATATCTGGAGGCGAGAAGCGTCGCGTGTCTATCGCAGTGCAAATCCTGACAGACCCGCGCATCCTCTTGTTAGACGAGCCCACATCAGGCCTGGACGCATTCACGGCAAGCTCCATTATGGAAGTCCTCCAGGGTCTGGCGAACGAGGGGCGGACGCTCATTCTCACGATCCACCAAGCTCGTTCCGACCTGTTTACGCATTTTGGCAATGTGCTTCTCCTGGCGCGCGGCGGATCGCCCGTGTACTCGGGAGCCGCCAAGGAGATGCTCGGCTACTTCAACAGGCAGGGTCTTGAATGTCCGAGACATACAAATCCGGCTGACTTTGCGCTTGACATGATCACGATCGACTTGCAGCAGGATCAAAGGGAAGAGGAGAGCCGGGAACGAGTCAAGAAGCTGGTGCAGAATTGGGAGACGTGCGAACACATCCCCGAACAACGGCTGTCGCAGATTCAAGAGCGCGAGGAACCTGCAGGCGAGATCTCCGCAGTCAAGAAGGAGACCGATGAGCCTTGGACCGAGAAGCGCCCGTCATTGGCGTCCAAAGGCCGCAAGTCTTTCAATAAAGCCTCGTTGACGACTCCCGCAGAGCTGGGCGCGCTCATCCGCAAGCGCGCCAGTTTTGCAACTGCGTTCCCCATCCTGATCCACCGCGCTGTCATCAATACACGTCGTCAGCCGGAGCTGATCACGGCGCGTCTCATGCAGGTCATTGGTCTCGCCATTGTTCTCGCCCTGTTCTTCGCACCTCTGGGCCACGGGTACTACTCCGTCCAAAACCGCATGGGGTTTGTGCAGGAAATCGGCGCATTCTACTTTGTGGGCATGCTGCAGAACGTGGCCATCTACCCGTCCGAGCGCGACGTCTTCTACCGGGAGGACGACGACGGCGTCTACGGGATTGAAGCATTCATCGCCAGCTATACCATCCTCGAGGTACCCTTTGAGATCATCTCGTGCCTGGTGTTTGGCGTTCTGGGCGCCATCGCCGTCGGTCTCCCGCGGACAGTGACCATGTACTTTGTCACCGTGTTCGCCTGCTTTGGCATCGTGTCCTGCGGCGAGTCGTTGGGCATCATGTTCAACACGCTCCTGCCCCACACCGGCTTCGCCATCAACGTCATGGGCATTTTCCTCTCGGTGGCCAATACCATGGCCGGCATCCTGAGTATCGACATGCCCGAGCTCTTCAAGGCGGTCAACTACCTCTCGCCCATCCGCTACGCGACGCGCGCTGTTGCGCCGTACTCCCTGCGCGGGGTCGAGTTTACGTGCAACGATAGTCAGCGCAGGCCCGATGGGCGGTGTCTCATTGAAACCGGGCAGGACGTGCTAGATCTGTACAAGTTCAAGGAGGGGCCGCTTGTGAATATCGGCGCGTTGGCGGCGTGTGTGGTCGTCTATCGAATACTGGCGTGGGCGCTGCTGAGGGTCGTGAGAGGGCGGTGGAGAGAGAAGATGAGGGAGAGGGGGTAATCTGTTGATGTTGGAGACGTTGTTCTTGTCTATTACTTGGAGTGGCTTTATATACTACAATGTGGCTGATTGGGGATCAAAAATTACCAGCTTGCAGCAAAGGAATGTCTTGGTTTTACGGCGAATCAGAATAAAAAGGCAGCCAGAGGAACAGACCCCTGAGATCCTCAAGTAATGCAAAAAGCAAAAGCAAAGGTCACGGTGGGGATCGAACCCACAATCTTTTGATGTACAGGAATCGTAGTCAAACGCCTTGCCATTGGGCCACGCGACCTAACCAATGGAATGATCAATCTTGTTTCGTTACATGTAGCAATGCCAATTCCTAGGATATTGTTATTTCGAGATCACAGACACTTCAAACACAACGCCAAGGTCAGGCGTCTGGGGCTTTGCTGTTTTTGTCGTCTTTGGCAATTATCACGATCGGACGATGCTAACACTTATGCCATCATAGATCTGCCCTGGATGTATTCTCAATGCTTGGGCCGCCCACAAGAAATATGTCACCACCGCGCGACCACCGAGTACATTGCCTACTGCATCGCCGTTGGTGCCGAGAATGGCTCCATTAGTAGCCCCGTCCCGGTCCGGTCGCCGGGTGGATCCTGGCCGAGACGGAGTCCGTCCGTCTCTCTCCTTTAGGAAACATTCCACGACACCTTCGTACAAGTCAGTACAGACGACAAGATGCGTCCAGATGCGATCTCTGACGTTCTGCACGCTGTTCAGCCATGTACATTCACATACGTTTCCGTTGCACCTGGGATACACTTGCCCCTCACTGATGTTCTGCTCCTCATGGACGTCGTTGATTACTTGGAACAGGGCAATTGACGTTCCTGCTGAACACCCCAAGACAGTTCGAACTCCAGTGAAGCCCTAAATCACAGGCGCACAAAATGACAGTCCAACGCCATATGAGCAACTTTTCTTTCCTAACCTCCAAAAACACTCAGCATCTCTATCCCACACGGTAAGCAAGGCTAACGATCATGGCATCTGGCAATGTTGACCCCTCCCGCTACGGCCCAGGCCTGCACCACACCGAGCATTGCCACATTGTCAAGACGGTCCTTTCTGATGGCTATCTCAAAGCTCTCGGCAGCTGCCCTCTTTACAACGACCAGCCCAAAAACTCTTGCTATGGTCACCGAGTTGGCTGCTGGCGAGCCATGCGTATTCGCCTCTATCGTACTTTTGTAGTGGCATGCACCGTGCGCCTTGACCAGTTTCGCGCCGTCCAGGCCGAGCAGTCTGTCGAAGACATGATGGCTAATCTCGGTAATTTGGGCCGTGTTTTTGAAGGCGGTTACTCTGACTCTCGTTTTATTTGCAGCTGCTTCCCAGGCGTCAAGAAGATCTTCGCCCTCAAGGCTGGCCATGTCGACACCACCCCTGTCGCCCACGGTGTGGCTTTTGATACCTGGTGGGAGTTGATCGGCGAGGAGGCCTGCCCAGCCCAGACTGAGGAGACCTTTGAAGACCCAACTGCCATGCTGGAGCATGCTATGAACTCGATGGAATTTTCGGGTGCGTGGGACGAGCTCGTTGACAAGATGGAGCAGTTTGGCGAGGGGGACATGGAAATGACTGGATGATTTGAATAGGGGCGTGGGAAACGTTTGCGAGAGGCTATTTGGCGATGACAATTGTCGACATCTGGATATGTCTGGCAACTGAGCTGTTAGACGAGATCTGAGGTCCGTAATTGCTTACCTGTTTTGCTCTTCAATCTAGTCTTTCTTTGCATTATTGAGTCTCACCTTGCACATGATAAACAACCAGTCCCCGCGGAGAGGTTAAAAATAAACAACGGTGCCAAACAGTAGTTAAATCCCCATGTCACTGTCTAAAGTCAACAGAGATCAAAACATGCAAAAGGAACCAGTCATGCAGTCTTGTAGTCACCATGATTGAATACCATGGTCAAATCCTAACATCGCTACGCCCTCGAAACCCCATGGGCAGCTGCTCTTCTCAAGATTGAGGTCCTGCTGTCCGACATTGGTATCATGCATATCCCTTCCTCATCTTCCTTTTCCAGCGCCGGACACGCATCCTCCTTGCTGCCCACCCATCCAAAGAGCAAATAGCGCTTCACAAACCAAGACGCAATAGTCCCACACTGGTATCTCATGAAGGACCTCGTGGGTACATTGAACACCCCGTCCAACTCTTCCAACGAGAGCTGCTTCGTCTCTGGCACCCACAGGAAGATCATGATAAATGCCAAGAGATTCAACCCAGCGTACATGCCAAAGGCACCAATGGCGCCTGCGCGCTCGAGCAGGAAAGGGAAGGTTATGCCCAAGACACCCGCCCAGCCTAGACAGGTAGACACGGAAAACGCCATGCCTGCCTCGCGATGCGACAAAGGGAACACCTCGGCTGAGTAGGCGAATGGCACAGGGCCCTCGCCAGGCGCATAAAAAGCACCGAACAGAAAGACAAATAAGCAGATGAGGCCGTTGCGGATATCACCTATGGACCCTTCCCGCGAGATGAGGGTGCACAGGCCAGCTCCAAGGAGCGTCCAGAACATCTGGGGGAACGTGAACAGGAGAAGGTTACGGCGTCCAAACGTGTCGATTGTCCAGAACGCAGGAAAGGCGAACAGCCAGTTAACCATGCCCCAGCCGAACGAACCCACCATGGCCAGGAAACTGCTCAGGCCCGCCTCTTGGAAGATGGATGTCGAATAGAAGGCAATGATGTTGATGCCACACATTTGCTGTGCAAGCATGACCGTGAACGCAGCGAGGGTTGCTCTCCGAATACGAGGGACAACGAAAAGCTGCTGAAATCGTTGAGGATACGTTGTCGTGCCTGCGAGCTGTTTCTCGATCTCGAGCCGGGCAGAGATGTAGTAAATGTCCCGTGCCACCTGGAGATCAGAGTGGCGTAGAAGACGCATGCTTTTCCACGCCTCGGGGTACCGGTCCTTCTTCATGTACCAGCGCGGTGACTCGGGACACAGGTAGATGAGGAAGAGTAGTGGGATGGCAGGGAGGCAGGGGGCGCCGAGCATCCAGCGCCAGTTGTGTTCGGTGCGGAAGACGGCGAGATTGAAGCCTGTGCCGAGGGCGATACCAAAGGCAGTCCACATTTCTGATTGTGTTAGTACATCTTCATCCAATTCAGGTGGTTAACTTACGCCATGACATGACGAGGGCACCACGAATGGCAGCCGGGGAGTTCTCAGCAGCATAGATCGGCACCGTCGACGCTTTCACGCCCATCCCAACGCCCATTAACAAACGACACGCCAGCTGTTGCTCCCAGGTCTCGCAAAAGGCAGAGGCAAGAACTGGCCATAGACAGAAGTGCGCAGAGACAAAGATGACACCGCGGCGGCCGAGGATACTATTGATGGGGTCGGACAGCCAGCAGCCGATGCAGGCGCTTCCAAGGTAGGGACCCGCGTTCACGACACCGAGGATAATACGCGAGCGCGTCGAGCCATCCGCGATACCGTAGTACCCGGGGAAGAATAGACTGGCGCCATTGGAACCGGTCTGGTCCCATCCCTGGACGGCCGCGCCGATGGAGCATGTCGCAATGGTAAGGAAGAGCCGGAACGGTATGTGCCATTTGTGCTTGACTTCGGTATTCAGTATAGTGAGCTCGTCGTCGCTCAGCTTCTCGTTGCCCGATATTTCGTCAGCTGGTGTCTCGTTCTGCGCGAGAAGGGCGCCCTTTCTCAACACGGCGAGATGTTGTCTGAGACCGCGCTTGTCGGCGAATGCTTCGACGTCGCGGAAGAGTTGCGCCTTGGGGATGCCCGCGAGAGGGTTACGGATTCTGTATGCAGTCAGCGTGTTGCTGGCTGGTTAGAGGAGGGAGTGCCTACTTCGCCTCTAGGTTGGGCTGTGCACTGCTCTCATACCGGGAGATCTTTGGCGACAGGCCATGTTTGGTCTCTTGAGTACTGTGATCATTTAGTTAATTTCAAACAGTGCTCTTTGGTTATGCTACTCACTGGCTCATCGTGCGTGACTTGACCATGATGGAGAAAAGGATGGCTGCCAGTCGGCAGTCCTGTCAAGTCCCGGGAGATGTGGATGATGCTGGGACCCAGGAATGTCGATGCCGGGGGAAGCATGCCTGTATATAAATGCCCTTGGATGATACAGCCAACCCGCCTCTTTCACCACGAAAATCGTCATTCCGAATCAGAGTCACCTTCCCCAGACTTGGTGTCTTGGTCGTGGACTCGTGGACTCGTGGACTCGGTAGACTCGTGAGCCTCATGTTCACTGGTGACTGTGCGAACACACATTGTGGGAGCCTATTGGAGTGCGCGCGGTATGGGCGGCAATGAGGGTGTCTTCTGTAGGCAGATGAGACATCTACAAGGTTGAGGGATCGTCGAGGCGCGGGTTGATAAGACTGTCTCAGCAGTTCGGACCAGGACGACAAACCCCATGCTGCCACATTGGGTGTATATACACTAACATGAGTGCTCATCTTCATCAACCATTAGTCAGCGTGATTGGTTTAGTGGTAAAATTCTCCGTTGCCATCCGAGCAACGTCGGGGAGCCCTGGGTTCGATTCCCAGATCACGCATTCTTTTGCTCCTCGCTCAGCCGTGTAAGCCTTGAAGCAAATTTTCGTTTTTTTTTTCCTTTTTGGCTTAGATGAGTTCCGCTATGATAGAATTACCCTATTATTGGATCTCTAAGCACATGGGGTTGTGTACTTGACGAATGCTTCTAAAAACATATATCTAACGATAGAGGAGGAGTACGAGGAGAGATCTCGTTATTAGAGCGGCTACTCCCGTTTTGCTACTATGTCCTTCGTCTTCGTCCATCTTGTGAAATGCATTAGGGTGTTCTGAGGACTAATTATCGTGAAGTTTCGAAATCTCCTCTGCTCCTCGAGGCCTGTCCTCCACTTGCACCATGAAGCATGCACTTCACATAGATGTGCATATAGACTCCCATGCTAAAGAGTCTTTAACAAAGGGACCTGTGCATACCTTCAAGGCCTAGACGGGCGTGCGTGTCGCGCATTGCATTGCTGCCTGATCATGGCGAGTCTCAGTATCCGCCCTTGAAGTCTCAGACGACCCTTGCCCGGCAAGTCGAACACAATCCGGTCCCTTCACTAGGAATTACTCGGCAACTCGGCTGAATGGGTCATGGGGCTTGGAATAGAGTATGAAAGATTGCCGCAGTATACACTTCTGGTCTTATGTACGTACTGCAGCACAAAGTAAACAAGTTCATCACAATTCGAGGGCTTCTCTCAAAATTGACCTATCGAAAAGTCAAAGGAACTCGCTGAATAGTCCACCAAGGCCCAGGTCGCTCCATCCATGCCAGTACAATATTTGGAACTATTTCAAAAAATCGTGGAAGTCAATGAGGTTGTTGAAATATCGAAGTGCTGGCCAGTGGTCCAGGAAGACGGAGTTCCCACCCAAGAAGATTTTGTCGGCATGAGGGATATTACGGCCCACTCCGCCCACAACTGCGCAAAAGTTCGAATTCAGAATCTCCATGCTGGCAAATTCGAAATACTGCCATGGGATATGGCGTAGTTGACTGCGTGTGGAGCGAAACAGAGCCTGGGCCGGTCTGACCGTGCCTCGCTGTCCCAGCTGTTCGTCAGATCCTCATGAGCCATAGAACTCTCGCCGATCTTCATCAGCCGCTTAACTCAGTTGGTTAGAGTGTTGTACTAATAATGCAAAAGTCGGCAGTTCGAACCTGTCAGTGGCTAAGCATCTCTTTTTGTCCTTGAAACGTCTGCTCGGCTGGTCGTTGGGGTGTGGACAACCTCCTTTTTTGGCGATGCAGGGACTCGCCTGTCTGCACGAGGGGTCTGTCCCCATTGCAAGCAGAGTATGCTTCTGATATCTCAAGCCTTGATGCACGTCAGTGGTAAATCACTTTCAGTCAGATATCTGCGTCCTGAACATCATTCAACGGACTCGTACTCTGTGGACCAGCCATAATCAAGTAGTAAAGATCAAATTCCATCAGAAAACTACCAAAGCAAACGCCGCAAAGTAAGTCCCCGAGCAAAGTGTTCGCATCATAAGTCCCATCCCTTCCCAGAACCCGTGCACGCCCAAGCAGCCCGACAGCTACCAGCCTCACTCCTTGCAAAACCACAAACAAACAACCGGCTTATCCCCCGGCATACCGGTCCTCGTCTTATCCCAGCCAACATCCTTGAGCGTCTTCTTCGTCATGTCCTTGTTATCCGCATCGAAGCCGAACCCCTTGTACCACGTACCGTTCCCGCCTGCCACAATCTCCCAGCAGCGGTTCTTCTTGGCGCTCGCATTGTCACAGCCAAACCCCTTGAGGAGCTCCCCCAGCGTCACGGTGACGGGAATGTGGGCCGCCTTGAATTCAATCTGCGCGCCGGCGGGGAGCTGCCATGGCGGCGTGTTGCAGCGGAACACGTGCACCTTGGTGTGCTCAGAGGGGAAGAAGTAGTTGTAGCCTGGCTCGCAACCTGCACCGCCGGATACATTCCCCATTTGCGCCGCAGGCATGGCGCCGTCGGCAGAAGGCTCGCCTTGAGGGGTGCGCACGTAGACGTTGGCGGCTCCATTGGGCTGGTGCACGTATGGGTAGTACGCTTGAGTAGCCAAGTTGGCGTAGAATGGGGAGTAGCCAGCCCATCCAGGGTACGCGGCCGTGTAGTATCCGACACCAGGACCTGCGGTGTAAGGGATGTATGGCTGGTTAGCAGAGGGCGCGCCGTAGGGGGCACCTGGTGGACGTGTCCCGACAGGATCACGGCCAGCAACGGGGTTCCATCCTCCGGACATGATGTGTGTTCAATGGGGTGGCTGCCAGGTGGTGATCCAGCGACCGGTCGAACGGTCGAAATGAACTGCCCAGGTGTTTTCTGACTGGAGTGATGTTGGTCCTGTGCGGAATGGGAGGCTTGCTGAAGGTCGGTAGACCTGCCACTGGGGAGAAATGTATGATTGTTGCTGGAGTGGATGGGGAGGGAATGCTGTGGAGGGAGAAATATCAGCATCATGGGTATACAAGTAGAGTGTGGCATGCGTGTGAATCACGGACACTGACCTTGATGTCTGTTACGCACAGGGAGGCTCAGTGCGTTGATAAACCCGCCACTGCTATGAGCGGCTGTGTTACCGCCAAACTGTGTTGCCTGTTGAGTCCGTGATTCAAGCCGGATGCCAAGGTGCCCGACGAACACCTCCCGACTCCAGATCGGTATACCGTCAGAGTCGTAGTAAACGCCAACAATGATCCAGGCCCAGGTTGGCAATGGGTGAACCACCCACTGTAGAATCTGCGTCACGACAAGTCGAGCCGCGGGATGGGGAAGAGAGTTGTCTTCAACCTCGTCAAAGGTTGGGTCGACGGAAATCTCGGGCATTGGGTTGGGAAACCAGTGTGAGAAGCGAGATCTAAAGGGGCCAGTCACAAGAAGGGGCGCCGTCTTATAGTAACGTGAAATGTCCATCTCAGGCCATCCTGCCATCGCCTACCATGAAAGGAACCTGCCTGATGATTGGCATTGCTAGTTGTCCCACGATTCACTGCAGTAGGAGGTGATGCGGGCAGATGGGCTGCTGACGCCAGCAATTTTGAATCAGAGGGCGAGCCATGTGCCCCGTCTGAGTGGCCATCGAGTGACAATGGACATGAACCGGGGAGGTTGCCTGGCTGCCGTGACCAACTCCCGTTGCAGTCTCCTCCCGAGCAAGGAAGCTCAGTGATACAAAGTCTCGCCTCCAGTCTCGGTGAATCACTGGCCATGGGCTCCTTCAACCACACATGCGCATCAGCCGAGCTGACCCTCGACTCATATCCGATCGTCGTCCTCGACATCAGCCGTCACCACGCGCACGCCGCCCGCCATCTTGGCCGGATCGACATTGACGGCATGTCCCTGCCCATTTGAGAGTTCCTTTCGCAGCGCCTGCCTGCTGACCTCTGTGACCAAGCCCTTGAGATACACCTCAGCCTGGACGGTGGCACTGTACGCGGCGGGCGTCCAATTCCACACATTCCGGCTCTCCACGTCCGCGCCCGCGGCTAACAGTATTCTGAGCGCCAGCAGATTTCCATTCCCGCTGGCAAAGTGCAGCGCTGTGTTCCCCTCGCCGTCCGTCCTGCGCACGGCTTCTGTCGCTCCGCAGGGCGCATACGTCAGGAGCAGCTGGAGGACAGTGTCGTGGCCGCCCATGCTGGCCTCCATGATGGCGTCTCGACCCCTTGCGTCGCGTCGTAGTATGCACTCCCGATCATACCTGCACAGTATATCGACGACCTCGGCGTGGCCTGCACCCGCCGCGAGCATGAGGGCTGTTTGGTGCCGGTCGTTCAGGGCGGGGCATGGCTTCTCGTGGCCGCGCTCGAGGAGGACTTGGACGACGGTGCCGCGGCCGAGGGAGGCTGCGAGGTGGAGGTTGGAGTTGCAGAGGCCTGGCGGGGAGGTGTCCGGGTTGTGCAGCAGCGCTGGGTGCGAGGTCAAGATGCGCGAGACGAGGGTCGCGTCGCCGGTGTGGATGGCACGACGGAGGCGGATGGCAGGGTCGATCCTGGGCGGTCATTAGTCAATGAGCGGGAAGCAGTGCAAGAGGATGTGTACATGGTGGGCGACGAAGCATGATGCAGAGGGTGTATGTCCTCGCAACCTTGGAGTTGGTGGATGGTGGTGGTGATGGATGGTTCGTTGTTTGTTGACGTTGCGGCTGTGCCTGATTGTGGCTATGACCTCATGGGGGTCACGTGGATCGTCTGCCTTGATTCGGGACGCTTTCTCTTGTCGCGCATGGGACGATTGAGCATGGTTCTTTGGAAATTCAATCTAATAAAGAATTCATGAGTGAGCATCAAGCAAGACGTTGGTGAAGGGCTAACTCAAAGGAGCTGTGATGATGCATCGAGCACACGTGTAGCAAGTCGTGGATGCGCTGCCACTGGTCGATATGATAGGGACATGAACCAGGAATAACCTTGCAATTGAACTCACTAATATCATTTGCATGAATATCGCCTCAATATTTTTTTCTTGCTTTTTACATGTTTTTATTAACAGACTCCCTGATTGCTCGTGCTGCTGGTCCGTCCTTCGCAGAAAAGGGTTAGGGTAGGTAGATTGCTGATAGGCGTCGGCGCGTCCCATGCCATTGACTGCCTGCAAGCCCACGAGATGAGAGCATGAAAAATACATGCAGAGGCACAGGCAGTAAATACGATATATATAATTCAGTTTGCAGAATAAAAATTACTATATACAGGTATTAGAAGAAAGGTGAAAGTAAATAATGGCAACCCGTCCAACCCAAACGCCGACTTTGTCTAAAAATAAACCGCGTCTATTTCCGCCTCGGCAGCAAATCCACAAGATCCCTCTTCGCGTTTCTTTGAATCCCACACTTCTTCAAGCACTGCTCAATGCCCAACGCAATGTTCTTCGGGATCGTATCCCTGAAGGTTTCCACATCCGCACCGTTAAAGGTCACAGGCCCGCCAAGCGTCGCCTCGACAACATCCGGCCGCAAGCCAAAGAACCCCTGGGCCACTGACACGACACCAGGGTCCTGGTTGTTGAACGAGGCGACAAAGACGGCCTCCTCGCAGTCCGGGTTGAATTCCTGGTGAATGGCGCCCTGGGGAAAGACGGACATTTGAAAGGTGTCCATGGTGTTGGCGATATGGTCGAGACCGTTGTTCACGATAAAGTTGGTCACGAGACGACCCTTGACGACAATGTTGAGCTCGGTGGCGCGAGGATGGACGTGGGCCGTGTTCATGCCACAGGGTCCTAGAAAGGCCACCATCATGGCCGAGTTCAGGCCGATGAGGGCGGGCATGCTCTTTGCGTGGGCGGACACAGAGACGCCGCCATCACCGCCGTCCGTGGCAGAGCCCTCGGGCGGGTCGAGGTCGGCAAAGTCAAAGACGTAGTCGCCAGGTTGGTTGAGGAGCTTGGCGCGGTCCTCCTGCTGGGGCGCTGTGAAGAGCTTGGTGATGAGGTCCTGGTCGTTGGCGCGGGTGTTGACGGGGACGGCCGGTGGGAGGTACTGATCGATGGAACCCTCACGGGCCTCGAGACGAATGGAGGGAAGCGCGGATGTGAGCACCGCAGAGGTAGCGGCGACAACAAGAAGTGAGCAGCGCATGATGAAGTCTGGTTGTTGTAGATGAGGTTTTGTGAGTCGACGTGGTGAGTGTGGACAATGCTGAACAATTGTTTCAAGTTGAGAGAGACTTGTCTTATAAGATTCTGGATCACGGCCATCTCACAGAATGAATTCCCCATTCAAGTGGCCTGGCGCAGGAGTGAGAGCCAACAAGTGGCATGTCTTCCTTGTGCCGTGGCTAAACATAGACGCAGTGCTCCCGTCAGCTTTGTTCTAGGATTGGGGTCCGTCTCGGCATTGTGGAGGCACAAAGAGCAGAACAAGGTCGGGTCGATGGACGAATGGCAGGCGTCTCCCTGGGAGACTTGTGAGATTCTGCATGTCGTGCTGGGTCAAGGCTCACTGTACTGCCAGTCTGCATATCCGCGCTTGCGCTTACCGTGCGCCGCGTCTGTTGGGCAGATTCTGGGGGCCAGGGCTGGCCGCGCGGGGCCGTCACTGCGCCATCATATTAATAGTATTATCGTCCTGCACATGCGCTGGCTTGTATAAGTCAGAATATCATGATTTATCCACGCACTGCTTTCGCCATCGACGTGGTGTGAGGTGGCTCTCATCCATCGAGTCCATCCAGACATTGTGATCGACGCAATTCGAGTCTTGCGATTGCAATGCTGTGAAACTGTCCATTCTCGCGACGGCACAAATGCCTTATTGCTGACAGCAGACAGACCCAATCCACACTGCCAGTTGGATGTTGAAGACCGGGAGGGACGTCAGATAGGCGGGCACGTGTGCATGAAAGGATTGATGCTGACAAGCTCATTTCCCGAGTCGTGCATTGGCGGTGTCAGCACGGCCCAGAGAGGCTGGTTTGTTGCAGACAGCCTCTCCAGTCCAGTCGGGAGTCATGTTTCGAGATTGCGGCTTGTCAGACTGCATAATCGCGATGCGCGATCCGGCGTTGTAGAAACATGAGTACAGATGGGGGAGCAGGTGCTGACACGGGCAGCGCACTAACAGTATTCTATGCAGTAAAGCGGGAATGCTGTTAGGGGTGCGCTCGCTTATGCCACTGAAAATCCACCGCGACGAAAACACGCAGCACCACTCTTGGTATTATCTTGCAACGAGCTATTGAAAGCCAGATCCAATTTTATCAAGTGCAGAACCGCTCAAAACAGAACACGCACCCATCCACTAGTTCAGCTCGTGGTTCGACTTGATCGCCTTGGACTTACCCGTGTCCAGCACAACAGCAGGATCCTCCGCATCACCGTCGCGCGTCACCTCGTTTCCGCGTTTCGTCGTGATAGACGTCCTATAATCATCTTGGTCAGCATATGTCATCCAGAATCATCAGCGTCACGGGTTTATGTACTTCTCGGCCTTTACATCGAGGACTTTGCCCTCCGGGTTGCCGTTGCCCCAGTTCCAGCTCACCGTGTCGCCGGGCTTGGGGCCCTTCTTGGGCTTCTTGCCTGAGCTCTCGTCTTTGCCGTCATCACCATCGTCCTTGCCCTCTTCTTCGTTGTAGTCATCGTCTTCCGCATCTTCGTTCTCGTCATTGTCGTTCTCATCCTTCTTGCTGCCGTTGGGCGCCTTGCTCTGACGTGTCTCGCGCTTCTTATTGGCACCAGACTGGGCACCAGCGCTCTTCTTTCGCTTATCGCCAGCTTGCTTCTCCTCTTGATCATTCTCTTTCTCAGCATCCTCCTCTTGGTCATCGCCATCGTCTGCAGCCGCCTCCTCTTCTTCGTCCGCTTCTTCCTTTTCATCTTCCTTGCTGCTGGTGTCGGCCTCGCCCCTCTTCTTCAGAGGATCGTGACCCCAATTCTTGAGCGAGGCGTAGCTCTTGGTCTTCTTGACCTCTTCGGCGGACTTTTGGTCATTGCTCTTCTCCTCCTGCGCGAGATGTCGTTTGCTGCCCTGGTCAGTCTTTTGGTCTCCCAGCAGAAAGGATCGTCTTGTGCACGAATCGGCGCCACGTACCAGTACGAAACAACCTTGCGCATGTGCTGAATCTGCTCGTCGGTGTACTTGTCCTCCTTCTTGTCGGGGTTGCTCTTGAGAATCTCGACAATCTTGCGCCCGCTGTCGTGGCCCACGGACTCGCCGTCATTCTCGCCCTCGTCCTTGGGCCACCCTGCACTGCGCGAGTCGTCCGACTTGAGCCACTTCTCCAGCTCCGAAGCCGTCATGTTGACGATCTCGTTGAATTCTTTAACGACTGTCTCGGAGTCTTTCATGATGGCGGTGCTTCTTTTGGGTGGTGATGGTGCTTGTGTCTGTGACTGGTATGAGTCTTCCGTGACAGCGCAGCTCAATTGGGTTTGCGATTAACTTGGCTGTCGAGCATTGAGGTTCTTAAGTTCTCATCTTGGCCCTGGCCGTACCTGAGCGCACCTGTGCGCATCTGTCGCATCTGTGGCGTCATGGTGTCTCAGCCCGTTGAGCGCGTCATAGACCATCAGCTAAGCTTTGCGGCGTGCCTGGCGATCCGCGATCCGCGATCTACGATCCATCAGACTCATTGGACTAGGCTGCCTCCTCCCGTAGCCAACGCTCAGCCATGGCCCATGAGTGGGTGGGATATGAATGGATGACTGTAACTTGCACTAACGCACAATAACTAACCCCCACCAGATGTTCAAATGATCCTGTCTTCAGAAAGCTTCAGGGGGAGAGAGAGCTTGGTCTGAGATTCAATGGCAGATCCAGGCTTCTAGTCCCTTTTGACAACCCATGGCTGCGCCAGCACCAACTTTCCAAATGTCCCGGTGGTCTCGACCTTGGCAACCTCTTCCAGCGCGTCCTCCGCTGTTCCCTCAAAGATTCGAATGGGGGTCTCTTGGAACTCTTTGCCATAATGATCCACCACCCAGCGGAGGGCCTTCCACATTCTGTCCGCCGCCTCCATGTCGGGAGGAAAATCAATCTTGCGCCCGTTGGGCAGGTCAAACGCAACCTGGTAATGCCGCGCCCCGACACAGGGCTCGAAGCCTTCTTGGGGCATGATGAGTACGGTCACGAGGCGAACGCGGTCGCCGCTCCTGCTGGGGATCGAACTGGCGAGGAGCGTCTGCGAACTGGGCGTGCTGATGGTGCCGACCGCGTCGAACCCCCAGACACGCCCGTCGTCGCCGGCGCTTTGCAATATTAGTGCCTTGATGCTGGCCACGGTGTCCTCGTCGTTGTAGTCGAAGCAGTGGGTCGCACCCAGCTTCTTGAGAAATTCATGCCGCTTCGGCGACGCCGTGACGATGATGGAGGTGATGCCGCTGGCGCGCGCGAGCTGGATCGCGGCCATGCCGACAGAGGTGGCACCGCCCCAGATGACCATGGTTCCCTCGATGGGACCTTTGGCATCTTGCGGGAGGGGCAGCTGGAACCGGTTGAAAAGCGCATCATTGGCAGTCTGAACCACGACGGGGAGAGCCGCCGCGTTGGGGTGAGGCACGTTCTCGGGTACCTGGAAGGCCCAGGCAGGCGGGATGGATATATATTCCTGGTGCGTGCCGAAGCGCTCCGGGCGGTTGTTGGAGCCATCTGTGTAGCCGGCGACAACGTCACCTGCCTTGAAGGTCGAGTTGGCCAGGCCAGGGCTCTCGAGCACCTTGCCACAGAACTCATTGCCCAGCACGCGCCGTCGGCAGTCGAAGAACTTTAACGTTCTAAAGTCGGACGGATTGACACCCGAGTACAGGACCTTGACGAGAATCTCATCGTCACGGGGTGCCGGAAGCGAGAGGCGAGTAACGACGGCTTTGCCCTCTGCATCGGCGTAGAGAGAGCAGTCCTGGTGGTAGGGGGCTCTGCTGCGGTCATCTTGAAACTACTTAGGGAGAACGGAGGGGTACTTGGAATGTGAAGCGACAGAACAACGTGATCGGGTTTGCTGTTTTATACTTGAGCCGGCAGATACCAACAATCCGACTGTCCGACTGCCGACCCTTATCAACAACCTGAACTCCGCACACTAACTCGCCGGCAGATTGATTATCCCACTACCTATGACTATGACCGCTCGCGGAGATGTTCCTGCTAGGAAACTGAAACTCCGCTCCATTCATGCCCCAGCCGAGACGAGCTGTATGATTGATGCGGCCGAGCGTCCGGGTTTGCGGAGTTGCCGGATGGCGGGGGAGCGAAAGCGAAAGCGCAGAAGCCTTGTGTTTGCGGCCTCGTCTGCCCTGCCCCGGCCAAAACGGCGAACACTACCCTTCTATCAGATCCTTTATGAAATCTCGCATGGCCATGTACGTGCTGCGTTTCTCCTCGTCGTCCCAGACATGCTTGGGAATCCTGTCGTCCTCTTCCCCTTTTTTGACGAAGATGGGGCCATCCACCTCGCACTCTTCATGGTCCTCGGGCAGTTTGCCTTTATTCAAGTATTCCCTGAGGATCCGCGCACTGCAGAGAGACGGCAGTGCGATACTGCAATGTCCGTACCCATTGATTGTCACCATCCTCGACCCTGGGAAGGCGTCTCGTGCCGAGATGGCGGACACGACAGGGGTCACAGCATCGTATCGCTGTGTGAAGATCAACGGCGGGGTCTCGAGCTTGACATCCTGGTAGGGAGAGAAGGAATGTGTCCTAGGGATTTTCCACTGTTGCTTGATGTAGAATCTCTCGTTTGCCAGTCTTGCGAACATCGATACCCTGAGCTTCGGTAGGATCTCTTCCAGCAGGGACTCACGATCCTGTGGCCAGTGTGCTGGACCTGTGAGGCCATCGTTGCTCATAATCATGTGGAATGCGTCCATGTTGATGGAGGATTGCGACATTTGCCCATACTGAAGGAAGAAGTCGGTCGCGTTGCCTTGCAGGAGAGGAGCCAGTTTGGAAGCAAGCAGGTGCCATCCTGACAGGACCTGGAAATGGGGGAATATCACATCGATGAATAGGGTTCTGAAGTCGAGTGTACCATAGTGTGTGCTGTTGACGTACACACTGAGAGGCTGCCTGTCGAGCTGTTCCCCCAGGGCTGTGAACTTCTCCAGGAGGACATCCTTGGATGTCGAGACGTGTGTCAGGGGACAGTCATCACCTGCTGCGACACATTCTTCTAGGAACCCAACGAACGTTCTGTCCGAGTCCGTCATCATCTCCATGTCGGGCTCAGAGATGTAATACTGGAATACATTCGCGACACCGTCAAAGACCATTCGGCCAGCGCGCTCAGGAAAGAGCATCGCATACGTTTGTCCCAGCAGCGTCCCGTAGCTGAGACCCCAATAGTGGAGCTTCTCCTGACCCAGCGCGTCGAGGATGCTATTCATGTCGGCAGCTGTCTGTGGCGTGTTGATGTACTCGACCCCCGGACCGGTGGTATCGCGACACGCCTGCGCAAAGTTCTTTGCCCACGCGTAGACGTCCGGTGAATCAGCGACAATGTCCCTATTTCTGAAGCTGCCGTGTTGCTTCCGCGTTGCATCATCAGGGTAGCATTTGGCCATCGGTACTGTGCCTTTGGTTCCGCGCGGCGCCCAGGACACGATGTGGTAGTCCTCCCCGACGAGGGTGTTGATATGCTTGCCGCCCTTGGTGACATAGTCGATGCCACTGTTGCCTGGACCGCCTGGGTTGACGAGAAGATTTCGCCCCGCGCCGGCTGACTTTCCTCGGAGGCGTATGATGGGAAATTGGACGGTGTCCGGGTTGGAGGCGTTGAAGTGGTCCAAGGGCACAGTGAGGTTGGCGCATTCGAGAGGGTGGCCTGCTGTGCTGCCGCAGGACGTCCACTGAATTGTCTCGTGGGGGTACGAGGTCGTACTCTCCGCATTGAGTGCGGAGAAGGTGGAGATGAGCGTTCGCCATGAGGCTGGGTAGATGAAGACTGTCAACGAAGCGACGACGACAAGCGTGCTGAAGTACGCCCAGGGTGAACGTCGTGGACTGGGATGATTGTCTTGGTCCTCGCGGGACGACGTCGAGCGCGCGCTCTTCTCACTAGGGTGTGCCATGGTTTGCGACCCCGTGCTTTCGAAGGCCGAGGACGAAAGTTGAAATGCAAGATGGCAATTCCTCCTGTGCTTACTCTTCGCATTGTTGAGGCACCCCGCGGGCCTCACATGATCACATGACAGCTTGAGCGCTGTGAGCCTGTGCCGCCTTCATGCTGCCTGCACGATGCAGCCATTAACCAACCATCAGTACGACCAGCCCAATTAAATGCTCTGTAATACGTAACAGACATGGACCTGTCACCACCAATTTCAAATTCCGCTTTTACTTCACAAGCGATCATCGTAGAGTGATCGCCAATTCAACAAGGAGAAAGTCCCTCACAGGGCAAGAAAGAAAATCGAATGCAACAGAAGAGCCGAGCGAGGAGGAGCGCAGAAGGTAGAGTTCCTTTTGACAGCCACAAAGTCCCAAGCTTGATATTCATATCTTCATAAAAGAGAGACATTGCCAGAGTTCCAGCCCTGCAGCGCGTCCCCCTGGCCTACCCAGTCCTCCTCTCGCACACCGACAGCCACCTACGCACTGTTGATCTGCTGCACCAAAAAGTCGGCAGCAGGCCCACGCGCGGCGGTCGTGTAAGCAAAGTGCGGCGCCGCGACGATCAGGCTGCCCTCGCAGACGAGGTCGCCCGGGTTGCAGAAGATCTCGGTCCTGTCGGTGGGGTAGTTGGGGATCTGCTCGTTGTTCTGGCGGTTCTTGGTGTAGCCAAAGAGCACGGCGCCCTTGACCTGCTCCTGGACGGCGGCGTCGAGGGTGCTCACGGAGCCGGCGACGACGGCCGTGCCCTGGCTGTAGCCGCCCGTGACGACGGCGCTGTCGGGGCACTTGTCGTGGGCCATGTTGAAGAGGCGCGTCATCTCGTCAATGGCCTCCTGCGAGGTGCCCAGACGACCGACATTGTCGCCGACGGTGGCGTCGTAGGGGCCACCGACACCTTGGATCCAGACGCTGCTGATCTCCCTCTCGAGGGTACCGGCGACGGCGGGGCCGGCGGAGGCGCCCTGGGAGGTTGGTCAGTTTCTGGGTGTTCACAGGGTGGAAGCAAGAGAAAGGTGTAATTAGGACGAACCATGTTACCGGGCTCGCCAGTGGCGCGAGCAAAGATGAAAATGGCCTCGGGGCAGTCGCCGGCGCTGCCATCTTCGAGATCGTTGCGGGTGATGCTGCCGAGCTGACGTTCCTCGAGATCGACAGCTGGGGCAGCCATGGCAGAGCCGGCGAGAAGGGTGGTGGCGGCGATGAAGAACTTCATGTTGGCGATGGAGGCGAGAATAATGGTCAGAAAAGGGGAGTGATTGTAAAGCGTAGAAATGAAGTGAAAGAGTGAATGTGTATGATGCAGACTGGCTGGCTCGTTGTTTCTGGCGGTTGGTCCTGAGCTGTTCCTCTTCAAATCCAGCGATATCCTCGTACCTTTATATCTCTTGAAGCCGTCGTCATCTGTCACAGAGTCGTAGACGAAACAGCTCGCAAGGACAGACCATTTAGGATGCCAAGCTTTCCCTCCAACCTAAAGCATATCCACCCGTGAGTTGCGACAGGTCAGAATGCTGTTTAGCGCGTCCGTGACAGGTCAAACATTCCACTCTCGTCTCTGACAGCGAAGGCTAGTCTGTGTGATCGACTCGTGACCGGGTCGATGTTGCGTCGGGAGTTGCGCAGGGGTAGCATCGGGGGTGGGTATCTCCATGCGTGAAGCGCCAAGAGTCGAGTCAGTTTGAACTGTAAGTCCAGCCCAAGGGCGGAACGAGGCGTGGCTCAGAAGCCTAGTGCGCCGGTGGCAGTTCCTGAAACGAGTGCCGAGTGGGAAAGGAGCCTCCCCAAAAAGCATCAACAGCGCAGAATTGCGTCTGCTCAGTCTGCTGCATGAAGCCGGCTGTCGCCCCACCGTATTGCCTCAGGGGGGCCGGGAGACGTTTCGGTATTGCTTGCGATGCAGGGCAGAGGAATAAAGCTCCGATGCCGAGTCCACGGTGTATAAGTACATGTAGATAAGAATGGATCATTCTATCGCTGATGTATAGATTGCTACAAGGCGAGACCACAACCATCACGCCTCAGTACACAACGGCAGATGGCGCCAGTAGACCCGACCCGACGGCGTTTGCGTGCGGAGGCGTGCACGCTATCAGATCAAGTTAGTCGCGACATCCTTGACGAGTTGTTGGTGATGGCTGAGTGTCGATCCTCGGGGCCTGGTGGCATGTGGGTGGTGGAGCGTCCATGTCGTGTGGGGAAGGGAAATGCTCCGGATCTAAGCCCAATTTGTGACATTGTCGCGAACGTAGCGTATGTTGTCTCCAGACGAGCGTTTCGATCGTGGCATCGTCTTTTGGGCGCACGGAAACAAGAGGTCTGATCAAGGTGACCAGTCATGGGTTGGAGGTGCGCGCGTGGCCATCCGCGTGGTGATGGATCGATGGTGCGTCTTTGTGTCAACCTCGATGACAGGACGTCCGAGGTGATCGGTTAAGTTCTTTGACCTCGGCAAAAAGACTGTGGGCAATGCTTGCGGGGATGCTTTTTTCTTGGTGTCAAAAGCAAGCAATCACTGCTGTTGGGCTCTTGTTCGTTTGAGATGAACAGCGCATGTGGTATTCAATGCTGGTTCCAATGTCCGAATGAGAAAGCAGTTCAGCCTTACGGATACATCGCGCAGAGTTCGAGTTGTGCTTTCGTCTAGGGTAGGCCACAAGCCAAACCCTGTCGACCTACTAGGCTACTCCGTATTCCACGTGTTATTCCTCGAATGAGGCATTGGGATAAATCTAACCTGGAAAATTTGGATATTCTGTACCATAACACAAATTAGGAACCATTTGCCGCAACGCAACTGCCAAGCTCGTATTGTGACCCGTGGCTGTGGTCGTTCCTTGTCCGGACACTGCCAATGTCTGGATGAGTGTCTTGCTGTCTATGCCTTGTTCAAGACTCCAACGAGCGTCACAGCGGGCCGTTCTTGAAGATGAAGCAGCCTAGACGAATCTTTCATGATAATTGCGTCATTGCAGGGAACATTCTCCTCCCAGCATATCTGAGACAGGCAACGTGTTTCGGCTCGTCAGCGCCTACCGGGGCTAGCCTCATGTGCCACGATGCGCATGAATCAACCTTATTTTCGGTGCTGCACAATTCCACGCATGTTGTCTCGTTGTCTCATCGCCTTCTCTTGACGAGAAAACACGATCCGCACTGCTTTAGTTCTCCCAACGCAACGAGAATACCTCGTCCCCAGATCTCGAGATGCCCACTTCCAGACCCTCGCCCTGAATGCTCGTAGGGATCTTCTCCCCTTTTCTCTCCAAGATGATCTTGGGCCCGTTGGCAGTATTATCAGGTAGCTTGTAGAAGCCACGACCGAATTTGTTAAAGAATCCCTCGAGCTTCTCCTGTGTGACGTCTGATTCCGCGATAATCCCTCTTTCCGTAGCGTCCTCGAAAGCTCGCAGCACAAGTTGCGTGGCATACGGCTGCGTGAACACGCCAGCGGGGGGCGCCTTGCCTTGAGCACTCTTGGAGGCCAGAGGATGAGGCGCGCTATCGGTTCCGAAGAAGAATTTGCTGTCGCCGCTCGTTGCTGCCTTCAAGAGGGCATCCCTGTCCTCGGGTGTCTTGGGGATGGGCTTGCAGAATGCATGAGGGTCGACGTTGCTCATGTCCCCTGTGAGGTACAGATGGTGAGCTGTGATCGTGGCGCCAACAGAGGGGCCGCAGCTCCTGACAGCGTCGATGGCAGCGGCCGTCGAACAGTGCTCGAGAACGATGCGCAGCTTTGGGAACTTGGCGTGAATGGACTTGAGCGTGGGCAGGAAAGCTTCCTCGTGGGTGAGCCCTTTGGCAGGGTTACCGACGACTTCGCCATGAAGGTTGAGCACGAGATCGTGCTGCTGCATAGCCTCAAAGATATCATCAAAGCCGTCGAGAGAGACGACCCCCGCATCTGAATTGGTGGTGACGCCCTGCGGATAGACCTTGATGCCTGCCAGCCTAGCCTTGGCTGCCTGGGTCACGATTTCGGGGGTCAGTTCTGCGTGAAAGTAGAGCGACATGAGATAGGTCACGTTGGGCTCGATCGACTGGAGCTCGGACTTGTACTCTAGAGCACGCTCCACGGTCCTGATAGGGGGCTGCAAGTTTGGCATGACGAAGACCGTGTCGACGCCCCCACGCCTGATGGAGGGTGTTACCAGCTTCATCATCTCGCCCTGGCGGAGGTGGACATGCATGTCCGCCGTGGGCGGCAGCACAATCTTTTGTGTATCTCGGAGGCGCATGTTGGATGTTGTGTAGTTGATTAACACAAGTACATGTAGCTTTTGCTGGATGTGACATGTGAAAATGATCAAGGTCAATGAAATCGAAACTCAGATTTAGACGCTCGTTCTTGGGTATCCACTTTGGGCGATGGGAGAGGATATCATTGGTCAAGAGATGGCTTCACAGTGAGCCCCCTCGTCCACGACAGTTTCCTAGCTCATGGTGGTGAAGATCATTGTCCCAGGTTGGTCTGATAGCGACATACTACCCGAAAAAAAGAAGAATGAAAGCGACACATGATAACGAAGTCGAAGAGAAAGAGTTCCTAGCGGCAGTGGTCGAAGCAAGTTCGAGGTAGGCGACGATGCTCCTGGTGCCACAGGGTAAGCCATACTAGAGCTAGCAAGATGGTGACGCCCAAGGAGTCGGCACGGCCGCCGTATGGTGGCCAAGAATACATGTACTTGCAGCTTCAGAGCAATAGTAGGACCTCCTGGGATTCGTGGAAGAGCAGGCTTATGCAAGCCAAATATAAACTGCCTTCAAGACGCCTGATGGGATCGCCTAGACGGAGCCTGCCTCTCCGGGACTACCCAAAACCGCCGGCACTCGAGCAGGGAATCCGGCCCGGTAGTCACTGATTGATTGCCTTATGCGCCGTCATGAACATGACAGACGGTGCTATTGGCTTATTGCCGCGATGGATGGCCTGGAACGGAACCAAACCATGTCTCTGCGCTCCTGTTTCGTAGTGGACGATCATCTATCAAATCCATGGCCCAGCGTCTATAAGAGCAGACGATCCCATCGACAAACAAACCATCCACCCACCCTCATCGACAAGAACGAGCCTGGTCCACGCCATCATGCTCTCCTCCGCCTCCTCCACCACCACCGCCCTGGCGCTTCTGCTGGCCAGCGTCCTCCCCCAGGCCGCCCTGGCCCACTACAACTTTGAGCGCCTCATCGTCAACGGCGAGGCCACCGACCCCTACGAATACGTCCGCTCGACCACCAACTCCAACTCGCCCATTCAGGAAGTCACATCGCCCAACATGATCTGCAACCAGGGCGGCAACGACGCCGCCATTCGCGCCCGCACAAAGACCTACGAGCTCGCCGCCGGCAGCGAGGTCGGCTTCGACATCAACTCGGAACTCGGCCACCCGGGGCCCCTCTACGTCTACATGAGCCGCGCCCCGGACGGCGTCGAACTCTCCGACTACCAGGGCGACGGCGACTGGTTCAAGGTCTACGCCCTCACCACCAGTCACATTGAGACCGATACGGGTCTGTACTGGGCCACCTTTCCCGGCAGCCAGGGCGGCGCTCAGAACTTCACCTTCACCCTCCCCGAGGACCTGCCCACGGGCAACTACCTCATGCGCGGCGAGCACATTGCTCTGCACGGCGCCGGCAGCGTCGGTGGCGCCCAGTTCTACATGGGCTGCGCACAGCTCGCCGTCACGGGCGGCGGCAGCGGCACGCCGGGCCCCACGGTCAAGTTCCCTGGTGCGTACGCCGAGGACGACCCTGGTGTCTTGATTGGCATCTACTGGCCACCTCCCCAGGAATACATCTCGCCCGGTCCTCCCGTGTGGCCTGGTGAGTGTGAGGACCATACGCTTAACAGCTGGGGGCAGGACAGCGATGGTGACTGCAACCCCATGGCGCAGTAAAGGGTGCTATGGGGCGGACGGGGCTGTACATACCAGAGATGATGATGCATGTATATACGCACCACGACAGAAGACAGAAGGAACGTGAACCAGACTTTCGTGCAAGAGTGACGCTTTCATACTTTGCTATCCTCGTCTTGGATGGCGTACAGCTGGGGCACCAACTCTCCCAGACATGTACCCAGGTCTGTCCACTGTAACCCAAGGATATCTTCGGTCTCCTGCACATCGATCCCAAAATGCGTCTTGTGTTCCCGTTTCCCCACCTGCCCAATAGGTACTCTGCCCTTCCTCACGGCCGGTGGTATCACTTCTCTTGTCACGTCCGCAATCTCCTGGTTGCAGTAGACATTGGCTGCGAGGAGGAACCTCTTCCCACCAGCCTCTGGAACACGTAACGCCTGAACATGTGCCTTTGCCACATCCCTCACGTGCACCCAAACGGGTGCCTTGGTCGGTGGCACGCTCTCTTGTTCTGGCAGGGACACCACGTTATACACCAGCATGTTGCTTGTGTTGATAGACTTGACGGACGTCGGGGCGTCCAGCCAAGGCCCAAACACCATACCCGGGCACAAGCTGACGAGATCAAAGCATCTGCTCTGTTTCATAAAGTCCCATGCTGCCCGCTCTGCAGCCACCTTGCTCGCGCGATACGCCGTCGGAGCGTCCTTTGCGCGAACGCCATCGTCGTAGGTGAGAGGTGCCCAGTCCTTTGCGGAGTAGATCTTGTCAGGACGGGGTCCCAGGCTGGCGTCGTAGATGCAGGCAAACGAGTTGGTCTGAACCACTCTCTTCACACCAAGCTGCTCCGCAAGATGGAGGGCCGCCTCCGCCCCCTGTACCGAAGGGATCATGAGGTCCGTCTCAAAGCTCTGTGTCGCGTAGGTGAATGGTGCCGCTAGATGGAGAATCGCGTCAATTGCCTCGTTCTCTAGCCCGGCTAGATACGCATCCGTAGACGTTATGTCTCCCACCACGACAATGGTCAAGTCGCCATGACCATTGTGCGTCTCGCGAACAGCGTCCACTTTCTCTTCGGATCGAACGGTGGTGACCACGCTGTAACCCTCCCCGAGAAGGACAGCGATTGTATGCTGAGCAATGAAGCCGTTGCCGCCGGTGACGAGGACGCGACACGGCGATGCGAGGGCTCCAGCAGGTGTCGAGTGTCGTACTGCCATCTCGTTTTCTTGAGTAGACCGGTCGTGTGCCCAACAAGTGGCGATTGGACGATGTCTTGCTGGGGCGTGCTGGGCTGTCGTTCGACCATTATATGGTCTAATATCACGGGCATGAATGTGGCCGCCTTCTCAACTCCACGCCGCCGGCTAGTGCCATCTTGGAGACAATGCCGTCGCAAATGCACCGGGAAGCGTGTGGCGAGTGCATGGAGGCTGGTAAGGAACAATGCGAATTCATGGCAAGAATAGGAATGCCGGCGCCAAGATCCACGCAGCCGTCGCAAAAGGGTGGAAATCGTCTCCAACGCTACTTGCGGTCCGCCGCGCATCTCGTTATCTGAGGCTGCCCTATGCGCGGCGCGCGGGGTTGGCAGGGCCCTGGAAAAAGAAGTCCCGGAAAAGGAACCAATTCGTGCCTTATTGAGCGCTGAGAAGTGTCGGCATCGTTAGTAAATTTGAGACACTGGAGTGTCCAATTCCATCGCAAGCCTCCGGCAAGTCTTTATAACGTCGTGGTTCCTATTCGTGACCAAGCGTTGCGACGCTGCTCTCGGCCGAACTCGCGGGCGGGACCCGCCCAGATCTCAGCCTGGCCTGCCGCCCCGCGCATCCTTGTGGAAACATGTGTGGGGATGACACCGGCCAGGCCTCAAATGGAACAAGTCGCGAAGACAAAGGTTAATCGCTGGAGAGCGACGGTCGAAGACCCCGGGAGCAGCAGGCTGAGGACGAATCACGACCTCGACCCTGAAATCGTGGCGCTCGGCTACATGCATGCCGAGCTTGCTGCGCGGCCTTCAAAACACCACGAGACCATGCATCTCTTCATACCGGATTTTGGCCCAGTTCACCTCTGCACCACCACCGTCGTCTCGCCTGGCCCAGACTCGCTCGACCAAGTCTCTCGCGTTGTACACATATCCAAATCCGCACGTCCGCTCCATGACCATGAGTCGATCTAGGATTACCGTGCGCTGCTCCAACGACCAGCACGCGCCGCCGGCCATGACAAGCGGGAACAGCAAGCACGGCTCCAGCGGCCTCCCGTAATGAATCTTCTGCACGCAATCCAGTATCGAGTTGACAGCGTGCACCACCTTGGGCGAGTCCTGAGCGTACCCTTCCACGACCTGATGCAGGCGCAGGCGCAGCGCATGTTCGAACGCCAGGGTGGCGTGGAGGGCATCCGCCTCGTTTGGCGCAAGGTTGTGCACGGCGCGATGGAGACCTCCGTGGTCGTACGACCACTGGTTAATCTTCTCCTCCACCCGATTGGCCTCTCCGCGGAAAATCGCCTCCGACTCTGCACTCACCCGTGTCGAACGTTTGTCAGCCAGGATGTTGACGAGGTCAACCAGGTGGAAGAGCTCCTTCGGAATGCCGTAGACGGCCGAGTCCTCAGCATCAGCGACCAGATCCAGGCTCTCCAGTGCCTCCGCATTACGGGCCTCTTCCCCTAGAAGTGGCGCTCGACACGTCGCGACGGTCGCCGCTGAGTCCAGGAAGCGGGACAACCTGAGCAGAAACTTGTACTGGCCGCTGGACAGATCCCCATAGTGCTGCCGCAGAGCAGCCAGCAGTCGTTTCGCCCCGCGGAGGTGTGGTTGCCAGCCGACGCTTGTGCCATCAAACAACTCCGTCATGCAGAGCAGCAGGCTGCCGACGAGCGCAATGTCGGCGCTGGTCTTATCTACGTGCGGCAGAAGCCACGCCAGCGCTTGTGTTGCCCGACTCTGGTGAAGCAGCCCACGATGGCCCATGTGCGGCAGCATCTTCCGCCAGTGGTTCCCCGACAGTGCGAGGATACATTGTAGAACGAGTTCGTTCGAATCGGCCATGGGCAGCAGGTAGTGGAGGTACGGATTCGATGCCGGGCTCGACCGTCGCGAGAGGAGTGGTGAGACGACCCTCAGGTAATGATCCAGTAGCACTCGGTCCTGGGTATCTCGAAGTCGGGGGAAGGACTGCGGAACGTGTATCGACAAGGAGTTGTTGGGCGACCCGGGCGGGCTGAAAGAGGTTACGACGGCCGTGAGAGTATCCGACCTGCGGTCATACGCGATATCGGGAGCTCTGGAATCCTGAAAGTCGTGATTTGCAGCTGCAGAGGGATCTAGCATCGGGCTCTGCTGCCGTACGGCCATTACCCCAAAGGGGTGCGTCATGCCCGAGCTCGGAGACGTGTCCGTATCACTGCCAGCTGTTGTACTCGGAGTCCAAAGCGCCATCGAAATGGGAGCGACGACAGCAATGCCAGCAGAGCATGTGGAATCGGCCTTTTGCGGCGCGCGGCGCGCCTTTGTTTCCTTGGCTCGGCCGCCCCTATCCTTGGGCTTCTCTGCCGGCCAACAGCAGTCCAGGCACAGTCTCCTGCAATCGCCGCACTTGGGCTTGGCCTCGTCGCACTTCTTCTTGCGCTGCTTGCACATGGCACAGCCTGTCTGCACACGGTGGATGCGCGCTTTAGGCATCTCGGTCGGGAGGTTTGGTCCCGAGGGACTGGCCGGGCCACCATGGTCGGTTGTCGATCGTGATTGACAAGGCAGGCTCAGCCGTGTGCATCGTGAGCAGGGAATGTGGCCATCGCACGCTTGCTTGATCTGGGCACAGCGCTGGCAGACTGGTCGTCTCTCAATCTTCATGGCGATGGGCATGGTTCTTTGGCGTTGGACTGGAAGCGAGCAGCGTCGGCTGCGATTCCGAGTGCTCGGAAAGTATGGGGACGTCGTGGATCAGCCAACGCAGTTCACCTCACGGGTGCATGTAAGGCCGCAGGTCGCATGGAAGGGTTCGAACCGGTCACGAGCTGAGGGTGTTCGAAGTCGGAAGACAAAGTGTCGTCGGGTTGCAACGCAGCCAGGCAGGTGGTTGCGTGTGTCCATGCCGTATGGGAAGAGGGAAGGGACGACTGGAGCTGAGACGAAGGAGCCGCCCAGTCTCACTTGGGTCGGCTTGGGCTGAGCTCCTTCCGCGGAACCCATTTCTTCCCCGGGCCTTCCAAATTCAGTTCAGGCTGAGGTGGGTGGATACCCCACAAGGGTCACCAAGTAAGTTCAGAAGGGTGGCGGGGCAATTAGCGAGGTGCTACAGCTGGGTGGCGCCCGGGACGAGTTCCGGCTGACTAGCTTTGCGGCGTCGTGATTGGCCCGCTTCCTCTCAGAACGGATTTCTTGTGCTTCTCCAGAACTACTGTTCTTGGGTCTTATCTACTCGATAAATACGTCGTTGCTACTCTGGTATCTAGAAAATGTCGCGTCCGCGCAGTGCAGAGTTGCCAACTATCTCACGGTCTTTATTGCGTTCATGGTTCATGCATTTAGGCCTTCTAGAGCAAAATCTTTCTAGACAGGGGCACCAGCTGTCCGTCTGGATATATTAAAGAACAAACCTCGGGGGTCTGTGTGAATAGTTCAACCCAACATCTCATAACCGGTGAACTTGACGTGAGACAAAGCATTGCTCTACGGGTTGCGGTCCTACCCTGACTTGTTCATGCGTGTGAGACAGCCCACCGTGTTGCCGACGGCGGTACAGAACTAAAGCGGAAGCCATCTGTCGCGCCCCCGAACGAGGTATAGGGTATCCGAACTGAGCTCAGGGGATAGGAGCGGTTCGCGAGTAATAGAACGTCATCAGTCTAAAAGCCCATGGCTGTATCCGGTGTCTTCTCTTTCCTGCGACGTACTACCCGAACATGTTTGGTATGTCTAGGGAACGGCTTGAGCGGCGAGGTTGATAAGGAATGCGCAGTTTGTAGATTGTGGCTGGCAAGGCGGTGTCCAGCGAGCCTTAATAGCCCATCTCACCACTCCCAATTGATTGTTGGGGACAGTCTTTCAAGGCCAAGCAAATTTGAGATGCATTAACAGGTGACGCCTCAGCTTGATCGACGCAGATTCTCAGGGCCGACCCGCAAGCCGAGCAGCACCTCGAGAAGGGCGTTCCCCACCCCCTGTTCCCCGCCCGACCTGCAACATCACGACATCCGTCTTGGACTAGTTCCCGGCAGTCCGAGTTATCTTTGCTTATGTAGCAAGTCAGCTTATCATGTGCGTTGCTTTTGCTTCGCTAAAGCATGGCGAGTCGTCTTTCACCGCAGTTTGAGCTGGACGCGCGCCGTACAAAGATGACTTGTCCTCCGGCTTTGAAGCAGGCCTGACAGGCTGACAGCCCAACGCTGACGAGTGTATCTACTCACTTGACTCATCCGAATCCTTAACAAACAGAACTGAGACGCTTCTTCAGCTTCCGGCCCCACTGTGGACGCAGAGACACCCTGCATACGTCGTGCAGCTGCTGTAGAAAAGAGGGGCGTGTTCCTTGATTTCGAGATCTTGTCGTAGAATCTTCAAACTTCAGTTCGCCATGCATCCCGAGAGACCAGTTCTGATCATAGGGGCTGGCGTTGTCGGCCTGACGCTGGCCCACGGCCTCGCCAATGTGAGCTTGGTCCAAGCCCTGGGGAAGTACAATCGCTGACAATACAGGCTGGTGTACCCTTTGAGATCTTCGAGAGGGACCCTTCTCCCGTCTCTCGATCACAGGGATGGGCAATTACGTTCCATTGGTGTCTGCCTTTCCTCAAGACACTTCTCACGCCGGAAACGCTTGCTCTGGTTAGCGACGCCCAGGTCGACCCTGAAGTAGCGAAGAATGACACGGGGAACTTCTTGTTTCTCAACCTGAAGACATTGGAAATCAAGTTCAAAATCCCACCAAACGAGCGCCGCCGTGTTGAACGACAGAAGTTCCGTCAGGCTCTCCTCGATGACCCGCGCATCGGTGACAGGGTGCAATGGGGCAAGCGCCTGGCTAACCTGCAACTTCTGGACGATGGCGACGTCAAGGCCGTGTTCCAGGACGGCTCACACATGGAAGGACACGTCCTCGTCGGCGCAGAAGGGTCCAACTCAACCACCAGGAAGATTCTCGCCCCTGATACGCACGAGCTGCACCCTGTGGACGTCAAGCTCATTGGCGCCAGCGTGGACATGACGCCCGAGCAAGCCCAGCCCCTGAGAAATATCGATCCTTTGCTGTTTCAGGGCTGCCACCCAGACACGAACAGCTTCCTCTGGGTCTCCACTCTCGCCACACCCGAGGTCCACGACAATGGGATGTACAAGATGCAAGTCATCCTGTCGTGGCCCGCGCCGTTTGGGTCACAGCTGCCTGACGATTTGCCTGCCGAGATGAAAGAGCGCGCGCGGGTTTTCCATCCGACACTGAAAAATGCCGTCGACCTGGTCACCACAGCTCAAGAGATCCCGATACAGGACTGGCCCTGTCTACCATGGTCATCCAACGACGGAGCCACGACGCTGATCGGGGACGCCGCGCATGCCATGACCATGTACCGCGGCGAAGCTGCCAATCACGGGATCCTCGACGCATATCATCTAACCAAAGGCTTGGTGGAAGTTTATAATGACAGGCAAACCAGAGATACCGTCATCGAGGCTTATGAGGCGGAAATGAGGGATAGGACAGCGGTGGCCGTAGGTTGGAGTCGCGAGGCATGTGTGGGCGCGCATGACTGGGACACACTCAATGCCAACTCTGCTGTGTTGCGGAGAAGAGCTGTCCGGGAGTCAGACGCATAGGCCGTGGGAGTTATGATGTTTTCGGACGGTCACTATACGCGCAAGTATGACTTTGCGTGATGAACCATCTCGCAGCAATGAAACGGGTCGCCTGGAACATCATCAATCCCTGTGATGGTTGAGCATGACTCTATATATAAACAACCAGAATCGCGGCAATATCTTCTTACAAAATATAGTGCTGCCACAGGATTGACCTTCGGCTACTGCAACGACTTCAAGGCGGCAACTCGCAGGTCAAGTTCAACCGGACCAGAGTATGCTGAACAGCGGTAAGGATCTGATACCGGTCCGGACCGTGCAATGAGAAGAGGCGAAGAAGGCAGGCAAGTATAGTATCTCCTCGCCCCTCGCTTAGTTCAGCTGTCTGGGAGGAGAATGTTCGTTAGTATTTGAACCTGCCAGGAGGTTGAAGGGAGGCGCCAATATCGTAGCGAGAGGAGGGATCAATATCGTATGTATAGTGAAGCTTCCGATATGCATCCGCTGAGAGAAGTGCCAGTGGACTTTGTCGCTGGTGTATTTTGAGTCCTTGACCAGGCAATACCTTTGTTGGGGGTGGTACCAGTATCGAGCAATGATTACTGCCTATGATGATCACAAGACTTGAGGTTTATTTAGGGCTATAAAAGAACTCGCACCTTTACATTTCAATCATGCATACCACTAAATTGTAGTCGGGTGAGCACGGTACCACGTCTAAGCTTAACCCAACCTCATAGGCTCTCGCCAAATGCGCCACCATGTGTTCAAAATCCAACCGGCTTCCCAGTTCGATCAGATCCTCGTGGGCAGTATCAACGAGGATCGAACGTTGACGTAGGCTACCGCCTTCAGGACGCATGGTATACAATATCGACGCGGCCAAATTCGAGTCCAAGGCTGCATGTTGCAAGGCCTGCTCTAGATGGCGTTTTGGCATACCGCGATCAAGACAGCGGATAAAGGGGGGAGGCTGGCGGCACAAATCATCAAACATGGAATCAATAGCAATGTCTTCACACGCCCATGAGATGATCCCAATGGTGCCCCCACTCGAGCCACAAGCGCTCGCTAATTCTCTTTGGCGAGAAACCCATCATCTAGTGAGGCTTCCCAACGTGGAGGTGAGCACTGTCGAACAAGTTCGGTGTATCAGATGTCAAGCACCGTTCCACGAAGCGGTGCGTTCTCGGCGCAAAAGAGAGGCGGGGTGAGTGCCCGCAAGATAACAAGGAGTTGTCTGTCTAATCGGCCTTGGCACACTGCACTCTCCAGTACGTGGCTTAGTAATGACGCTGAAAGGCATCGAGAGAAGAGATGTGAGCCACCTGGGAATGTCCTGGCCTTGTGGTCGATTGTGCCAGTCGTCACCGGCATTGCTGGGAGACCTTTGGTGGTCGTCGTGCAGAGAGCGCTTTACGATGCTGTGTCGCCACTGGGTCTCCGTTGGAGAAGCGGTGAAAGATGTGGGAGAATGAGGTGTCTGTGGTGATCTGTACCGCCCGAAATCGGCAAGAGATATCAGATGCTCTGTGCGTGGCCAAGAGCAGGCTCACTTTGACAGTAGCTTAGCTGCTCATCATTGTGTCGCTAGCGAGCCATGTGGTCGGAAACGCCCCATACCCCAGTCTGTCTACGGTCGTAGCCGCCGGATGTGTGTCTTTGGCTCATTTCGACCTCCAGTATATCCTGATAGCCAACTTCGTTGGTCGAAGATTGCTCCGATCTAGAGACAGTCTGTTCTGGTCGTCCCTGCAGACGAACAAGGCCTCTCGCGGTTCGTGCGTCAGGGCATCTGCGTATGAACCATGAGGCAATAAGCATGCTGCAATTGATTAGGGCTTTGCGCAGCTCGGCGCCATTTGCCCCTTGACGCGTCGTCCTATTGATTTGAAGGACTACTGCGGGAGTGCGCCCCCACCCGTGCTTCGAGGAGCCAGCCAGCCACGGACAACTCCCGTCTTCATCAGGGCTCGCCAGACCAGCAGGCAGACACAGGCCGCAGTGACCATGGTAGAAGTTACACGGCAAGCACAGGTTCGAACACAAAGAATTTTCCGTTCCGCCAAAGTACGGACCCGAGATCGGGGATGCTGCTGTCAATGCAGAGTTGATACGAGGTTGTTCGAACTTTAGTGGGTTCACAATAAGGATGCCTTGCATCGTTGGTCCCTCACGAGTCACCACGCTGGCGCAAGTGTCCGCCTGGCACGAGCGGGTCTAGACCTCCTCCGCCCTCAGAAATTCCGATCCAAGGCCACGATCTACCATTTTCGCTGCACGGCATTGGCGATGCACCATTATGCAGCACGCGCCGTACTTGTAGCACCTGCATCCAACCCGCCGCCGCTTTGCCTGCCTGCCTGGCCCGTTTTCGCCCTTGGCAGCACTCGCCCGACCGATTTTCGACAAATTTCTGCATATTGTCCGCCCAGCAAGGCGCACAAGGAAGTTGTAACGGGCGAGCAGGACTCGTTCGGAAACGTACCCCTCCCTCTTCCCGCTTTGCCTCCCGCCGGACAACTGTGTGGCACCAGTGCAGGACCATCGCTCAATGCCAAAGGCTACGCCGTCTCGTTTGTGGTCGTCGATTCGTCTTCCATCAAATCGCTGGCGGGGTTTATGTTGAGCAGCCAGCTGCTGACTGGGAACCTTTTTGTCTTTTGCGCGGCTCACATTACAAGACTGAAACGATTCCAAGGGCACGCCACCTCGTCGTGCACTTCACATGTGCTGAGACGGTTTCCAGACCGTGAGCACCTTTCAGGGCATCAACACAGTGTCGCTCGCCGTCGTAGCAGGTCTGCATCCCGCAGGGCCTGGTCCGCGGAAATGTCTGCAACCCGCAAGACACGCGTTTTGTCCAAGGAGGATATTGCAAATGGTAAGCATGCTGTCGGGTGGCAGACTAGGCTCGGCTCGCTAATGTTCCTAGGCCTTCGCGCGCTCGACGCGGCGATTGAGAGCTCCGAGCTCTTGATGAGCGTCGCGCCACTTCGCTTCATGACTGTGGGTGGCATGCTGGCGGTTTCGCTGTTCGAGAATCGCCCCACTACCAAGGACATTGATTTTCTCCTCGACCCAAACGTCGACGCTGTGCGCGAGTATCGCACCGAGGTGCGCAGGGTCATCAACGAGGTGGGCGAAAAGCACGGATTTAATGACGACTGGATGAATGATGAGCTTAAAATATTCATTCGTCAATCAAACCGCCTCAACATGTTCTTGCAGTCGGTCCAGCAGGGCATGGTCGTCCACGAGGGCCGGAATCTCGTGGTGTACGCCGGCCGCCTCGACTTTGCACTGGAACGCAAACTGCGTCGCTTGAACGGCGACAACATTCGACCGCGCGACCTCGATCTCTCCGATGCTGTCGCGCTGGTCCACACGCTCAAGGACCCCGATCATCCCCTGAGCTGGCAGTACTGCCAGTCTCTGGACGACAATGAGCTCGGCATGGGCGTCGGCAACTTGGGAATCAAGGTCGTGGCCGACGAGTACGAGCGCGTGCACGGCAAGCAGGGTATTGTCGAGACCGAGTGGGATGAGCAGAGGCAGTGCTACAAATATGCCAATCTGCAAGGCGAGTGGGTATATGTCGATGAGCGACAAGTTTCGCCAAGAAAAGACGATTCCGAAGGCAGCCATACCGCCTAGCCTAGCTAGACAGTAGTCAAGGAGGACTTTGTTGCTTGGACGTTTCGCTTGCCAAATTGATCGGCGGCAATGTCTTGCGGATTGACATGATGATGCTCAGGGAATTTGTGGAGAATTAGTCTCTGTTTCAGTTTAGGCGCCAGAGATGTCCATGCTGGGTCTTTGAAGGGGGTGAACTCATTGGGGCCGTCGTCGAGGTCGTGATGGTTTCCATCCCGTCGGAGCCCAATACCCAGTCGCCAATTAAACGACCAGATGAGTGCCTCCGCGAGCGACGCAAGAACCGCCAATTGCTCCGAGTCGTTGCATCCATCCAGACGCGGATCATAAATGTCCTCGGGGTTCCAGTGTGTCTGCCTCTTCCAGAGGTACTCCGTCTCATAGCCGATGAGTGGCTCATCATAGGCGCAAAAAGCTTCATACAAGCGATAGAAGGAGCTTTGCAGGGTATCGCGCCAGCGAAAAATGGGAATAAGGCGCAACTCGAAAATGTCCAGGTGGTGCTCATCCATGTATGCCTCAGGCGCGTAGGCGATGATCTCTCGTGGTGGCGGTGGGAGGATCACCGGAAAATGACGAGGGTACCGCAGGAAGAGCCGAGCGAGATAGCGATAAGGGTGGTCCGTAATTTTCGACAACACAATAATGGAGTATCGCAGTTTGAGGGGCGAGGACCAAAACTGAACCCGCCGGCGCCAGCGTCGCAGCGTGCGCGTGACATAGTGCAGAGGCGACTGCCAGAACGTCGGCAAGGCTGGTGGTAGTTGTGATGGCAGCAGCGGCACGTTGTTGCTGGCGGTGGTGGTGTTGTTGTTCACGGAGAAGGCTGAGGAAGAGGATATGACAGAGGAGGTCATGATGAGGGCTGTGGGGGCTGGGCTGCCGTCGCGTTCGCCAGCGTCACATCCAGGGAATGACGGACGAGGCTGCTCATGATCATGAGTGAACAGGCAGGGAGCAGACGAGGTCGGGCGCAAGACAGAAAAGGTAAAGAAGGAGAAGGGTAGGGGCAGAGAAGAAATGGAAGGAACCAACGAAGCGAGGTGAACACCCACCGACGTCGCATCGCGAATCATTCGCAAAGGCCCGCCCACAGCGCGGCCTTGGCTCTCTGGCTGGCCGCCGCCCTGGACTTGCTCGGCCTTCCATCTTTCCCACTGACGCAGTGCCAGCCTGCCAGCACAAGGCGGTGGCCGGGGGGGGGCTGCCCCATTTGGGGGGGGGGGGGGGGGGGGGGGTTCCACCCCCCGGTTGGGGGCCCAGGAACGGTTATTCCAAAAAATAAAAAAAAGGAAATTTCCCGGCCGCAACCAACGTGGCAGGAGGCCGGGCCC